CGCCAGACTATTGGGAATCATCCCTAACAGGGCATGAGGAAGTGACCTCAGCAGCAACAGAAACATGACGAACACAGCCAACATGACATAGCTCAACGTATCCACCTGAGACGCCAACAACTGATTTAACATGCTGTTGAACAGGATCATCATGCCGGTCACGGTGACCCCATCCACGCCGAGAGACAATTCAGTTTGAGCAAATTTTTCAATCTGCTGACGGAAAACCTCACGATCAAACGCTTCCCCGCTTTCAATAATCCGGCCCGACAGCCGCATCTCACCAGTTCTTGGCGATGCGTAGGGTTTGATCAATTCTGCATGCAACCCTGCAGGCACTTCACCCAGGATGGCGGCAATTTCAAGACTCGAAAGCTTTGCGCCATCAGTGAAATCTCTGGCAAAATCTTCTAATGCAGTAAGAGAAAGCACTTTACCTACCTGAGGTTGACTCTGCAGATAACGATGCATCTGCTCAACCCGATCGAGCATGGAGCGTGTGTACCAATAGCGCTCCGGATAATCCTCGTCCTCCGCAGAAAACCCGAAATCGTCTTCTTCATCAAACACTTCGTCTTCGTAGGCTGGGAAGCGCAACACAACATCAAAGGGGATGGTGCCCCCAAGCTGTTGATCAATATACGACATGCCCTGATAAATCTGTGTATCTTCATCAAAATACTCGGCAAATCGATTGTCCAACGAGACTTGAGTAATGCCGAAATAGGCAAACACACCCACCAGCATACCTAACGATACAACTACGCCAGGTCGCCACCGCGACAGTTCGCCCAGGGTTCGTATAAAGGTGTTGGAATCGCCAGTCGTTTTGCGCGCCGGGTCTTTGGGCAGCAACAACAGTACTGCCGGAAAAAACGTGTAGGTAGCAACAAACGCAATGACGATACCAATGCACATCATCCAACCGAAATATTCAACAGGCAGAATACCGCTGGCGGTCAGGGATCCAAAAGCCGCCATGGTTGTGATCGCGGTAAAAAAGCAGGGTGCAAATTTTTCCTGCATGGTGGTCAGAACAAGATCACGCTTCTCAAGCTCCGCGCGCGTGTGCTGCAACTCACGATAGTGCTGTATGAGGTGAATTGTCAGCGATACCGTTGTAATACCTAACAACGCCACAAAATTCGACGATATGACCGTTGCCTGCCACTGCAGAAATCCTAGGAAACCGACGGTATACAACACACCTATGGCAGCGGTGAGGATGGGTAAAACGACAAAACGGAGACTGCGAAAAAACATACCGAGCGCCAACGCCATCAGCGCAAGCACAGAGCCGCCAAATACCAGCAGATCCTGTTTAACGTAGGAAATCATGTCTGCAGCAATCATGGGCACGCCACCCAGATGCAGGGTGCCCTGATTGGCATACTTTTCCTTGACCTGACGTATCGCAGTAATCAGTTGTTCACGCTCGGCAAGGAAGCTTTCACGGCCGGCGTTGTAGGCGTCATTGGCAGCCTGCCACTCCGGGCCATCGATCTGGCCACTTGCGCGCAGCGCCTCTCGCTCTGCAGTAACTGCAATCAGTGTCTGGTCCGCTGCCAGCGTCACCTTGATGGCACTGGCAGTACCATCAGCAGTGATCAGCAATTCACGAAAGAATGGGCTGTTAACCAGTTCTTCCTGCGCCAGATCCAAATCAACATCATCAGCACGCAAGGTTCGAAAACCGTCGGCTAACTCCGCCAGACTCATCGGTGGGCTTTTCAACAGCGGCGCATCAAGAATACTGAAGACTGATCTGACGCCCTCAACCGCCGCCAGATCCGACGACAGTTGTTCAAGAACGCCTAACGAAGCTGCAGACACCGGCTGCAGGGATTCCGGGCGAAACGTGACAAACAGAAAGTCATCACCACCAAAGGTCCTGGCCACCTGCTCATAAGTGGCAAGATCCTTGTCACCCTGAACAACCAGATTTTCGGAAGAGGCATCGAAACGAAATTGCGTGGCGTAATACGCTGAAGCAAACAGCAGTACAACTGTTACCAGCATCATCAGCCACGGCCAGCGCAGATAACCGAATGTCATAGTCTGTGGCCTCAGGTGGTAATGATGACCCTGGCAGCTTGTGGCTCAAGGCTGGCCTGAGAAACGTGTTTCAAGACCTGCTCTTTTTGCTCGATAAAAAAAGCAATCTCTTCTTCACGAATAGCTGGATTCACTTTCTGCAGCTGTTGCAGCCGTGTAATTTCCCCACCAAGGATACTCTGCGCACGTTTAACAGCGGCTGCTTTGAGATCACCCTCACGCGGTTGCGTCAGTGCCTGCGCCTGGTTGAGCAAATCTGTTAGAGGTGCACGGATTTCCTTCAGAATAGCCGGCCGCATGACCTTCTTCACATGCTGGCACAATACGTTTAACTGCTCATGAGCAACGATACTGGTCAGATCACGGTTGCTGTTATCAAGCAGAATACGTACCGGTGTTGCAGGTAAAAACCTGCCCAGCTGCAGCTTCTTCGGCGCGCTGCAGTGCATGACAAAGTAACACTCGACTAAAAGCGTGCCTGGCGGCAGCGGTTTCAGCTTCATGGTAGCCATATTGGTGTTACCCAACTCTGAACCCAACACCATCTCCATAACGCCACTGACTATGGGTGACTCCCAGGTCAGAAACTCCATATCTTCGCGAACCAGCGCCATTTCCCGATCAAAGGTGATGGTGACACCTTCGTCACCCAATAACGGGAAAGAAGGCGTCAACATGTGCTCTGTGGGTCGCAATATCAGTGCATTCTCGGAGTGATGTTCCGTGTCAACGCCAAAAGTGTCACACACCTGAGTTATGTAGCTTTGCAGGTTTTCGTCTGCATCCGCCTGTGATATCACGTCGATAATCTGCTGAGCCACTTCGGGTTTACAGGAATTCAATTCCAGCAGCTGATCACGACCACTTTGCAGCTCTTCTCTCAGTGCCGTCGTAAACCCTTGCGTACGTTCTATCAGCGACTCTAAGCCTTCCGGGTCAACAACACCGTTTTCACCCATGTGGCTTTGCAGTGCTTCGCCAAACTCCTGCATCACGACGCCGCCGCCGGAGAAGCTCTGGGTGAAAGAGTTAAGTCCTTCGTGGTACCAGCGAAACAGCGTATGTTGTGCTGACCCCTGCACATAAGGCACATGAATCTGCACATCCGCGTTTTGCCCGATGCGATCAAGCCGGCCTATGCGTTGCTCAAGCAGATCTGGATTAAGCGGCAGATCAAACAGGACCAGGTGATGAGCAAACTGAAAATTTCTGCCTTCACTGCCAATTTCGGAACAGATCAGAACCTGCGCCCCAACCTCCTGGTCAGCAAAGTAGGCCGCTGCGCGATCCCGTTCGACAATAGAAAGGTCTTCGTAGAATGCTGTGCTACGGATACCCACATTGAGATGAAGATGACGTTCCAGATCTACCGCGGTTTGTGCCTGCGCACAGATCAGCAACACTTTTGAGCTTTTGTTTTTCTGCAGAAACGCTTCCAACCAGACCACTCTGGGGTCGTATCGCAGGCCGTCAGACTCCGTCACACCAATAACCTGCTGCGAGACAAGGTCCATCAGATTTGGAGCTTCAACATCATCGCTGGCAACCTGAAGGGCGTAATCGTGCACAACTCGCTGTGGAAAACCGTCTATCGCCGCGCGTGTATTGCGAAACAGCACCCGGCCCGTTCCGTGCCGATCCAGCAGCTGCTCGATCAACTGTTCTGAGGAAATTTTATCCGAGTACTCTATTGACGCCATCGAGCGCAACAGATCCTGCTGCGCCGGGGGCAGTACTTCTCCCTGTTGAATATTGCGGACCACTTCATTTAACACACCGTAGCCAGCCTGTTCCTCGATGAAAGCCTGCATGTCTGAGAAACGCGACGGATCCAGCAACCGCAGGCGGGCATAGTGACTTTCTACCCCCAGCTGTTCCGGCGTCGCGGTGAGCAGCAACAAACCAGGACAAACCGCCGCCAGGTCAGCAATGGTCTGGTATTCAATGCTGGGTTGATCAGGTTGCCACTGCAGATGATGAGCTTCATCAACCACAAGCATGTCCCAGCCCGCCTCAATTGCGAAGTCCGTTATCTGGGCATCTCCGGTCAACGTTTTCAGCCCGCACAGCACCAGCTGTTCGGTTTCAAAAGGATTCCCCTCTTCGCTATCGAGCAATGCCTGCAAGCGCGGCGCGTCAAACAAAGAAAAGCGTAGACCAAACTTACGCAGCATCTCAACCAGCCACTGGTGTAACAAAGCATCAGGTACAACTACCAGAACACGTGTTGCCAATCCACTGTGCAACTGGTGATGCATGATCAGGCCGGCTTCGATGGTTTTGCCCAGACCCACTTCATCCGCCAGCAGGACTCTTGGTGCATATCGTCGGGCTACTTCCTGGGCAATATAAATCTGGTGAGGCAACAGTGAAGTGCGCGGGCCTAACAGCCCTCTCGCCGGCGAGCTTTGTAACTCGTGCTGGTGCACCAGGCTGGCGACCCGCAGCGTATACTGATCGGACTTGTCAAATTGTCCGCTGAGCAGCCGCTGCTTTGGTGAACTGAGCTGCACCACGCCGGAAATCTGTGTTTCAGGTAGCTGCAGAACTTGATCGTTTTCATCCCGTCCGGTGTAAAACAGAAGACCATCTAGGTTTTCTACCTGCTCAACCATCACTGGTGTCTGTTCCGCGGTATGCACAATTTCACCCACGGCATAAATGATGCGCGCGAGCGGCGCATTATTCAGCGCGTACACCCGGTCTTCCTCCGCCACCGGGAAGCGCAACGTGACATGCCGCCCTTCTACGCCCACCACAATGCCTAAACCCAATTCCGATTCGGTTTGGCTCACCCAACGCTGACCTAAGACAAATTCCATAACACCGCTTTGTTAAACTGATAAATGTTGGGCACTATGCAGATCTCTGCCACATCACCCAAAAAAAGGGGCTGGATTCTAGCAGACCTAAGCAACAGGTATTAGAGGTCTGTGATTAAAACTATGGCTATATCGAAAACACCGCGGACAGACGCTTCGAAATTCTCAGGATCAAAGTCGCACCGTCAACTGGATGAGGCTTACGAACTGAGCCCGGAACAGCTGGATTTCTATCACACGAATGGCTTTATTCGTCTGAAAAACGTGCTGGATAGCGACTCAATTGCCTACTACAACATCGTTATTACCGAAGCGGTCCGCAGTTGGACCCCCGCTATATTTCTTGCACAGTTGCGCAACGATTGTGGCCCGGAACTGGCTGACAAGCTCAGGCCTTACCTTCTCGCAACAACAGCCCAGGGCGCCACAGATACCTATAGCCGGGCATTTACCCAGAGGATGAACCTTTGGCGCCACCATGCTGAGATAGAAAAGCTGGTGCGCAGCAAGCGCCTGGCAAAACTGGCTGCCGATCTGATGCAGGTGGATGGTGTGCGCCTGTACCATGATCAAGCATTGTTTAAGGAGGCACAGGGCGGCTACACACCCTGGCATGTTGATCAGTTCTACTGGCCACTGTCGAACAACAACACCATCACGCTGTGGATACCGCTGCAGGCTGTCAGTGCGCACATGGGACCGCTGGCCTTCGCAGCAGGTTCCCACCAGGCCATGCCTGAACAGGCCGCAGATCTTGGCATTTCGGACAAATCTGAACAGATGCTCAACAGCCTGATGAAGAATTTTGAATACATTAATGCACCGTTTGACCTGGGCGAAGTGAGTTTCCATAGCGGCTGGACCTGCCATCGGGCTGATGGCAATAAAAGTGACCAGACCCGCGCCGCGTTTTCGCTCATCTACATGCAGGACGGCATTCGCATGAGTACCCCCAAGCATCGAAATCACGCCATGGACGCGCAGATGTGGCTCCCCGGCATACAAAGCGGTGAAGCAGCCGCTTCACCCATCAACCCCGTGCTGTTCTCACGCAGCCTCAACCATTAATCTGATCGCACCTTGATAAGCACCACAAACAGGTAAATTCATGGACTACTTACTTGATCGCGACTGGCGCTCGCCGATCCGTTATCCCGACCCTGCCATTGAAGTCCTGGACCAGGCTTTTCGCCAGTACGTGCTGGCTAGCGCAGCGTTGGAACGCATCTGGACAGGCGGTCGCTGGACCGAAGGTCCTGTATATTTCGGTGATTTACGCAGCCTCATCTGGAGTGATATTCCCAACAACCGAATGATGCGTTGGGATGAGACCAGCGGCGAAACCTCTGTTTTCAGGGCGCCTGCCGACTATGCCAACGGCAATACCCGGGACCTGCAGGGTCGGTTAATCACCTGTGAACATGGCAGCCGGCAGGTCACCCGCACAGAGCACGATGGCACGGTAACTGTGCTGATCAAACACTTCGACGGGAAGCGGCTGAACGCGCCAAACGATGTGGTGGTCCATCCCGATGGTGCCATCTGGTTCACTGACCCCGGCTACGGTATTCACTGGCACTACGAAGGCCACAAAGCGCAGTTCGAACTGCCCACACGAATCTATCGCCTCGATCCCGACAGCGGTGCAGCTACAATCGTGGATGAACAGCTCAACAAACCCAACGGACTGGCCTTCTCCCCGGATTATAAAAAACTCTACGTTTCCGATACCGGTGCATCACATACTCCGGGGCATCCACGAGCGATCCACGTGTTCGACGTCATCGACAATGAACGCTTGAGCCCACCTACGCAGTTCTGCGACTTTGAAACTGCCGGGCCTGATGGCTTTCGCGTAGATACGCAGGGCAACTTATGGTGCGGGGCTGCCTGGGGCGACGCTGGCGCAGACGGTGTATTTGTCTACGCGCCAAACGGTAAAAAGATTGGCGCGATCCACCTGCCCGAGGGGGTATCAAACGTTTGTTTTGGGGGACCGAAGCGCAACCGCCTGTTCATGACTGGGTCGCAGTCCGTTTATGCACTTTATGTTGACGCTCAGGGTATGCCCTACCCGGGATAACCAGGCCAATCAGACCACTGACAGGGGTCTTTAACTCGGCGGCCTGTCATGCAGAACCCCCTGCTCCTGCAGCGTGGACACCTGTTCATCCGTGTAACCCAACCAGTGGGTCAGCACACTATGATTATCAGCACCGAGGTCCGGACAGGGCAGCCATTGTCCCGGGTCCAAACCAGGCATATGAATTGCATTGCCCGGCATCGGCGTATTGAAACGCTCCAGAGGCTGAAAAAAATTTCGCGCCTTTACCTGTTCGTCATCCAGCATTTCAGCTGCATTATTAACCGGTCCCGCAGGTATGCCGCTGGCTTGCAGTATCTCTGCCGCTGCATTTTTTTCCAGCGATGCTGTCCACACGCCGATCGCTTTATCTATGGTTTGCCTTGCCTGCAGGCGTTGTCTTAAAGACCAGGCATCATCAAGACCCTTTACAAGCTCACAAAGCTGCTGCCATTGCACTTCTGTCTGACAGGCCAACGCCAGCCAGTTATCTTCACCCTGACAGGGATACACCCCGTGTGGTGCCAGTCGAGGATGCGCATTGCCCTGACACACCGGCGTCTCACCGAGTTGGGTGTCTATTAACCAGGGTCCGTTATAGGCCACCCCGGTTTCGTGCAAACTCAGTTCAACATAGGCTGCTTTACCGTCAAGCTGGCGTTTGCGCAAGGCCTGCACAACGGCGCTGGCCGCGTGAGTTGCAGCGATCGGATCCATCAACGCCATTGCGGAATTCACCGGCGTAGCGGCATCGTAACCCAACATTTTTGAAAAGCCGGTCATCGGTTCAACGATCGGGCCGAATGCCACCCTGCGATGGTAGGGACCGCTGGCGCCAAACCCAGGCATGGAGACATAGATAATCTGTGGATTCGCCTGCTTCAGCACCTCAAAGTCCAACCCCATCGCCGGCATTGCTCTGGCGCTGAAGTTCTCGATAATGACATCAGCCACCGTAACCAGCGCCAACAGCAGATCACGCCCCTCCCGCTGCTTTAGATCAACGCAAACACTCTGACGATTGCGGTGCAGCTTGTTGAAGACGGCGTTGACGTTCCAGGGTTCTTCACCGGCTTCACCACCCAGCCAGCCACCAATAGGTTGTGAAGGGAATACCTGAGAGCCGCGCCCGTAAGGTGCTTCAATTTTAACCACATCAGCGCCCAGGTCGGCCAGAAAGCGTACCGCCAGCGGCCCAGCCCAGACATGGGTCAGATCTAACACCTTCACGCCGTTCAGCGGCCCGTTTACCGGCAGTTTTACCATGACACCGCACCCTTTGCCGCGGTTGCGGATACCTCTGCCTGCAGAAAAGGATACGCCGGTGTATAAACTGGTTCACCGGAGTCCGTCAGCAGCGTCTGCCAGAACTGACGCGCCTGCAGATGCGGATCCGCCAGTACCTGCTCGAAGGACAGAACAACACCCAGAGGGATACGGCAGGATTCAGCTTTATCGATCAGGTAGTCCATTGAGTGCCGGGCTAGCTCATGCGCTATCAGTGTATGCAAAGCGTCCCGATTGGCCATGCGCAAATCGTTGTTTTCAAAGCGTGCATCCATCAGAAGCTCTGGCTGGTCAAGAAAAACAGTCAGTGGGTCCCAGAAGGCAGGCACTATGTTCAGATATACCCACCCATCTGCACAGGCAAACAGCTGACTCGGAACCACAAACCAGAAGTCACTGCCGTGACGCGAACGCAATTCGCCCGCACAGTGCCAACGTACTGTGGTGAACTGCGACAGCGACATCAAAGTTTCCAGCTGCCCGATGTCTATCTGCGTCGTTTGCCCTGCCCAACGCGCGGAGTTTGCGGCGGTAAATGCCAGCGCGCCGGTTTGAAATTCCAGATAGTGACCGGGCAGGCTGAGTGGCGCACGATCCGGCTCACCGATTAAATGGGTATAGCCACCCATTGCCAGCAACACGTTGGCACTCGCCCGCCAGTTGGCTTTCGGTCCGGTGCGACCAAAGGGCGTGAGTGCTACTTTCACCGGCGACGTCCAGAGGTCAAACCCAAGCTGATCAAGTTCGTCTGCCGTGTCCGCTTCACAAACCACGACATCAGCTTTACCCGCGAGTGCTGCCAGCAGATCGAGATCGCTGGTAGCAATCTTGCGTTTCTGCGGGTGCAGGAACAGATCCATGGCTTTTTCACTCGCCCAGGCTGGAGAGGGTTCGGTCAACTCCAGCCGCACAACATCCGCCCCGGATGCAGCAAACAACTTGCCGCAGTAGCCCGCCGCATAACCGCCAATTTCCAGCACTTTATCCATCTCTGTGGAATACCCTTTGCACTTACCTGCCACCTGTCTGATCACAGCGTTATATAAGTTCACCCGGTTGTCCAACGCTGGATTTGTATGGGCTTACAGGGCAAGTCCACGAGCACGTGCCTGCTGTTCTACCTTCTGTTATGTTTCTTGGTAATCGATTTCGAACTGACGATGACACCATGAGGCCAGAGTATTGAAGAAGAAAAGAGTCGGCATTCAATTGCCAAAACAGGCACGCAATCAGACTGTCGAAGAACGTTATTCTCTCGAACTTGAAGCGTTAGCACCGATTGCCGAGATCATCGATGTGCCGGCAGATACCCCAGCGGAGTTTGCCGCCGGCGTACGGGACATGGATGCCATTATCACGTCCTGGGGTTTGCAGATCGACCAGCAGGTCATCAGTAATCTCAAACAATGTGTCGTTATTGGTGTCGGCAGCGTCGGCGTGGATATGGTGGATATTGCAGCTGCCACCCGGGCCGGGATAGTGGTGACCAACGTGCCGGATATTTTTATTGAAGAAGTCGCCGATCACGCCATGGGATTACTGTTGGATCTGGCCCGACGCACACCCACCATGGTGCGCATGGCGAAGTCCGGCGACTGGTATCAGGCACGACCGCTGTTAAGCAAAATTCCACGACTTTACGGGCAGACGCTGGGTCTGTTTGCCTTTGGCAACGTTGCCCACTGTATGGCCCGCAGGGCAAAAGCATTTGGCCTTAACGTTATCGCGTACGACCCTTACGTGAGCGAGCTGGAGATCACCGGCGCCGGGGTTGAACCGGTCAGCTTCGATGAGCTCCTGGCGCGCAGTGACTATCTTTCGATCCACTCTCCGCACAATGAAGAGACCGAGCATGCCTTTGATCAGAACGCGTTTGCCCGGATGAAAAATACAGCAGTCATCATCAACACAGCGCGCGGCCCGATGATCGACGAAGCCGCTCTGATTGCCGCACTAGGCGCGGGGGAAATAGCCGGAGCAGGTTTGGATGTACTCGAGCAGGAACCACCAGAACTGGATAACCCATTGTTTTCAATGGAAAATGTGGTAGTCACACCACACGTAGCTTCAGCCACTACGCGGATGCGGCCGGAGACCCGACGACGGGTCGGCCGCGAAGTTGCGCTGGTGCTGCGCGGGCGCTGGCCGATGAGTTGCGTGAACCCAACGGTCCTGCCGAAGGTCGCCCTGGAGCGCTGGCAGCCCTACCCGATGAGCAGAGGGCCTAATCGCTAGAGGTCTTTTCCGGCTTATCTTTACGGAAAGCCAGCGGAATTTTAGGGTCACTGACCAGACCCACCGCCTGCAACATACGAATCAACACCCAGGTGGCATCAACCTGCCACCATTCCAGACCATGACGTGCGGAACTGGGGAATTTGTGATGGTTGTTGTGCCATCCCTCACCAAAACCCAGCACCCCGATGAACACGTTATTGGTGCTGGCATCACCTGCGTCATAGGGACGAGATCCCCAGCGGTGACAGACTGAGTTCACCATAAACGTGACATGCCAGGTAAAGACTGTGCTGATGAAAAAGCCCCACACCACCATTTGCAGACCAGAAGTATTGTAAGCCTCACCCAGCCAGGCGCCCAGGGCGTACATCAACACCGGCTGAATAATGATCAACCAGACGTAATGGCGCTGCAGAAATTTGATCTCCGGGAATTTATGCAGATCCCGTGAATTGGTGCCTTTCTCGTTAAACGCCGCATCCGTCATCATCCAGCCCATATGCGCCTTCCACATACCGTGGGTCACAGGTGAATGTATATCTTCTTCAGTTTCAGTGGCCGCATGGTGATGACGGTGATGCGCAACCCACCATAAAGGCCCGCCTTGAACCGCCAGACTGCCCGCCAGCGCAAACAGAAACTGTACGGGCCTACTGGTTTTAAATGAGCGATGTGCAAGCAGGCGATGGAAGCCGGTCGTAACACCCATGCCACGGAATACGTACATCGCGAAGGCGACGGCAAACGCCGCCCAACTGACCCCAGTATAAAATGCGCCCAGGCAGGCCAGATGGAATACGCTCATACCTATGATGACGCTCCAAACCTGGGAGCGCGCGCGCGGAACTTCCTGAGTCATTTCAGCCATGACGTTAGTATGCCCTCCAAGGCAGATCGGTACTTACGCGGATGTTAACCATTATCGTTGCCGACTACCACGCGGGTTCTACGTATTTCCACGGGATCTTTAAACCGGCTCACGCTGTCCGACAAAACCTTCCCCTCAGGCTTTGACTGCCAGACCGTGGATCATGAACGCGGCAAATTTAGGACCGTCAACATAGCCCCTTTCCTGCGCAGATATTTTGAATCCCGCATCCACCAGCAACTCTTCAGGTCGGCGGGTCAAATGACAGCCGCCGCCTATCTTCTTCCAGATGGGTTCAATGCGACGCTGCCATTTCACCACTTTAGGTTCATCAGAACGGCCATGTTCAACAAAGATCATCTGGCCACCCGGTTTTAACACACGATACATCTCTGCCACTGCGCGGTATGGATTAGGGATACTGCATAAGGTCCAGGTACAGACAATGGTGTCAAAAGAATTATTGTCCAGATCCAGAGCTTCCCCGGAAATGCCCAGCACCGATACCGGCACCGATAGCGCATCCGCGCGCTCAGCCGCTTTCGCGGTTAACTCCGCCGCAGGATCAACGCCGGTAATAGAGGTAACCCCTTCGCCATAATGAGCAAGGTTCAACCCACTGCCGATCCCAATCTCAAGCACCTCACCGGTGGCCTGGCTAACATACCGATTGCGCAGCTTGGACATGGGTGGCTGCGAACAGGCCGCGTCGATCAGTCGGGGCAGTACATACTTTTCGTACAGGTTAGGCATCAGGGGTCTCACTGGTGATTCTATTTCTGAAAGCTTGGACGATCAGCTGAGCTGATTCTATGGGCGCATGGCGGGCTGTATCAATACAAATGATTGGCCTGGGTAATGGCGGAAAATCAAAACCACCGGCGCTCTTTATGGAAGCATACAACGCTTTATCCAACAACTTTCCGAACGCTGCGCGACTCGGCTCGTTCAGCCGCTCACTCACGGATTCATCATCACACTGCAATTCTACAAAATGCACCTGACCCGACGCTGCATAGACGGGGGCCAACATTTCTTCGAGCAATGAATAGGTTACTGTTGCCTCGGGAGTGAAAGTGAAAATAAACGATTTTCTGGCCTGCGCTGCTGCCGCAAAACAATTTCGCCATAACACGCCACGCAGCGCTACGAACTCTGGCGTTCCAAAATCAAACAAAGTCCGCGCAGCGTCTACCACCAGATGATTATGAAACAGCGGCAGGCCCAGCATTGAGCTGAGCAGACTGCCAATCGTATATTTTCCCGATGCCGCCGGGCCATGCAGAAAAAATACGTCAAATCTGTGTTCTGCCGCGTCCGACTCCATCGCCACGTTAATGCATCCTGATTATTGGTAAACATCCCCTCTCCTGACAGACAGTGTCAGGAGTGTTGTCCGCGAGACCTTGTCGCGTGGACCATATCGCCGTAAGTTGCCTGTCATTCTTCGGAGGAAAGCCATGAACAATGACCAGAGCGTAGCAAATGCACACACCAACGTCCCCGCGATGACACTGGTGACCCTCGGCGGGGCTTTCGATATGCGCAACGTCAGCCCGTTCTGTTTGAAAATTGAAATGCTGATGCAATCTCTCGGACTCAAATTTGATCTTGCAGAGCAACCAGACCCCCGCAAGGCACCCAAAGGCAAATTGCCTTACCTGGAAGTGGATGGCAAAACCCTGCCCGATTCAGAATTGATCACCGAATACCTTAACGAAATCACCCATGGCGCCGTCTACGCCGGTCTCACAAGCCAACAGCAGGCCTATGGGGTCGCACTGGCTCGTCTGGCTGAGGATCATTTATATTGGTTAATGGTTGCCAGTCGCTGGCTCGACGATAGCTGGTGGCCAAATGTCGTAGACGGTTTTTTCCATATCGCGCCAGCAATTATTCGACCGCTGGTCGCAGGTGCTGCACGACGGCAGGTCCGTCAGACCTACGACCTGCAGGGCCTTGGGCGACACAGCATCAGCGAACAACGCGGCTTTGCCGAACGGGATCTGCAAGCCCTGCAGGATGCGGTGGCAGATCAGAACTTTCTGTTCGGCGACACCCCAAATATTTTTGATTTCACGGTGGCCGGCGTGATGTCAGGCATTTACGATAACCGGCCACCGACCTGGTTAACCGAGATGGCGCAGAATTACTCGAAACTGCAGGCCTATACCGAACGGGTGCAGGCACACACGGGCATTTACGGAAGGAAGTAGTCGAATGATGGATTTTAAGGTCGCAAGCAACGTAGCCACTATTGGCATGGATGACGGCAAAGCCAACGCAGTTGGGCATAACTTTATCGACAACATGAATGAGGCCCTGGACCGTGCTGAAAAGGAAGCCCAGGCAGTACTGATCACTGGACGAGAAGGCGTCTTCTCAGGTGGCTTTGACTTGAAAGAGTTTGCCAAAGGGGTAGATGCAACCAATGCGTTGGTGAACAAAGGTGCAGCAATGTTGTTGCGTCTATTCAAACATCCACAACCTCTTGTTGTGGCCTGTGCAGGCCATGCGGTAGCAGCAGGCGCATTTACCCTGCTGGCAGCAGACACGCGAATCGGCGTCAGTGGACCTTTCAAGATAGGTTTGAATGAAACCGTGATCGGCATGACCCTGCCTACGTTCGGCCTGCAGCTGGCCGCCGCGCGTCTGTCCAAACGCTTACAGACAAAGGCCACCATACAAGGCCATCTTTTTGCGCCAGAGGAGGCTTTGGATGCAGGTTTTCTTGATCAGGTGGTATCACCAGACTTGCTGATCGACACAGCTTTTTCAATTGCAGTGGAGCTTGCCCAGTTGCCTACCGGGGCTTATGCGGCAAACAAGCTGGCGGTACGAGCACCTTATATTGCAGTTATTGAGTCCAGCTTAGGATGATCCAGCTGATTAAAGCCAGACTGGCCCTGTCATCACTCAAGAATTCTGTTGGACGTCTTCCGGCACGCTGAAAAAAGCACCCCGCTTGGGCTCTTTCTTCTCTTTGAACTGGTCACAACCTTCCGCTTTGAGCAGACAGCTGTAACAGGAAAGAATCGGTATCATCAGAAAAGCTGACAGCAACATACCTAAGCCTTCAAGCGCAGCACCGGTTTTGTGCCATTGCGCCTCAAAGTGAGGCGCCATGGTAAAGAAGCCGGCGAAGTAGAAAAACATAATGGCGGTAGTACCTACGGCGAGTACACGCGCTGTATTAATACCCATGCCACCGGACTTAACCGTGGCTAACGCAAAAAAAGCGCCGAGACCGTAGACAAAGATAAAATGCAGGTGATTAGGTATAAACGCGTGCAGCACCGCAAATACCAGCAGTACACATCCAATTATCGCGTTCACAGTTCGCATTCAGATCACACTCCACAAAATTGTTCGGGCTAAATCTTCACCACAACCGACACCTGGGCTACATCGTGCTAGATGCAGGTGCACTCGCTATATTTTCCGCAGTCTTTCTGTCTACTGGCATATCCATATACCTGATTCATTGTTTTGGATGGGGTAAATAGAGTCAACCATTATGTTACCCAAAGTGACATATTCATTGTAAAAATAGCGCTTTTTAGCGCCTTTTAATCTTTTAAACTATTCATTATATCGAAATAGAATAAAATTCCAGGCAACAAACCCGAGCACACCAGATACTCGCGACTCACCCGATTTTAGCTGATTGGCCACCATCGACTGGCAATGCCACCCCGGTAATGAATTTGGCTTCATCTGATGCCAGGAACAGTGACGCGTTTGCAATGTCCCAGGCGCTCCCCATCTGCCCCAGCAAGGGGACTGCTGCGTTGCGGCGAGCAATGACAGTTTCACGATCCTGACCACTGGCCACATAGCCTTCAATGGCCATGGGCGTTTCAATCAGCCCGGGCATAATCACATTAGCGCGAATGCCGAATCGAGCGTTGCTCATGGCTAACGCCTGGGTATAGGCATTCAGCCCTGCTTTCGAGACTTTGTAAGCTGTTATGTTTGTCGCCGCAGCGATAGCTGCGACCGACGAAATATTGGTGATAACACCTCGGTTCACGGCGCGCATATGCGGCAGAACGGCTTTACACATCAACATCACCGACGTGGTGTTGGTGGCCAGTATTTTATCCCACACCTCTTCCGTTAGCCGCGCCGGGCTGGCATCTCCTGTACCTATTCCAACGTTGTTCTGCAGCACATCGATGACACCGAATTCAGCCATGATCTGAGCAATACAGGCATCAATCTCATCAGCTTGAGTCACGTCGAGTGCATAGGCTTTCGCCCGACCACCCTCCTCCTCAATCAAGGCTACAGTCTCCTCCGCAGATGAGAGTCGTTTGTCCAGCACCAGCACATGGGCACCTTCCTGGGCAAAACGCAAAGCAGTGGCGCGCCCATTCCCCAGGGTTGCCCCTGGCGTCTGTCCACCGCCACTGACCACGGCAATCCTGTTATCTAAACGTCCCACCCAGGTAATCCTTCGTCAAGTTGTACACCAAAACTATTCAGCGCCATGCAGACCAGGTTGTACTGCCCGACCGTGAACACCAGGTCCATAAGCTGTTGCGTATTGTAGTGCTGCTGTAAACTCTGCCAGGTTATATCACTGACAAACGCGTCTGCGTGCAGCTCGTCTGTGGCCTCCAACAACAGCTTGTCCAGCGCAGATAAGCCAGCTGTATCGGGGCCGGTTCGGGCGCTGCGGATTTCCTCATCAGACATGCCGGCCTGACGCGCAATCTGGACGTGCTGTCCCCACTCATATCCTGCCTGGCAGAGCCAGCCGATGCGCAGAATCAGTAACTCACGATCGCGTACACTCAGCGTAGATTTACCCAGAATGTGATTGGCAAAAACCATCCAGCGCTTTGCCAGTGCCGGGTGATTAGCGAGGGTGCGAAATATATTGAAAACACGCCCCTGCTTCACAAATGGCGCCAGCAACTCCTGCGCTTCTGTATCCCATTCCTGTTCATTGAGTGCCTTCACCCGTGATTGTTTTAACCGCATATTATCTCCCCTGACGACTGCGTTGATATCAAAGTAAACTAGAGCCCAAATGATGTATACAGGCAAGCAGGATGAATATTGAGGTCAACAGGCACAATCGGATAACCGTCATCACCATCAACCGACCCGCAGCCCGCAACGCAGTCGACGGACCAACGGCTACGGAACTGGCAGAGGCATTTAAGTCCTTCGATGCAGACCCCGGTGCTGACGTTGCCATTTTAACCGGTGCCAGTCAGACCTTCTGTGCCGGCGCTGATCTGAAAGCCGTGGCTACGGGTGACGGCAACAGGGTTTCGACCAGAGGTGATGGCCCGATGGGTCCTACACGTATGCTGTTGTCGAAACCTGTGCTTGCCGCGGTAGAAGGTCACGCTGTGGCTGGCGGCCTGGAGCTTGCAGCCTGGTGTGACTTGCGTATAGCTGCAGAAAACGCAGTGTTCGGCGTGTACTGCCGACGCTGGGGTGTACCACTGGTTGATGGGGGCACTATTCGCTTAACCCGCCTGCTGGGAACAAGCCGCGCCATGGATTTAATCCTCACGGGTCGCGGCATCAGTGGCGAAGAAGCCCTGCAGATGGGCCTGGTCAATCGCCTGAGCAAACCTGGCCAGGCGCTGAACGATGCATTGGCCCTGGCAGAGCAGTTGTGTCAATTCCCACAAAACTGCATGCGCAGCGATCGCCTGAGTGCCTATAAACAATGGGATCAACCACTGGAAAGTGCGCTCATACAGGAAACCGAACTGGGTCTTGCGGTCATCAAAAGTGGCGAAACCGCCGCCGGCGCCGCACGCTTCGCTGCAGGCAAAGGACGTCATGGTGATTTTAAAGAGATTTAAGGCAAACTCTGCTCAGTTAATCGGGCGCACATCGTAACCTTGCGCTTCCAGCACCTGAGTCACATTGTCTTTCTGCTCTTCGCCGCGCATCTGCAGTACCAGTTCAACCAGTGTTGCGCGAACAGACGATCCACCAAAGGCGCGTTGATGACTGATATCAACAATATTCGAATCCAGATCGCCAAGCAGTGTTGTCAGATTAGCCAGGGCACCGGGTGTATCCGGAATTTCAATCTCCAGTCGTACCAGTCGATGTGAACGCACCAGTCCACGCTGCAATACCGAAGACAGAATCATCATGTCGATGTTACCGCCACAAACAAGCATCCCCACGCGCTTACCCCGAAAAGCAGCCGGCTGATTACGCACCAGCGCCAGGCCAGCGGCACCCGCACCTTCCGCAACTGTTTTTTCAATCTCCAGAAGATCAAATATAGCCTGCTCAACCATCTGTTCACTGACGAGCTGGATGTCATCCACCAGGTCATTAATGATGGCACTGGTCAACACACCGGGCGCTTTGACAGCAATACCTTCAGCTACGGTGAAGCCATGGCTGACGTTCGCCTGGGGCTGTTTATGAAAAGCCGCATACGCGTTGGCAAAACGCTCCATCTGGACCCCAACCACCTGTATTTGTGGCGCTACAGATTTCACTACCGTTGCTATGCCGCTGATCAGACCACCGCCGCCAATCGGCACAACAATCACATCCAGGTCCTTGACCTGAGCAAGCATTTCCAGAGCCACGGTGCCCTGCCCGGCAATCACATCGGGCTCATCAAATGGATGAATCAGTGTTATACCGCGCTGTTGGGCAAGATCTTTGGTGAACTGCAATGTTTCATCAAAGGTACTACCCTGCAGAATCACTTCCGCACCTAACATGCGGGTGGCTTCTACTTTTGCATTAGGTGTCGTGCGGGGCATGACAATCGTTGTTGGAATACCCAGACGAGTACCGTGGTACGCCAGTGCCTGGGCATGGTTTCCCGCCGACATAGCCGTCACACCACCCGCTACGGCCGCAGGATTTTTCAGCAGACTATTTAGCGCTCCACGCTCTTTAAATGAGGCCGTGAACTGCTGGTTTTCAAACTTAATAAACAGCTCGCAGCGTAACTGCGCAGAGAGCGTCTGTGACTGGGTAAACGGCGTTTTAATCAGATGCCCAGCCAGACGCTGCGCCGCTGCTTCAACATCAGTAAGGGTAATGGCCATAGGCTCAGATTCATACATTCAACAGGCGCGCGAGTATACTGCGGCTTTGATTTGTATACAGCGTTTGAACTTGAAACATCTTTTACTCGTCTACCACAGCAAAACCGGAAATACCCAGGCAATGGCTAATGCGATTGCCGAAGGTGCGCGCCACCAGGACGTTGCAGGTGTTGAACTGCGTTTTTTACGCGCAAATGAAGCAGGGCCGGAAGATCTGTTGTGGGCCGATGGCTTGTTGATTGGCTCACCGGAAAATTTTGGTTACCTGTCCGGCATGATCAAAGACTTTCTGGACCGGACATTTTACGAAGTGGAGGGTAAATTATCCCCATTGCCTTATGCAGTGTTCATTTCCGCCGGCAACGACGGCACCGGCGCTATCCGGGCATTGGAGCGTATCGCAAACGGCTATCCTTTTGTTAAGGTGCAGGAGCCATTGATCAGTCGTGGTGAGGTCACCGAGGCAGATCTGAATGCCTGTCGAGAGTTGGGGTTAACTCTGGCAGCCGGCCTTGAACTGGGTTTGTACTGAAACGACCACCACACGTGGCACTAGCCACAGCAATCAAGCAACGACATTCACAGCAGTAAAATACATTGTCAGACATAACCGCCCGCATTCTCCACAACATCAACGAAATGCCCGCAGAACAATGGGACAGCTGCCACGCCCGCCAGATTTATAACCCCTTTGTCACACACAAATTCCTGCACGCGCTTGAGAGCAGCGGGTCGGTAAGCACCGAAACCGGCTGGCAACCTTTTCACATAGCGGTTGAAGACAACGACGCGCTGGTCGGGGTGGTGCCTGCCTATTTAAAAAATCATTCCCAGGGGGAATACGTCTTTGATTACGGCTGGGCAGATGCCTGGCATCGTGCGGGGGGCGACTATTATCCGAAGATGCAGATCAGTATTCCGTTTACACCTGCCACAGGCCCCCGCCTGCTGACTCGCACAGACAATCCGGAACATGAACAACTGTTGCTCGGCGCTTGTATGCAGATTGCCCGACAGATTGAAGTGTCCTCAATCCACATCACGTTTATGCAGGAGCAGCAGTGGCGCAGTGCTGCCACCGCAGGCTTTCTGCAGCGTATGGACCAGCAGTTCCACTGGCACAACGGCGGCTATGAAGATTTTGACGGCTTCTTAGCGGACCTGGCATCAAAGAAACGCAAAAACATCAAACGTGAAAGGCGTGATGCGCTGGCTGACGGTATTGAAATCGAGTGGGTAACCGGCGAGCACCTCACCGAGGCACACTGGGATGCGTTTTATCACTTCTACATGGATACCAGTAATCGCAAATGGGGCAGCGCCTACCTCAACCGCCAGTTTTTCAGTCAGATCAATGATGTCATGGCCGAGGATATCCTGCTGATCATGGCTAAACGCGATGGACGTTATATTGCCGGAGCCATCAATTTCATCGGTGGTGATACCCTCTTCGGTCGCAACTGGGGCTGTATCGAAGACCATCGCTTTCTGCATTTCGAGGTGTGTTATTACCAGGCTATAGACTTTGCCATCAGTCGCGGTCTGAAAAAGGTGGAAGCTGGGGCACAGGGCGCACATAAAGTGGCGCGGGGATACTTGCCTGAACCTACCTACAGTGCCCACTGGATTGCAGACGCCAGTTTCCGTGAAGCGGTTGAACGCTTTGTGAACGATGAACGACGTTACGTCAGGGAAGACATTGCCCACCTCGAGACACGCACGCCATTCAAGTCCAGCACAGACCTGCAGGCATTGCGCAAACTCAGTTTGTCTGAGCAGAATAAAACGTCATAAATTCAGCAACATAAGCCTTGAATCTACGGACGTTATCAGGACCCATACGTAACAGTTGTTTATCCAGCTCAGAGCGACTTTCCAACTCGGGATCGGCATACAGATACATCACATTCGGCTGCACCAGCATCACTGGCGCATCAAGCACAGGTAACGCCTCAATCTGGCTGGCCGCCGCCTGTAAAGTGTTCTGCAGCGGTGTGCGCTCACCCAATAGCGCAAAAGCTTGCACCAAGAGCGGCTCCATCTGATTCAACAACTGCGCCGCGCGAGCTGGCGGCATCTTTTCAAGTAAATCCAGATAAGGGGTATACCGCGCATAACCCGCAGGGTCTGCAAAGATTACTTCGCCGTCTTTCACCACCGGAAAAACCTCGCTGGGTGCCAGAAAACTCAGCTGGCGCCGGGGTAGTTGTCCCTGGGCTGCGTTCTGCAGCACGACGGACAGACGCGCAATGAGATCTTCTCGCGCCAACCATTCTGCTGGAAGCGACCATTCCCCGAGGGATTCACGCACCCAGGCATCACTTTCAGACAACAATGGGAGCGTCGGCTCCGGGAGCGCGTCTGCGGATCTGACATCAACGCTTTCAACCACCGGCGCCTGGTTTGTCATATTCTGAACCGGCAGGTTTTCAGCTGGCGTCGACATTTCATCCTGAGGCATCACTTGATCTTCAGCTGCCTCGTCACCGTGCGGCCAGAACTGGATACCCAGAATAATGATCAGCGCCGCACCGACCCCGGCCAGAAGGAAACCCGTTCGCATGACTATGCCCCCATCAAGTTCTGATAAAACTGTATAACGCCAAAGTTCGGAACTTTGGACCTCATGTACCGCCTCCGGGTTCAATCGGATACCTCACCGGTTAATTCCACCGGCGCATCTGTGGCCGCTTTGAATTATCATAGGCGGCTACCTCATCCATCTATCACCTGAGTATGACCGAAGTAAAACAGACCGCCATCGCCCAACTCCTGGATCACACCATCGCCCTCGGCAGCCTTGTCGAGATTCGCGGTTGGGTGCGATCACGTCGCACCTCCAAAGGCGGCTTTTCTTTCATCCATCTGCACGATGGCTCCTGTTTCGATTCGATACAGGCCGTTGCGGATGGCGCACTGCCTAATTACGAAAACGAGATCGCTGAACTGGTGACAGGCTGTTCAGTCATTGTCCGCGGCGAACTGGTTGAGTCCCAGGGCAAAGGCCAGGATCGTGAAATCCAGGCCAGCGAAGTTGAAGTTGTCGGCTGGGTCGACGACCCGGAAACCTACCCGATCAGCAAAAAACGTCACAGCTTCGAATTTTTGCGTGGGGTTGCTCATCTACGACCTCGCACCAATACATTCGGCGCCATGGCTCGCGTACGGCACGCCATCGCTCAGGCGGTGCACAGCTATTTTGACCAACAGGGCTTTTTCTGGGTCAACACCCCCATCATTACCGCCAGCGATTGTGAAGGTGCCGGTGAGCTGTTCCGCGTCTCGACCCTGGATCAGATGAATCTACCCAAAGGCGGTTATAGCGAAGACTTTTTTGGTACCGAAGCGTTTCTCACCGTGTCAGGACAATTGAACGTAGAAAGCTATGCCTGCGCACTGTCGAAAGTCTACACCTTCGGGCCAACCTTTCGTGCTGAGAACTCCAACACCAGCCGCCACCTGGCGGAATTCTGGATGATAGAACCGGAGGTGGCGTTTGCAGATCTGGCCGCCAATGCGCAGCTGGCAGAACACTTTCTGAAAGCGGTGATCAAACAGATCACGATGAGGTGCCAGGACGATATGGCATTTTTCGCGCAGCACATTGATCAGGGCCTGACCGAGCGACTGCAGCATGTGATGGATAAACCATTTGAGATCATGACCTACACAGATGCGGTCAAACTGCTGCAGGAAAGCAAGCAGAAATTTGAGTATCCGGTGCAATGGGGCCTTGATCTGCAGTCGGAACACGAACGGTTCATTACCGAAACGGTCATTGGTGGTCCGGTTGTGGTGACCGACTATCCCAAGGAAATCAAAGCGTTTTACATGCGTGTGAATGACGATGAAAAAACCGTAGCCGCTATGGATGTGCTGGTTCCCGGTGTCGGTGAAATTATTGGCGGTAGCCAACGCGAGGAACGTCTTGACGTACTCGACAGCCGCATGGACGACGAAAAACTTAAGCAGGAGCTGTGGTGGTACCGTGATCTGAGACGCTACGGCACGGTTCCTCACGCAGGGTTTGGTTTGGGTTTCGAGCGCCTGGTGTTGTACCTGACAGGTATGGAAAACATCCGCGATGCTATTCCGTTTCCACGCGTACCCAATAACGCGGGCTTCTGAAGCAACTTATTTATGTTTGCATCCCTCTGGCGATTGCGCGTCTTCATCAAACCTTACAGCTTCGGCTGGTTCGCCGGTATCGTTGCGTTTGGTGTCGCGCGTTTCTTTGAGACGGCGGTTATTGTTTTGACCGCGGTAGCCATCAACCGCATCACGGAAGAAAACTACGATGTGCTGATGCCTGTACTGGGCATCTTCGGCGCCGTTGTTGCACGCTATATTGTCGTGACCTACGCTCGTTATGCGGTGCGCAAAGTTGGCCTGAACGTTGCGTTTGATCTGCGCCAGCAACTGTATAGTTCACTGCAGGATCAGGGTGCAAAATTTTATGCTGACCACAGCATTGGCGACATGATGACTCGTGCGGTCGCTGATATTTCTCTCGTCTACCGCCTGATTGCCATGGGTACCATCCTTGTGGTGATCCTTGTGTACGCAACCTTGTTCGGCTATGGCGCGATGCTTTATTACTCTCCCATGCTGACGCTGCTGCTGCTGCCACCGATGCCCATAGTGTTCTGGTACGCACAGAGATCTTCCATGCAGATGGGTATTGCCTCGCAACAGGTCCAGGAACGCCTTTCTGATCTGGGTACCCACGTGCAGGAGAACCTCAGCGGCATCCGCACCATTCAAGCCATGGTGCAGGAAGAAAACGAGATAAAACGATTTGCGCAGACGAACCAGAACTACGCAGAAGCTTTTTACGAACAGGGTCGGATCACGTCAGCCATGGCCGCGTGGATGCCGACCCTCGCAGCGGTTTGTTCTCTGACAATCTTGAGTTTCGGCGGTTACCTGGTGCTTGAAGGTAAAATGCTGGTTGGCGATTTTGTCGCGTTCATCAGCCTGGTTGCCATGGTTGTGCAGCCTTTTCGCGTCGCCGGTTTTATTGTCAACTTATTCCAGCGGGCTGCCGTGGCCAGTGATCGTTTGTTTGAGGTGATGGACCTTGCACCGGAGATCACCAATGCGCCAACTGGAAATACACCCGCAGTCATCAGCGGCGACATCAGGTTTAATCATTTAAGTTTCACGTTTCCAGGCAGCACCGAACCGGTATTGAAAGATATCAATCTGCACATTAAAAAGGGTGAGACGATTGCAATCATGGGCCGTGTTGGAGCAGGTAAGACTACCCTGCTTAAACAAATCGTCAGGATTCTCGATCCAGCGCCAGGCGCCATTCTCATAGATGGTCACGATATCGCCGATTATCCTTTAGCCCAGGTGCGCTCGCAGATTGCCATGGTGCCTCAGGACCCTTTCCTTTTTGCTGAACCATTAAAAGACAATCTGACTTATGACGATCCGAATCGCGCGCTGGAAGAAATCTGGCAGGCTGCCACGTCCGCTGATCTGAAAGCCACCATCGAAGACTTTCCGGATCGGCTCGACACTTTAGTGGGCGAGCGCGGCGTAACTTTGTCAGGCGGGCAGAAACAGCGCGCGACGCTGGCAAGGGGGTTTATCCGCAACGCCCCGGTGCTCGTTCTCGACGACTGTTTTTCAGCTGTAGATACTGAGACTGAAGAACACATATTGTCCGAACTGAAGCGATTGAGACAAACCCAGACCACATTACTGGTATCCCACCGTGTCAGTACCGCCCGTCATGCTGATCGCATAGTTGTGCTGGAAGACGGCGGCATTCGTGAAGTGGGCAGCCATGAGGAATTGATCGAAGCACAGGGTTATTACGCAGAACTGGAACGCGTGCAGCGTGAAGGTGCTGAAAACGAAAACTTTGCCGGTACGCGGGTGAGCAGCTGATGCAGAAACAAGCTGACAAGAACACTACGGAGCAGCGCGATCATGCAATGTTCGACGCAGACCTGAGTGGCGCTGTCTTAAACATGCACCTGCTGGGTCGGTTAATGCACTGGCTCAAACCCTATAAACTGTCCCTGCTGATCAGCACCGTGCTGGTACTGATTACGTCCACTCTGCAGATCCTCCTGCCGATCATCATTTCCCTGGTTGCCATCGATCACATCTTTCGTAATGAGTCTGATGCAGATACGCCGGATTTTGGCCTGATCGAACTGAACACCTATCTGGTTGACGTCACCGGATTGCCTGCGCTTGTGATTGCCTGTTTGATGTATGGCGTTATCCAGATTCTCTGGGCATTTACCGGCCATGCGCATCGCATGACTCTGATCGGCGCCGTGATCAAAGGCCTGCGCGACCTGCGTTTGGATCTGTTCAGACACCTGGAAACCCGGCCATCGTCTTTTTATGACCGCGTTGCCGTAGGCCGGGTGATGACCCGGGTCACCAACGATGTAGAAGCACTGTTTGAATTATTGCGCGGCTTAGGCAGCCTGATCGGAGAGTTTGTCCCGTTTTTTGTGGCCCTGACCGTCATGCTGGCCATCAACCCGGAACTCACTGTGATCCTGCTGTTGGCTTTGCCGATTTTAGCCGGAGCCACCTACTACTTCCGTCGCATGACACGACATCTATTCAGACAGGTTCGCCAGACGCTGTCCGCGTTGAACCAGAATCTGCAGGAAAACCTGGCTGGTCTGCAGGTAGTGCAACTCTCCGACCGGGAGGGGTTCAACCTCAAGCGTTATACCAGGATCAATGAGAAGAATCGCGATTTCGAATTGCGCTCGGCACGGGTTGAAACGCTTTATGGTGCATTCAACGATAGCCTTGCACATATTGCTATTGGCGTGATCATCTGGTTCGGTGCAAGTCAGGTGTCGACGATGGAAATGACGCTGGGGGAAGTTGTACTGTTTACTCAGTTTATCGGCATGCTGTTCCATCCTGTTGTGGTACTGGGAGAACAGACCAACATTCTGTTCCGTGCCATGGCCAGTGGTGAGCGGATTTTTCAGGCTATCGACTGGGATGAAAAAATCCACGAACCGGCTCACCCTGTGACACTTCCAAAGCGCCTTGCAGGTGAGGTGCGTTTCAATCACGTCAACTTCAGCTACCTTGATAACATGCCGATCCTGAAGGATGTGACTTTTACTATCGCACCTGGCGAAAAACTTGCCATCGTCGGCCCTACCGGATCAGGCAAAAGTACGTTAATACGCCTGTTAAGCCGCTTCTACGATTTTGATGATGGGCAGATCTTTCTGGACGGCGTAGATCTCAACCATATTCACAGCCACGATTTAAGAAAACGTGTCGGCGTCGTCCTGCAGGACTTCCATATCTTTTCCGGCAGCATCTACGACAACATTGCGCTCGGCAACCCGGACATTACCCTCGAACAGGCCACACAAGCGGCAAAGACAGTAAATGCACACGATTTCATTGTCTCACTGCCTGACGGCTATAACACGGTACTGACCGAGCGCGGCCAGAATCTGTCACAGGGACAGCGCCAACTTCTGGCGTTCGCGCGCGTGTTAGCAGCGGATCCGGAAATACTTGTGCTTGACGAAGCCACAGCGAGTATCGACACGGAGACGGAATTGTTAATCCAGGATGCTTTGCGACGCTTGACCCAGGACCGCACCAGCATTCTTATCGCCCACCGCCTGCAGACGATTCAGGAAGCGGATCGCGTCCTGGTATTACACAACGGTCGCGTCGAAGAGCTTGGCACCCACGAGGAACTGCTGGCGGCGCAGGGGTTATACAGCACCCTGCACAGCCTGCAGTTTCAGGAACCGGTAGTTGCAGAAGACTCCGCTTAGCTGACCACCTGGCCGGTGTGTGCTTCTTTGTAACCGTTCTGATCATAAGCCAGAGCGCCGTTAACGATGACCGAATTCACACCAATGGCATCACGCACATAACGCATGCCGGTACCGGGAATATCATGTACCGCCTGCTCTTCTCCACGGGCAATCTGATCAGGGTCAAAGACCACCACATCCGCAGCAAAACCCTCCTGCAGAAGTCCGCGGCCTTTTAAGCCCCAGATATTGGCGGTATCCAGGGTTATCTTTTTCACCGCCTGCTCCAGACTCAGACTCCCGGAACTGCGTACAAATTCACTGAACAGATAACCGGTATCACCGTAGGTTGCAAAGCTTGCGATATGCGCGCCACCATCAGAGGCACCCACATGCACCATGGGATCCGCCAGCAGCGGTCCAACCCGGGACGAATCATTGTGCCCCATATTGGCGGCGAGGAAGTGAACGTTAAGATCGTGCTGTAGGGACAGATCGATCATACATTCCGCTGGAGTTTGTTCGCGTTCGTCTGCCACCTCCGCCAGGGTACGCCCCTCTAGTTTTTCGTTTGCACCTTTGGTATTTCCAGATGTGCCCTCTGCAGAGGGTACGGAACGAATCACCAGCCCGCCTAACCAGCCTCGGCCACCGCCTGATCCCGCCGCCGCGATCAGCTTCTCACGCCCTTCCGCGCTGGAGAAAAATGCAATTTTTTCATCTTTAGGCAGCCGCATGGCGCGGAACCAGGCCGGGTTACCGGCAAAAAACAGACTCGGCAGATCAAAACAGAAACTGATATCGATGGGCCGGGTCTGCACCTGCGGCCATACCCGCGCACCTCTTGCCATCTGCTCTTTCACCCGAGCCATGGCGCGCGGTACATTGTCCGGCGTTGCAGCAGTATCGAACAGCGGGGAAAACGTCGTGGGAATGTTGTACTTCAGCGACAGTTCAGCCAGCTGATCGATGCGCGCTATGGTGATGTCGGTTGCATAAAACTCCGGCACAACCTGCAACATTTTGCCATATTCGCCGAGCACTGCAGCCAGTGCATCAAGCTCCTCAGTATGCGCCCAGCGGCTGGGCACAGGATATAGATTGGTATCGATGTCCACATAACTGGTGGATAAACCGACGGCTCCAGCTTCCAGAGCCTGGCGCAGCAGATCCTGCATCTGCTCGATTTCTTCCGGTGTTGCAGCGCGTTCCTGGGCCGCCTGATCCATCACCCACATGCGAATAACACTGTGCCCGACTAAAGGTGCAACGTTGATCGACAGTTGCGCTTTAATCGCCACCAGGTAGTCATCAAAACTCTCCCAGGTCCATTCAAACGCGGTGCCGTCAAAAACTTCTTTTGGCAGCTCTTCAATCTGGCGGAACATGCCTACCAGACCGTCCCGATGCGCGACTTTGAGAGGCGCCAGAGACAAAGAGCAGTTGCCCGGAACAACGGTGGTAATACCGTGAGCCAATGCCGGGCGGGCTTCACCATCCCACAACAGCTGGGCATCAAAGTGGGTATGCGGGTCGATAAAACCAGGTGCAACCACACAGCCTTTTGCATCAATGATCTGACTGCCTTCGCTATCCTCTATACGGCCTATATGCGCTACCTTGCCAGCCTTTATGCCCAGGTCGCTGCGATATCCCGGCATACCACTGCCATCTACAATCAGACCGTTCTTAACCACTATGTCGTACATTTCTCTACCCTCTTTTTGAGTGTCTGCTTTCTACGCTGTTGACTGGCAGGGTGCTGTGGTGCCAGAAGTGGCATCGTCAGTATCCTGCAAAATTTCGATCACTGCCTGCCAGGGTTGTCCGACAAGCTCACTGAGATCACTGGCGCCGCAATGTGCCAGGAGCTTCACGCCCAGTGCGTTTGCCATGACTGCATCGCCTACCACACCATTTTCATAACGGATTTTAAGGATCAGTTCCGGCTGTCCATCGTGGCCGCCGGTGACTTCTGCGGCAACGATAATGGGTTGGTTCTGGAGAATCGGTTGATTCATGAAGCGTTTTGCGGTGGCTCCAGAAACACCACATCACTGCCGGTAATCAGGCCGTGAGGAGAACGCATCAGGAAGATGTGCAGATTCCAGCTTGTCAGTTGAGCAACTGCCTCATCCAATGCGAGATCCGGCATTTCGCGTGCAGCAATGGACTCAATGGTATCGCCCGGCTGTGGCGAAATGAATTTGCGCTGGGGGGACAATACTGCTGCACTCATAACCGTCTCACTGTGTTTTTCCAACCGCTCATTATGAAGTGCTGGCAAAACAACGCAACGTTCGATCAGAGCCATGATAAACTTCCTTTATGCAAAAAGACGTCGGAAAATCTGCAAATAAAACCCCCGCCAAGCCCGACCAGCGGGTAGTCAGTGGGCAGAAGTTCACCAGTGCACACGGGATTAAGGCGATCAAGGATGGCGTGAAAACCCGCGCTGACAGCACCCGCGCCACCGACCGTAAGCCACCCTGGTTGCGGGTCAAACTCGGCGGCGGCGAAAAATTCAAAAACGTGAAGAAGACAGTCAACGAACACCGACTGGCCACGGTCTGCGAAGAGTCACATTGCCCCAATATCGGCGAATGCTGGAGCCATGGCACCGCAACGATCATGTTGATGGGTTCAGTGTGCACCCGCGCCTGTAAATTCTGCGCGGTTGATACCGGTAACCCGAAAGGATGGCTCGATACCGCTGAGCCCGCCAATGCGGCACGCTCCGTGCGCCTGATGCAATTGCGCTATGTGGTTCTGACTTCGGTGGATCGCGACGACCTGGCGGATGGCGGTGCAGCTCACTATGCTGCCTGTATCCAGGCAATACGTGCCGAAAATCCAAATACTGCGGTTGAAGCACTGACACCTGATTTCAGCGGCAACAAAGACGCCGTGGCTACCGTGGTCAACTCAGGCCTGCAGGTATTTGCCCAGAACCTGGAGACCGTATCTCGCCTGACACACATGGTGCGAGACATTCGAGCCGGTTATCAACAGACACTGGACGTTCTCGCGTACGCCAAAGAGGTACGTTCCGACGTTCTCACCAAATCGAGTCTGATGGTCGGCATTGGTGAGGGTGACGATGAAATCATGCAGGCCATGCAGGATCTGCGCGATCACCAGGTGGATATTGTCACTCTGGGACAATACCTGCGCCCCACGGCAAATCATCTACCCGTGGATCGCTGGGTGCACCCGGAGCAGTTTGCCGAATACCGGCAAGCCGGTCTGGCAATGGGTTTTACCGAAGTGGCATCTGGCCCATTAGTACGCTCCAGCTATCGAGCCGATCGTGTGTTCGAGAAGAATAATCTGGGGCTCGATACGATTCCGCTGCGCAACATTTAGTTTAATCGCCCAGCCGATGTGCAAACTGGCTGATCGAACCGATGGTTTCCGCATAAATATCCGGCACGATATCTGGAAATGTACCGTCCCCGGCATGTGGCGTGCCATGTACTGTTCGAGCAACAGCACTCACACCTGCCCCAAGTAAATTACGATAGAAACACAAGCCTTCATCCCGAAGTGGATCCAGTTCGTTAACAGACACCACATGCGGCGGCAGCCCCTTCAATGTGTCCTGGGTAGCCCGCAGTGGCCAGGCCAGCGGATTAGATGAGTGCTCTACCCCAGGATCGTACACCTTCACTAACGCACTCATCATGGCGCCGTCCAGCAGATAACCTTCATTCTCCTGCAATGACGGTAACCACTCAGGTGGCTCAGCATACATACCTGAGATGTAGGGACACATTGCATAGACACCGTCGATCTGACTTCCCCAGCCTTCCTGCGTGGCCTTCAAGGTTGTCGCTATGGCCAGATTACCGCCACCTGACTCACCACTGATAACTATTGTTTTCACATTGAGTGCAGCTTTGTTTGCATGTACCCACTGAACCGCACTTGCGCAATCGTTGAGCCCTGCAGGAAAGGGGTGATTACCCAGGCTGCCACCACCGTTGCGAAACTCGACACCCACAACAACCAGACCCTGTTCGGCAAGGCTGCTACGCCAGCGACGAAAGCCAGGGTCCTGTGCCGTCATCAACACCATACCGCCACCGTGGGTGTGTACCACGCAGGGTGCATCAGCCTGTTGTTGCACGGGGCGATGAATGTGCAGGGTTATATCGTTGCCATCCACTGAGCGAATCACTTCTGTCGAGACCACTACTGCCGGAAAATCCGGCATCATTTGTTCTGCAAGTTCATGCTGAGCCGCGCTGGCAGCTTCGAACGCCGCGCAGTAAGCAAGACAGGCTTCATAATCAGCACCAATCGGCGGTGGCTCAACGCCGGGGGCAAGCTCTGCGGCTAACGCGAATGCGGCAGCTATGCGCGGGTCAAGCCGCGGGTCTGTGATCAATGTCGAATCCGGATCACCGATTCGCCCTGGTGCTGTATAACGCTCTGCTTTCACACTTTTCCCCTTTTCATGATTCAATTCACCTGCCGGCAGGCAAAACCAGGACTACCAGGCAATGCCATAATCTTCGCCAAAATCGCTGGCGCCACCGGTGAACGTCCCCTGCTCCTGATCAAACATGATCGCATTGATCGGCCCTGAGGTTTTATCCCGATATATCGGTTTGTAACCCCGTTGCTGGAGAGTTTTGCGCACCCACGCTGGCGTTTGTTCATTCAAAAGAATTTTTCCAGGTTCAGCACGATGGTCCGCAAAACTGTTGCGCATCTGGTAACTCCAGAAATAAGGCGCTTCCACCGCTTCCTGGACATTCATGCCAAACTCAACCACGCCCAGGAAAAACTGCAGCAGAACCTGATCCTGGATATCACCACCCTGGACCGCAAAAGACAGATAAGGCTTGCCGTCTTTTAGCGCCATGCCGGGTGTCAACGTTGCTCGCGGCCGCTGGCCGGGCTGAACCACATTAAACGGATTCTGTGCAGGGTCGAGGACAAAGCTCTGCATCCGCTGACTCATGCCGATGCCGGTATTACCGGCGATGGCTGCAGGAATCCAACCGCCTGATGGCGTCACTGACACTACCCATCCTTGCGCATCCGCAGCTTGTATCGTTGTGGTACCGGCAAGAAACCCTCGTTCATGCTGTTCCATGTCCACACTGGCCTGTTGCCAGGGTGGCATCACGCCGCTGTCACTACGGGGCGTGTTGGTCCACTGCTCAAGATATTCCAGGTAGGGATTTTTACCTTTTTGAAAACGATACGGGTCACCGGGTTTGATGTTCGGATCATTGTTTTGCGCATCGATCTGCTCACGCCGACTGGCGGCATATTTTTTGGATAACAAACCGGCCAGCGGTTCTACCGGCGGCACGTAGGGATCGCCGTAATAGAAATCGCGGTCGGCAAAAGCCAGATTCATCACCTGATACAACGTGTGAATATAGTTAGCGCTGTTAAAACCCATGTTTTGCCAGTCCATGGTTTCAGCGATATTCAGCGCCTGCAGCATAACCGGCCCCTGCACCCAGGTATTGAGCTTGTACACATCAATATCTTTGTACGCACTGACCACCGGTTCTTCGACATAAACCTGCCAGTCGGCCAGATCCTGGAGCGTGTGTAAGCCCCCTAATGCTTGTGCGCCACGCACAAAGTCCTGCGCGATATCACCGCTATAAAAACGCTCGTAAGCTTTCATGATCGCAGTTTCGCGATCTGCCCCAGCCGCCAGCGCCTGCTGCTCTGCCTCGACCAGCTTTTCCAGGGTCCTGTAAAGATCAGGTTGTCGGAACAGCTCCCCGGCATGCGGGGCCTCCCTGTCTTCACCTTCGTGCACCAGAAACAGCGAACGGGAACTTGGCCACTGACGAATCTCTTCTTTCATCCGTTCAATGGAGTTGGCGGTCTGCGCTTCCATGGGATAGCCCTGCGCCATTTCCATGGCGGGCGCGAGCACTTCTTTGAGTGATAGCGTGCCGTACTTTGCCAACATCACCAGCAAACCACCGGGGGTGCCCGGGGTTACCGCGGCTAACGGACCGTACTCCGGCGGCTGGGTCATGCCCAGATCCCTGAAATACTCTGGCGTTGCGCCTGAAGGTGCAACCCCCAACGCGTTGATCGCAATCACCCGCTTTTCCTCGGGGTGATAAATCAACGCCTGGGTTTCGCCACCCCAGCTGAGTACGTCGAACATGGTTGAGGTTGTAGCCAGCATGGCACATGCAGCATCCACAGCATTACCACCGGCGTTGAAAATTTTAGCGCCGGAGGTCGCCGCCAGGGGTTTGCCGGTTATCGCCATCCAGTGTTTGCCATGCAGCATGGGTTTGTTGGTTGCCGCATTCACCGGTGCCATCAATATCACCACCAACACCAGGAAAGCGACAAGCTGCAATAACATGGACGCTCGCCACCATTGCTCTGTCTTTAGCCTTACCACTACACTAGCCTCCATGACTACAGAAAAAACACAGACTCGAAGTATCGCGGACACAGCCTTTGTTGTCGCGCCCGAAAACCCGATCCGAATCAAGCTGATCAGGACCGACGATTTTGATAGCTGGTTAACCGCCCTGGATGCCCAGGCTTCCAGCTGGGTGCAGCGACAGGGCTTCGTCGCCAAACCCAATCAATGGGCGTCACTGGACGACTCAGCCGGTGAAATGATTGTCGTCGGCTGGGATGGCACAGACAATATCGCCAGCCTGGGCAGCCTGCCCCTGGATTTACCCGAAGGCGACTATCAACTGCTGGATGCGGTGTCTGACCTGCAGGTTACCGGCTGGGGCTTAGGCAGCTATCAGTTCAGCCGATATAAACAACCCACCCGGCAGGCAGCAAGGCTGCTGATCCCCGCTGACAACAACGCCGCAAGCATCATCAATATCTGCACCGCCACCTGCCTGACCCGAGATCTGATCAATACCCCGGCCCAGGACATGGCGCCTTCACACCTTGAAGCTGAAGTCACCGCGCTGGCTGAGCAGTTTGAAGCGCAATGTCAGATCACCCGCGGCGATGAACTGCTTGACCTGGAGTGTGGAGCCATCCACGCCGTCGGTCGCGCAGCGGATGATGCGCCTCGTCTTATCGATCTAACCTGGGGTGATCCTGAACATCCAAAAGTGACGCTGGTCGGAAAAGGGGTGACTTTTGACAGCGGTGGCCTGGACATCAAACCACCAAACGCCATGCGTTGGATGAAAAAAGATATGGGTGGCGCCGCCAACGTCATTGGCCTGGCTTATCTGATCATGGCCCAGGCGCTGCCAGTACGACTGCGCGTACTTGTACCCGCGGCGGAAAATGCTATTGCCGGTAATGCCTTCCGACCAGGTGACGTCCTGCACACCCACAAAGGGTTAACAGTGGAGATTGACAATACCGACGCCGAAGGACGTTTGTTGCTTTGTGATGCGCTGTCCATTGCCTGCGAAGATAAACCTGAGCTGATTTTTGACTACGCGACCCTCACCGGCGCCGCGCGCGCGGCTGTGGGGGCGGAACTTTCAGCCATGTTCTGTAACCATGATGGACTCGCTGCCGATCTTCACCAACACGGCGACGAGATTGACGACCCGCTCTGGCGTATGCCGCTGCACCAGGGTTACAACTTCATGATTGAGTCAAAGATTGCCGACGTGGTGAATTCTGCTGCCTCACCTTACGCAGGTGCTATTACCGCCGGGCTGTTTCTGCAGAAATTTGTCGACCATGATCGTTGGGTACATTTTGATATCAATGCATTTAACACCCGCAGTCGTCCCGGCAGACCTGAAGGTGGCGAGGCAATGGGTTTGCGAGCGGTCTACAACTACCTGGCGGCAACTTATGGGGCTGCTTAAAAACCTGGAAGATGCACAGAAAGGCACCAGTACTGCGTTAGCGTCCTTGTTAGACACGTTACCCTACAACGCCCAGGGCTTGATTGCGGCTATCGCGCAGGACGCCACCTCCCGCCAGGTACTCATGCTCGCATGGATGGATCGCACGGCGATCGAACGGACCATTGAACAGGGCCAGGTATGGTACTTTTCCCGCAGCCGCAACACCTACTGGCGCAAAGGCGAATCTTCCGGACATACCCAGCAACTGAAAAGCATGGCGTTCGACTGCGACGGTGACGCCGTGCTGCTGGAAGTGAACCAGACTGGACCGGCCTGTCACACTGATCGTCCACACTGCTTTTATCTGCAGGTGCAGGGACAGCAGGTTGTTGTAACTTCGGACCCGGTCGACAGCAACACCCCTTAAAAAGCCTCACTTCAGCTCTGACTTCAACCAAGCACCATCAACTATGCCTGACGGTGCTGCTGCCTTATACTGCGCGGCCAAAAACGAAAACCCAGACGCAGGTTATGCCAGAGATTTACTTCCACAACACGCTGAGCGGTAAAAAAGAGCTTTTTACCCCCATTGATCCAGAGCGGGTAACGGTATATGTCTGCGGCCCAACGGTGTACAACTTTGTACACATCGGCAATGGTCGACCTGCGGTAGTTTTTGATGTGCTGACACGCCTGCTGCGCAGCATCTATCCTCATGTCAGCTACGCCCGCAACGTCACCGACATCGACGACAAGATTAATGCCGCGGCACTGGCGAACGGTGAGCCGATCCAGGCGCTTGCAGATCGCTTCACCAGCGCTTACGAAAAAGACATGACCACCCTGGGTGTTATACCCCCGGATGTTGCACCCCGGGCGACACACCACATCGATGAAATTGTGGCCATGATCGAAGAGCTGATTGCCAGCGGGCACGCGTACGCGAACGAAGGGCATGTGTTGTTTGATGTGCCTTCAGACCCCAGCTACGGCAGCCTTTCCCGGCGCTCACTGGAAGATATGCTGGACGGCGCCCGTGTTGAAGTGGCGCCTTATAAAAAGGACCCAAAAGACTTTGTCTTGTGGAAACCATCCAGCAAAGAGCAGCCTGGTTGGCCCAGCCCCTGGGGAGTCGGCAGACCGGGTTGGCACATTGAGTGCTCGGCGATGATTCGCAAACATCTCGGCCGCAGTATCGATATTCATGGCGGCGGCTCAGACCTGACCTTCCCGCATCACGAAAATGAAGCGGCCCAGAGTCGCTGCGCGAATCATACGCCGGACTACGTCCGCTACTGGTTGCATAACGGCATGCTCACCATGGGTGGTGAGAAGATGTCCAAATCCGTAGGGAATGTGCACACTATTCATGAGCTCGCGGAGCAGTACAGTGGCGAAGTGCTGCGCTACGCATTGTTAGCGGGTCAATATCGCTCACCCCTGGCCTGGTCTGATGACCTTATTCAACAGGCCCAATCGAGCCTCGACAGTTTGTATCAGGCGCTGCGGGATAAACCTGTCGATGCCGAGGAAACAAAAGACTTTTCTCAGTTGGACAGCAGCGCGTTTCCTGAAGCTGTTGTGGCGGCGTTATGTGATGACCTGAATACACCCGAGGCACTGGCCGCAATGCATGAGCTGGCTGCGGATCTACAGAAAGCGGACAATCAAACAGCCATCCAGAGCGCCCGACAACGTCTGCTAGCAGGTGGCTGGTTGCTGGGTTTGTTAGCGCAGGATGCAGAGACATATTTTACCGCTGCCGGTGGCGAGTTAGGCGCGGGTGATTTAAGCGCTGATGAAATCGATGCACTGGTAGAGGCACGTAATGCTGCGCGCGCCAACAAAGACTTCGCCGGCGCCGATCAGATACGGGATCAGCTGGCTGCCGCGGGCATAGAGCTTGAAGATCTGCGCGAAGGAACCCGCTGGCGCCGTAACTGATGTATCCAGTGGCTGTCATTGGCGATAACGTCACGGCCCGGGCGGTATTGCGGGCGGCGGCGCGCAATGGCTTCAACGACATTACCTGGGTGGCCACACCGCAACCCACTCCTCTGCCAGCCACCACCCTCAGCGCCAATCTCACCAGAGTGATTTATGCGCTGGGATTAGGTGATGCACTCGAACAGGTCGGCTATCAGCCTGATCGTGAACAGGTTCGTTTCGCGGCATCCGGCTACCTGCTAACCGAACTGCCGCTGGGCAAATTCACCTCGGACCGTTACGGCACTCACCACGTCAACATTGAACACCAGGCACTACTGAACCTGCTCACGCCTGACTTCCCCTTAACCGACAAGCTCGAAACAGCGCCCGAACAACAAGCGCTGGAACAGAACCACTCCCTGCTGTTGGATTGTGCTCCGGGACCAGGTCCATCGAGCACGCCTACCCACGAGTTATGGCATGCAACCGCGCCATTTGAACCTAACATCGCCAAGGCAAACATGACCTGGCTGGGCAGAGGGCAAACCTGCTGGCAGTTTGCCACGCCAAGCGCTCTGCACTATGTTTTTGCCACTCCAGTGAACGAACCATTTGTCAGCAATGAATGGCATAGCAGCCTGCAGGCGCCGCTGGCAGGCGCTGAACAGGTGTTACGATTTGACGCCCTCAACACTTCAGTGCGCGAACACTGGTATGCAGGACATGTTGCCTACCTGGGAGATGCCTGTTACACAGCCAATCCGTTCAGCCGCGAAACCCGCCATATCGGATTGGAAGATGCATGGGTATTGAGTCGCATGATGGACAACTACGAGGAAGACATTGGCGATGGCCTGCGCGAGTATCAGAAATACCGGCGCCCCCGAGTGCAAAAAGTAGCCGCCAAGAATGCACTGGCGGCACAGCAGCATTTGCCAACCGATAAACTAGGTCGCATCAGAAGAAATATCAGCCTGGCATTTGGCACACGCTTCATGCCCGAGATTGCCATGCAAAAAATTGATTGGCTGTACAGCTATGACTGCATCAGAGGGTTTCGCTAGTGAGTATGATTAAAGAGCACATTGAACAACGCTGGCAGGACAGCATTCTGCCTGCACTACACGATTACATACGTATTCCAAACAAATCACCCAGTTTCGATTCTGACTGGGAAGCCAACGGTTTTATGCTCGAGGCGGCACAGATGCTGCTGGCGTGGACCAGCCAGGTCACAATCGACGGACTGCAGGCGGAGATCATCACGCTGCCGGGTCGTACCCCGCTGATTTTCTGCGAAGTTTCCGCAACCAATGGCCATAACGCAGCCACTGATCCCTGCGTACTGCTGTACGGCCACTATGATAAACAACCGGAATTCGACGGCTGGGAACCTGGTCTGTCACCCTGGGAGCCGGTTGAACGCGACGGCAAGCTATATGGTCGCGGTGGCGCTGATGATGGCTACGCTTTATTTTCCTGCCTGACCGCCATCGAGGCGATGCAACAAGCCAACCTGCCGCACCCGCGCTGCGTTGTTCTGATTGAAGGCTGCGAAGAGAGCGGCAGTTTTGATCTGCCTCATTACATGGATCATCTGCGCTCACGCATCGGCAGCACAGAACTGGTGATCTGCCTGGATGCAGAGTGTGGCAACTACGATCAACTGTGGGTGACCACGTCGTTGCGCGGCATGTTACCCGGCGTGCTGAGCGTGGACATCCTGACCGAGGGACAACACAGTGGCGCAGCCGGAGGCATTGTGCCCTCCTCTTTCCGCATCATGCGCCATCTGATTGAGCGGGTGGAAAACGCTGCAACAGGAGAATTACACAACGCCCTCTCGGTTGTGATCCCCGATGCGATAGAAAGGGCTGCGCGGGATGTCGCCCAGGTGGTTGGCCCCGAAGTGATCCATCGCTTTCCCTGGGTAGACGGCGCCAGTATCGATACGGATGATCTTGCTGATCTGATTGTAACCAATACCTGGCGACCCAGTATGGCGACAGTCGGGCTTGCCGGTGCACCGGACATCCACGACGCAGGTAACACATTACGACCCAACACAACCGCAAAACTGGTCTTCCGTCTGCCACCCACACTGGATGCAGCGACCGCTGCACAACAGATTAAAACCCTGCTGGAAAGTGACCCACCCTACGGTGCACAGGTTAAATTCGAAGTGGAAACTCCACAAACGGGTTGGAGCGCGCCAGCTGAATCAGCCTGGCTTGCCAAGGCGTTGAATGAGGCTTCTCAACATCACTTCAAGAAACCTGTCATGCACATGGGCTGCGGTGGCACCATACCGTTTATGAAAATGTTAGGTGATGCTTATCCGCATACCGAATTTTTTGTCACTGGTTTATTAGGCCCGAAATCCAATGCCCACGGCCCCAACGAGTTTCTGCATATTGACACGGCAAAACGACTGACCGGTTGCGTAGTAGACGTGTTAGCTGCTGCGTCGGAGCAGTTTTGCGCGCAGCCGCGCTAGATGCCTGCTAGTGCAGCAGCCGACTGTTAGCGCTGAAACTTTTTTTCAGGAAATCCATCTGGTCACCCAGAATTCGACCGGAATTGATCAACGCAAGGTACTCTGAAAAGTTAGGCACGTAGGGCAACGCCAACAGGTCCAGGTTGATGTCCTGCAGGAGCCGGTTACCTTTAAAATGATTGCAGCGCTTACAGGCTGCAACCACATTATCCCAGGTATCCTTCCCACCTTTGGACACCGGCATAACATGATCCCGAGTAAGAACTTCATCAGGATATTGTTTGCCGCAGTAAAGGCACGTGCTGCGATCTCGACCGAACAGCGCTCTATTGGTCAGCGGTGGGATAACCTGGTCTTTGGAAACAACCCGCCCATCACAGGCGATAATGCTGTGGATTTCGACGTTGCTGGGAGAACTGTCAAAACGTGAGTGGCCACCGCGAATACGCAACACTGGATCGCCAATGGTCCACACGACGATATCTCGAGCATACAAACATACCGCGTCCTGCCAACTCACCCAGTCGATGGGTTGACCGGCAATATTGAGCCGAAGTATCTTCGGCACGCGATCAAATTCTGTCAGGGTTGCGATCATCTGCTGCCTCTCAATAACTGACGGCCCAGCTTAACGAGCAGGACGAAAACTAAGCTATATTGCGATGCCCTGCAACCACCGCCCCGGCGCAGGAGCAACATGCCGCTTTACACAGATACGCGACCTAGGCAAAGTGCGGCGTCATGAAATACCCACTGCTTGCCATCACTCTGATGGTCCTCACCGCTTGTTCAAACAACCCTGGCTCCGAATCAGTAGATCAGGCCCAGACTATCGCGCGGGCGCAGGAACGTGCCTGGTTCTGCCAGATGAATGAACTTGGCACCGACTGGGAATGTGTGCAGGACGCCGAGCTTGCGCGCAATCCGAAGCCCGATCGCCTGCCAGGCCGGAAGCCCGCCGCAGAAACCTCGCCGCCTGTCTCCAGCGATAACATCTCGCCAGAATTAAGCGAGAACCAGGATGCTGCATCGCTGGCTGTTGAAGACAGTGAACCGGCTGAGCCACCCCCAGCAGAGCTGCCTGTACACATTGCGCTGTCTTATCGGCCAGCGGAGCCGGTTGCACTGTTGGATCTGCCCGCCGACTATTACGCCGTGCAGCTTGTTGCGGTAACACGGAAAAGGGATCTGGAAGACTTTGCGGAGCAGCATCAGATCCGCGGCATGTCAGCGGCGCGTACCTATAGTGGCGAGCAATTGTTCTATATTCTGCTGCTGGGCGTTTATGAAACCTATGACAATGCAGAATTGGCCGCCCGCTCACTGGGACCACCATTTGATGAAACCGCACCTTGGATACGACCGGTTGGCTCTTTGCAACGCGCTATTCGGGCAGCGGATGAATTCACCGGGTCCAGCGACTACTAGCTTTTAGTCACCCGCTGTAGTCGAGTTTATCGCAGCTTAACGCTCACATTCGAGCCAGCGGCTGCTGACGGCGATAGTGATGCAGCGCTTCAATAGAAAACAACAGCAGGCCTAACCAGATCAGAGCAAAACTCAGCCAGCGACCTGAGGGCACCTGCTCATCAAACACAAACACCGCAATCAATAACGACAGGCTGGGCGCGATGTACTGGCAGAAACCCAGCATGGTCAGGGGGATGCGGACGGCGGCGGAAGCAAACCATATCAACGGTAAGACGGTCACAAGACCACCCAGGCCAAGCATCCAGGTCTGGACCATATCTCGATCCACAGACTGACCACCAAATCCCATCCAGAGCAGGTAAGCAACACCCAGAGGGGCAACAAACAGGGTTTCAATGCCTAAGCCAACTGAGGACGGTACCGCCAGCTGTTTACGTAACAAACCATATAGACCAAACGTAAAGGCCAGCGACAAACCCAGCCAGGGTAATGCACCCTGCGCAACCACTTCGCTGGCAACTCCAACTGCTGCCAGCCCGGTGGCAGCCCACTGCAGTGGCCGCATGGTTTCTTTCAGAAACAACCACCCCAACAAGATACTCACCAGGGGGTTGATGAAATAACCCAACGATGTTTCCGAAATGCGCTCCTGCTGAATGGCAAAGATAAAAATCAGCCAGTTACAGCTGAGCAGGACAGAACACAACATCAGAACCCGCAGCTGTCGCCAGCGCAATGCGCGTACCGCAGGCCATTGTCGGGCAAGGGTGATCAGAATAGCGAGCAGCGGTACAGACCAGACCACTCGATGCGCCAGAACTTCAAGCGGATGCGCAAAACTGACCCAGACAAAATAGATCGGCACCACACCCCAGAACCCGTAAGCGGCCAGCGCAAATGCAAACCCCGCCCGCTGGCGACGCTGCTCATAATCCTGTGCCGTGGAATTGTTCAACCGTTAGACTGGGAAACAAAAGGGCGCGCAGTTTAACGCGGCGCCGATAACAAAGGGGAGCGGTTTTGTTAAAACATCTGAGCACTTTGCTGGCGGCGCTATTGGTTACAGGCTGCGGCACGTCTTTCGACGCTTAAGACTATGCCGAGGCTTTTGCTGACAGGATCAATTACTACTCAGCCCGCCTGAAACTGCGCGGCTCTCAGAAACTGTCTTTACGACGCCGGGTCTCTGCAAATACCTCTACGTCGGAGGCTGACTCAAGTCCGACGTGCTGACGCAAACCTGCACTGGCTGGTCGCACAAAGGGGTTTGTGGCGCGCTCCAGGCCAATGCTCGTAGGCACAGTGGGTTCACCCTTCGCACGCAGCGCATCAATCTGTGCTGAACGTTTCTGCAGATCGAGGTTGTCAGGTTCAACGCTCAAAGCAAACGCAGCATTAGCCTGTGTGTACTCATGAGCACAATACACAACGGTTTCGTCAGGCAAGGCCATGAGCTTCTGCAGGCTGTTCCACATCTGCTCCGGACTGCCTTCAAACAGGCGTCCACAACCCAGTGCAAACAAGGTATCGCCGACAAACACCATATTTTCTGAAGCCAGGTAAAAAGCAATATGCCCGCTGGTATGACCGGGTACTTCAAACACGGTGACCTCCACATCACCAAAGGCAAACTGATCACCATCCACAACGCGCTGATCAATACCGGGGATACGCGCAGCGTCGTTATCTGCTCCAACAACGGTACAGCCCCACTGCTCTTTCAAAGCTTCATTGCCACCGGCGTGGTCAAAATGATGGTGGGTATTGAAGATATGTGTCAGGCGCCAACCGCGCTGAGTAAGCGCAGCGTTGATCGGGGCCACTTCCGGTGTATCAATAGTTGCGGTTAAACCACTGCCTGGCTCATGAATAAGGTAACCGTAGTTATCGTTCAAACAGGGAATCTGGACCACTTCGATTGTCATTTTCATCTACCTTTATGCGTGTGCCGGAATGCGTGTACCGGAATGTGTGTACCGGAACTACCCGCCTGCCCACGCTGTACTTTAAATTGCTGGAGACATTGTGCCAAAAACTTAAACATGCTGATATTAGCGCCGCTCAGAAAATCAACCGTCAACAAAAACCACTGACTAACTTTATGAACCCCGTACTGAATGAAATCATCGACCTTTTTAACGTCGAGCAGATTGAACGCGACTTATACCGTGGTCAAAACCACAACACCGAGCACGTGTTCGGCGGCCAGGTACTCGCCCAGGCCCTGGTCTCGGCTTACCGTACAGTTGAAGCACCCCACCAGCTTCATTCCATGCACGCCTATTTTCTGCGCGCCGGTGACTGGCAGGTACCGATACTTTACGAAGTTGATCGTATTCGTAACGGTCGCTCTTTCAGTACTCGCCGGGTGGCTGCTATTCAGCATGGACGGGCAATTTTCAGCCTGTCCTGTTCCTGGCAGAAAGAAGAAGAAGGCATGCAGCACTCACAACCCATGCCTGACGTACCACCGCCTGAATCACTTCGCTCGGACCTGGAAGCGTTTAAAGCCATGGCCAAAACCCACCCGGAAATGGCCCGCTTCAGCTTTCGCTTTGAGGCCATCGATTCTCGCCAGGTTGAACGCATTCTCATGAGTGATACCCGCGAACACCCGCCGTTCAAACATACCTGGCTGAAATCCCGGGATCTGTTGCCTGACAATCCGGAAGTCCATCTGGCCATGCTGGCTTACATGTCGGATCTGGATTTCATGTCGACGTCAATGCTGCCCCACGGCCGCAACGCGCTGAGGGAAAATGTGCGAGGCGCCAGCCTCGACCATAGTCTGTGGTTCCATCGCCCTTTTCGCGCTGATGAATGGTTACTGTTTGCCAAAGAATCACCCAATGCCAGTGGTGCCAGAGGATTTGTGCGCGGACATTTTTTTAATCGGGCGGGTGAACTGGTGGCAACCGCAGCACAGGAGTGCCTGATCAGGCCTGTTGGTGAGGTACGTGAGAAACTGCTGGCTGAAGCGCCTGCAACGGATTAGTCGGTGTTTACCGGCTGACTAAGTCTGCTCCCACTTGCCAGCGCTGGGCACGGTTTGCGCCAGGAGCGCATCCAGCAGCACCTGTGGATCGCTTTCCGACAACAGCAGCTGACGATGGGTAGAACGCAGAAAACCTTCGTTCACGGTGTGATCCAGAAAAGCCTCGAGTTGATCGTAATAACCATCAACGTTTAACAGGCCAATAGATTTCTGGTGGATACTCAGTTGCGACCAGGTCCAGATCTCAAAACACTCCTCCAGGCTGCCAATGCCGCCGGGCAGCACAACAAACGTATCTGCCAAGGCAGCCATTTGCGCTTTACGCTCATGCATGGATTCAACAATCCGCAACTCCGTCAAGCCCCGGTGGGCCACCTCCCAGCTTTCCAGCCATTCCGGCAGGATACCAATCACTTCTCCGTCCTCGGTCAGTGCGCCTTCTGCAACTTCGTTCATCAAGCCGACCGATGCACCCCCGTAGACGAGGCCAAACCCTCTTTTTGCAATCACCGCACCGAGGTTGCGCGCCGCATCGGCATACACCGGCAGGCGGCCATCACTGGACCCTGCAAACACACAAATATACTGTTTTGACATCACCTTTCGACTTACCGGCTAACGCATGCTGCCGGGCATACCGCCATCAATCACCATGGTCTGCCCACTGATCGAGGTGCTGGTGACAAAGGTCATCACCTGCTCAGCAATATCCTCAGCCTGACCCACTCTACCCAGAACCGCCTGTCGTCGGGCACCTGCAGCGATGGCATCAGGTAGACGTCCTGCCATCCGCGTGTCTTCAACCAGACCCGGTGCAACACAATTGACCGCCACTTGAGGCGCCATGGCCACCGCCAGGCAGCGCGTCAGATGGTTGAGGCCGGCTTTACTGGAAGAATAAGCGATGCTGCTACTGCCAGGACTGATTCCGCCTGCAGATGAAATATTCACGATGTGCCCGCCTTCACCGGCCTTCAACAGCTCTGCTGCAGCTCGAGCCAGCAGAAAAGGTGCACGCAGATTTGTTTCCAACACCCGGTCCCATATCTCCGCGTCAAGCGCGTCAAGATCCGGAAAAGGAATGCCTATGTTCCACGCCGCATTATTGATCAGGATATCCAGGCTGCCGAACTGTGCGGCCACGGCCGCAACGCAAGCAACAATCGCCTCAGGATCTCGTTGATCCAGCTGCACCGCCCAAGCCTCACCACCCGCTGCCTGGATGTCTGCCACCGTCGCAGCGGCAGCGGCCTGTGCACCCACATAAGTCACCGCCACCCGCACGCCTTCCGCGCCTAAACGGCGCGCGATGGCGCCGCCGATGTCACCGGAACCGCCGGTGACCAGGGCAACTTTATCCTGCAACAGCATCAGCGAGACAACCTCGCGATGAAGTGGACCTTACAGCGCAGCAAGAATTGCCTCAGCTGAACTGACTTCAAATTTTCCAGGCGCTTCAACAGCCAGCTTGGTGACGGTTCCATCTTCCACAATCATGGCGTACCGCTGGGAGCGACTACCCAGACCAAAACCCGAGCCATCCATCTCAAGACCAACCGCTTTGGTGAAATCGCCATTCCCATCACCCACCATGGTCAGCTCTTCGGCGTTCGCGTTGTCGCCCCAGGCACCCATAACAAAGGCATCGTTGACGGACAAACAGACAATGTCATCCACACCTTTGGCTTTGATTGCGTCAGCGTTGACAACAAAACCCGGCAGGTGCGCTTGAGAACAGGTGGGCGTAAATGCACCTGGCACCGCAAATACCACAACTTTTTTACCTGCAAACAATTCATCCGTTGTGACTGGCGTGGGTTTACCGTCGCGCATGGTGTGCAGCGTCGCTGCTGGCAGTTTGTCGCCTTCTTTAATAGTCATAAAAATCCTTATAACGAGTTGAAATGAAAAACCAGGAACGATTGTGGAGACTGCCAGGTGCTGGGTCAATCGCTCACATCCGTGCATCCACTTCAATTCTGACGAACTGATTCAACCGTTTCTTCGATGGTTAGGCTATCACTATGAAAACAAAAACAATTTCCCTAGCCGAAGCTGACTGAAACCCCTAATATCGTGCACTGGCACACAAAACAGGCAAAACAGTTTGTCGGGCGTGACGCCGGACAATGCTTCCCCCCTCCATCTCGTTATGATGGTGGATTAGCGAATACCCAAACAATCTGAGATATGGACACTCACACACAGCTAAACGCCAAAATTACCGCGGTCATCGCCGTGACGTTATGCGTTGCTGTTGGGTGTTATGCGGGCCATGACAGTGTGGAGATACCACCGCCGGAACCTCCGCCAGAGGTTAATCTTGCAACGATCACACCACCGATTGTCATCAAAATTGAGCAGAATGCAGAGTGGCACAATTTAAATCCTTTGCAGGCGCCCGAACTCATCATTCAAGCCAACGTCGCCCCGCCTGTATTACCGCCGGTTGCGAGTCTTGATCTGGCCCCGAACGTGGCTGACGTCATTGCGGAAGACGTCGCAGCCAATGTCGACGATGTAAATGGCGTTGAAGTTGTTGAACTCATCACGCCTCCAGATGCTGCGATCCCTTCTTTCGCCGAAGCACAGATTGAGCGTGGTGTACTGCAACAAACCACCTGGACCGCAGGTGAAGCACTGCACGGCGCGCAAATACCCACACCGGTATTGGTTGCCAAAGGTGCGCAGGACGGTCCAACACTGTGCGTAACCGCCGCGGTGCATGGCGATGAACTCAATGGTATTGAAGCGGTACGGCGTCTGATGTATTCCATCGACCCGAGCAAATTAAGTGGCAAGGTCGTTGGTGTACCTATTGTCAACCTGCAGGGATTTCAACGCCACTCAAGATATCTGTCAGATCGGCGCGACCTGAACCGCTTCTTCCCCGGCAATCCAAGAGGCAGCTCTGCCTCACGGATGGCGTATAGCTTTTTTAACAACATCATCATGGACTGCGATGGCCTGGTCGATTTACACACCGGCTCATTTCACCGCACCAACCTGCCGCAACTGCGGGCGGATCTGAATAACGCCGACGTGCTTGCACTGACCAAAGGCTTCGGTGCAACCGTGATCCTGCACAGCACCGGCGGCGAAGGCACCCTGCGGCGCTCAGCCGTTGATGCAGGCATTCCTGCGGTAACGCTTGAAGCTGGTGAACCCCTAAGGCTGCAGGAAGATGCTGTCGATCATGCGGTGCGTGCACTTTTCACGCTGCTCGATACGATGCAGATGTACAACAAACGTAGTCTATGGGGCAATCCTGAGCCGACCTACTACAGCTCAAGCTGGGTTCGAGCAGATAAAGGTGGCCTGCTGATGTCCGACGTACGGCTCGGTCGGAAAGTAAAACAAGGTGACTCACTGGGTACGGTTACCGACCCTATCACCAATGAGCAGGTGCAGATCACCGCACCTTACCCTGGACGTGTCATCGGCATGGCACTCAATCAATTTGTGATGCCCGGCTTTGCAACGTTTCATATCGCAACCGAAGGCGCGCTGGACAATCCCAGTGAAGACGACCACTACCATTCTGAAGGTATCGATGTGGCGGTGAGCGAATCTATGGGTACAGACGAATCCTAGTAAGATCCGGCGACGTCTATCGCCACGCGAATTCCGGTTGCTCGTAATGGTCCACCCGGGTATCCCTCCCAGCCAGACATACTTCGCAGAACTGATAAATCAAAGCCGCTGTTGGTGTTGCAATATAGTCTGAACCCACCGGCATCCGCAGTATCGGGTGATCGCTGGTTTCTGTCTGTTCAAAGCTGGGCGCGTCATCACGCAGGAACTCTGCCAGCGGAATCCGATGAATGCTCGCCACCTCAGCCGGGTTCGGCTCTGCTTGCACCCCCGCCCCCGCCCAGACCACAACGGGTGTCATGGCAAATCCGGAGCGGGTGACAAAATCATCCAGCACGCCTAACACCTGATCTGCTTCGAGTGCGAGATTGATCTCTTCGTGCATTTCCCGCAGCGCTGTTTCAATTAGCGTCTCCCCTGCATCTACACGCCCACCCGGGAACGCCCATTGCCCGGGATGATTACGCAGCTGGGCAGAGCGCCGCGTCAGCAGAAGTGCCGCATCGTTGGACCAGTCCTGCGGATTATCCAGCCCATCCAGATCCGCACCTCGACCCACATCAGCGATTGTGATGGCAACGGCTGCGCGTCGCAGGGATTTATCCGCGGCTACCCGCGGTTCAAATTGAGTGAGATTCTGCGCGATCCGCGTGCGTAGAGCATTGTCACAACGCATACTCATTTTTCCTTTTTAACTTGTTATGGACTGTAGAGGTTCTGATCTCGGCATGGAAGTGAGTGCGCATAACGAACGTTCGGCGTTGACCTACGCGGTGCTAGCCATTGTGCTGTGGTCAACCGTTGCAACTGGCTTCAAGCTGGGCCTCGCAGTCATGGCAGTAGAGCAGCTGCTGTTGCTCGGCACGCTGATTTCATGGTGCGTATTCGCGATCTACTGCGGTATCAGAGGCCGGTTTTTCATCACACGACAAGATCGGCTGTGGGTGCCTGTGCTCGGCTGTCTCAACCCTTTCACCTACTATCTTCTGCTGTTTGCCGCTTATGACCGACTCCCCGCCCACGTTGCCCAGCCGCTTAACTATACCTGGGCCATCACCCTGGCCCTGCTTGCTGTGCCGGTCCTAAAACAGAAGCTAACCCGAGGCACAATAATCGGTATTGTGGTGTCTTACAGCGGCGTTGTACTGCTGCTCAGCGGTGCCAACGAGGCTAGCCCCGAACAGCTGGATGGTGTGGGCATTGTGCTGGCGTTGCTCAGTACAATACTGTGGGCAACGTACTGGCTGATCAGCACGCGCTGCAGCAGCGACGCAGGTGCCATGATGTTCTGGAGCTTCAGCTGCGCCGTGCCGCTGGTTGCTATGGCCTGTGCAGCCGGCCCGGGATGGCCGGAATGCACGCTCACAAACCTGGTTTATGGCAGCTGGGTGGGCGTTGTTGAAATGGGCGTCACCTTTCTGCTCTGGCAACAGGCCCTCAGGCACACCCGCAGTGTTGCCCGTATCGGCCAGCTTATCTTCATATCACCTTTTTTATCCCTGCTGCTGATCAACCAGGTGCTCGGCGAAGTGATTTCCTGGCAGGCCGTAGCCGGACTGGCCATCATTATCTTCGGGTTGGTGTTGACACAACCTGCCGAGTCTAACTGACCAAATTGTGAACTGGCGCCCCGCCTGTTATACAAAGTGCGCTGCGGCTTAACTTCAGCCCCGGAAACCGCTAAGCTCCGCCGCCGCTATCAACGTACGGAGTACTGACGTGGACATAAATCTAAGCCAACAGGACCTCGAGTTTCGCACTGAAGTTCGCGAATTTTTATCTGGCAACGCCTACAAAAATGGCGAGGACTACAACGCCTGGCGTATGGACTGGTTTAAAAAAGCACGGGAAAAAGGCGGTTGGGACGTCCCTAAATGGCCCACAGAATTCGGTGGCCCGGGCTGGACGCCCACCCAGCATTACATCTGGGAGCAGGAAACCGCGGAAATCGGCACACCTTTTGACCTGCCGTTTGGTCTGGGCATGCTGGCGCCGGTATTGATGAACTACGGCAGCAAGGAGCAGCAGGACAGATTCCTGCCGGACATCCGTGACCGTAAAGTGAACTGGTGCCAGGGCTACTCCGAACCTGGTGCAGGGTCGGATCTGGCCAACCTCAAAACCAAGGCTGAGCTCACCGCTGACGGCAAACACTACATTGTCAACGGCACCAAGATCTGGACCACACTGGCACACATCGCCGACTGGATCTTCTGCCTGACACGGACCAGCGATACCGGTAAAAAACAGGAAGGCATTACTTTTCTGCTGTTTCCGATGAAACAGGAAGGCATAGAAGTGAAACCGATCATCACTCTGGGTGGCTCTCACACCGTCAACATGGTGCATTTCACGGACGTCAAAGTACCAGTTGAGAACCGGGTCGGTGAACAGGATAAAGGCTGGACCTATGCAAAAGGTCTGCTGCAGCATGAACGTACAGGGTTGGCCGGTATTTCCCGCTCGATCGTGGCGCTGGAAAAACTCAAAGAGCAGGCGACCGCGGTTAAGCGTGGCAACGGCACTCTTATGGACGACCCGGCTTTCCGCACCAAGGTGGCTGAGCTTGAGGTAGACCTGATGGCGGTAGAATTCACCGAGCTGCGGTCTCTGGCGGCCGCGGCCGGTGGCGGCGAACCGGGACCGGAATCGTCCATTCTCAAACTCAAAGGTACCGAGATACAGCAACGTATCCAGAAACTCACCGTCGAAGCGGGTGGTATTTTTTCTGCCGCCTGGGGCGCGATACCGGTAGGCCCACATTTTGCCAGAGGTGGCATGTCCGGATACCTGTCCTCCCGCGCCTACACCATTTATGGCGGCGCCAGCGAAGTACAGAAAGACGTTGTCGCGAAGAACGTCCTCGGCATCAAAAAATCCTCCAAGTAGCAAGCAGCAGGAATCAGATCAATGAACTTTGACTTATCAGAAGAGCAACAACTGGTACAGGACAGCGTGGCGCGATTTATCCAGGATAACTATGGCCTGGAAGCACGTCAGACAACTGTTGCCAGCAGTGATGATTTCAACAAGAAACACTGGGCCACAATGGCTGAACTGGGCTGGCTGGGTCTCACCCTGCCCGAAGCCCACGGTGGCTTTGGCGGCAATCAGATTGATGCCATGGTCATTATGGAACAGTTCGGCAAAGGCCTGGTGCTGGAGCCCTTTTTCGCCAGCGTTGTGCTGGGTGCCAGGGCACTTTCACTGGCGGGCACTGAAGCACAATGCAGCAGGCTGTTACCTCGCGTCATTGACGGCAGCCGACAGCTGGCTTTGGGTTATGCTGAAGAGCAGGCACGCTTCGATATGCACGATGTCGTGACCCGTGCACAGGCTGATGGGGATGGTTTCATCATCAACGGTCGTAAGTCGATGGTGCAACATGGTGGCACCGCCGACCAGATCATCATCAGTGCACGCACATCCGGTGGCCAGAGCGATACCAACGGCATTTCACTGTTCATCATCGACGCCAACACCGATGGCCTGACGGTGACCGGTTTTCCAACCGTAGACGGCCTGGCCGCCGCCGAGGTGGAACTTAAAGACGTATCTGTCAGCGCTGATGCCCTGCTGGGCGAATTGGACAATGGCTACAGAATACTCGAAGCAGTGGCCATTGACGGCATTCTGGCCATCTGTGCGGAAGCTGTTGGTGCGATGGAAATGCTTTACAAAGATACCGTGCAATACACCCAGGAACGCGAGCAGTTTGATCACGCTCTGGCTGAATTCCAGGTACTACAGCACCGCATGGTCGAAATGTTCATGGAATACGAACAGTGCAAATCACTTCTCTATCGCGCCACGCTGGAAGTGGTACAGAACGGTTCTGATGCGCTGCGAACGGTGCACGCACTGAAACACTTTGTCGGCAAGACCGGTATTTTCATCGGCGAAAACGCCGTGCAGCTCCACGGTGGTATGGGCGTCACGGAAGAGCTGCGCATTGGACACTACTTCAAGCGCCTGCTGGTGATAGATGCACAGTTCGGCAATTCCGACTACCATCTGCAGCAATTCGCCGCATGAGTGATTGAGCTACGCTGATCTGCGGCAGCCACATGGGAGTTGAGGGAGACAATGAATGGCGCTGGCAATTAAAGATAAAGTGGTACTTGTCACAGGCGGAGCCCGCGGCATTGGCGCGGGCATTGTCGCCACCTTAAGTGACGCCGGTGCTCGGATCATGGTTGCCGACATCGGCATCCAGAACAGTTCCGCTAACGAGTGGAATTACGCACTGGCAGGTGAAGACGAGATCGATCAGCTGCGCAAGCGCCACCCACAGATTGGAACCTGCCACGTAGACGTCACAGACCCTGAGAGCTGTGTGGCAGCCGTGCAGACAACTGTCGATCAGTTCGGTCAACTGGACGTTCTGATCAACAACGCAGGTATTGTCGACAGCGGCCCTATTGAAACCTTCAAGGTAGACGTCTGGGACAAAATATTTGCGGTGAACAGCAAAGGCATTTTCCTGATGGCACAGGCTGCCCTGCCTCATCTGCGTAAAACAGAGAACCCCTGCATCGTCAACACAGCGTCTATAGCGGGCAAACAGGGATATCCCAACATGGCGGCTTACTGCGGCTCAAAATTTGCCGCCATCGGCATCACCCAGTCACTTGCAGCAGAACTCGCGCCGCAAAACATCAGGGTCAACGCAATCTGTCCGGGCATGGTTGGCACTGCCATGTGGCTGGAGCACCTGTTACCCAGCAATGCAACCAGTGACAGTCAGAAAGAAGCGGAATTTACTGAAAGCATGGCGCAGACCATTCCTCTGGGCCGACCACAAACCCCTGAAGATATGGGGGATGCGGTCCTGTACCTGATCAACGCGGTAAATGTCAGTGGCGTTGCGCTGTCCGTGGCTGGCGGCTTCGAGATGCAATAGCTTTGACCTGGTACAAAGACCCCCTGCTGTACTTTCTGCTGATCGGCGCAGCCATCTATGCGCTGTCGCTATGGGCGCTGGGAGAGGATGAAGCGTACCAGATTGTTGTCGGCAAACAGGATCTGCAACGCCTGAATGATCAATGGTCCATGCAGATGCGACGCCCACCCTCGGAACAGGAACTTGCCGGGCTGGTTGAACAGTTCATCAAAGAAGAGATTTATTATCGAGAAGCCATGCGCCTGGGACTGGACGCCAACGATACGATTGTGCGCCGCCGTATGGTGCAGAAGCTGACCTTTCTGACAGAAGACATTGCCACGTCGGCAACCTTCTCTGACGCTGACCTGCAGAATTTCTACAACGACCATCTCGATAATTATCGGCTGGCCGAGCGCTTCAGCTTCAAACATCGCTACTTTTCTGTGGACCGTCGCGCCGATGCCCGTGCTGACGCAGCCGAAGCGTTACAGAACCCTGCGATCGGCGGCGATCCGTTTATGCTGCAACGCGAATACGCGTTGCGATCAGAACGTGAAGTAGGTGATCTGTTCGGACGCGATTTTGCTGCCACACTTGCAACACTTACCCCAGACGAAGCATGGCAGGGGCCTGTGCAATCTGCTTACGGGTGGCATTTGGTGCTGTTGATCAACAGAGCACCAGCAACCGTACAGGCTTTTGCCGATGTCCGAGAGCGCGTTCTGAATGACGCCCAGCAGGCCGCACGTGATACCGCCAATACCCGCTATTATGAAGATCTCCGCAGTCAGTACAGTATTGTTCACGCTGATGCGGACAATTAGCCGATATTGCCTACACTTTCTCCTGCTGGCATTGCCTACTCTGGCAAGCGCACATGAGGTGCGCCCTGCTTTCCTGCATCTGACGGAACTCGACACAGATACATCATCAGCACGCTTTGCCGTGTTGTGGAAACAGCCAGCGGTACAGAACGGGCGCCTGGCTATCACACCTGTATTCCCGTCACATTGTGAAATGGTTGAGCAATCGCCGCCGGAGGTCACACCAGCTGCCTATATCCAACGCTGGCAAACCGATTGTGATCTGACCAGAGACGCCATCCACATCGACGGCCTGTCAATGACCCTTACAGATGTCATGGTGCGCTACGACAGCGCCGATGGCAGCACCGCCAATTATGTATTGCGGCCGGAAAGCCCTACTCTGAACATCGCCACGGACATCCCAAGCACCCTGTCTTACCTGTGGATTGGTGTTGAACATCTTCTGTTTGGCCTTGACCACGTTCTGTTTGTGATCGGCCTCGTGCTGTTCATTCGAGCACCCTGGCCACTGCTTAAAACGGTCACAGCGTTCACTGTCGCCCATTCAATCACTCTGGCACTGTCGGTTCTGGGCTGGGTCAGGCTTGAGCAGGGCCCCATTGAAGCTATCATTGCGCTGTCCATATTGTTTCTTGCCCGTGAGTTAGTACAACCGCCCGAACAACGCTCCCGTCTGACTATGGCAAACCCGTGGATCATGGCCTTCGTTTTTGGACTGCTGCACGGTCTGGGCTTCGCCGGTGCACTCAGTGATGTTGGTTTACCCGACGACGATCTGTGGCTGGCCCTGCTGCTGTTCAATGTTGGCCTGGAAATGGGGCAACTGATGATCATCGTGATTGTGATGACCTGTATCTGGTTTGCGCGACGCTTTACTGCATTACCCATGGTCATCCGCGGTGGCGCATGGGGTATGGGCGCGCTGGCGGCTTTCTGGACCATAGACCGCACCATATTACTCCTGTAATTTAAAGAAACTGAGGGGAGGAATCTTTATGCCACTAAAATACATTTTCGCCATTGGCCTGATCGGCCTGCTGATCAACGGCTGCAGTGAGCAACAAGCTGCCGCACCAGAGGCTGCGCCACAAGCGCCTGCTGATTTCACCAATGCCTTTCGCCAGGCGCTGGAAACGGCACAACCCGGCGACGTGATTGAAGTACCAGCGGGGACTTACACGTTCAAGCGCTCGCTGGTATTGAATACCGATAACGTGACAATTCGCGGCGCAGGTATGGATCAATCGATATTGAGTTTCAAAGGGCAGATCGCAGGCGCGGAAGGCTTATCCGTCAGCGCCAGCAATTTTGTCATAGAAGACCTGGCCATCGAAGATACGGTGGGCGATGCATTGAAAGTCAACGAAGGCAACAACATCACCATTCGCCGTGTGCGCACAGAATGGACCAACGGTCCTGACGTTAACAATGGTGCCTACGGCATCTATCCGGTACAGACGACCAATGTGCTGGTTGAAGGAAATGTGGCTATAGCGGCGTCAGACGCGGGTATCTATGTAGGTCAGTCCCAGAACGTGGTGGTCCGTAATAATCGAGCTGAATACAACGTCGCGGGTATTGAAATAGAAAACACCATTGGCGCCGATGTTTATAACAACGTTGCCACCAACAATACAGGTGGCATTTTGGTATTCAACATGCCACAAATTCCCCAACGCGGTCATTCAACCAGGGTTTACAAAAACGAGGTGCATAACAACAACACCGCCAATTTTGCAGCGCCGGGCACGGCGGTTTCCGGTGTTCCTGCCGGCTCTGGTGTAATCATTAATTCCAATGACAAAGTGGAAATTTTTGATAACAACATCACCAACAACAATACCGCCAACATTGTGATCTCCAGCTACTTCAGTGCCAATTACGCAGGACAACGCGATCTGGCAGAAAACTTTGACCCCTATCCGGAAGACATCTTCATTTATGGCAACCTGTTTGAAGGCGGCGGGCAAGCGCCGGGCAGCAGTTACTTAACCGAAGTCAAAGACGCGGTGTACGGCTCTGATGGCGAATTTCCGGACATCATCTGGGACGGCATCATCAGCCCAACGCTGGCAGAAGGACAGGCTGTCATCTGCGTGCAGAACGGTGATGCGGAACTGTTGAATATCGATGCGGCTAATGAATTTGCTAATCCAAACGTTAATATGGGCAACCACGATTGCACCGTAGATAAATTGTCAGCAGTAACTCTGTCAATGGCCAACTGATCACAACTGAGCAATTTTAGTGGTTAACGGGTTTAAAGCAGTACCGTGCATTTTACTGATCTGGTTGCTGAGCAGCAGTTGCAGCGAGCAACCGGGTGTCAGTTTCTTTACCGCGGACCAATATCCGGACAATCTGTCCGCCTGGGGTTTGCTAAACAAACAGGCAAACGCGCTGGTCCCCGCTGAAGATACGCACATCTATGACCTGAACACCCCACTGTTCACAGACTACGCGCTGAAACTTCGCACCCTGTACGTTCCACCGACCCGCACCGCACAGTTTGAACCGTTTGACGCCTTTGTCCTGCCGGTGGGCAGCATTATCAGTAAAACCTTTTTCTACCAGCACAACGGCGACGGCGCGCTGATCCTAGATGCCGGTTGGGACGGCAATCCCGCAAGCCTGCAGATGGATAAGACCCTGCTGCTGGAAACCCGACTGTTGGTGAAGCAGAGTAATGGCTGGGATGCCCTGCCCTACATCTGGCGCGGCGACGACGCCTACCTTTCGATCACCGGCGACCTGCAGACGTTGTCTACCAGCAAAGGTGAGGTACTGAACTACCTGGTGCCCAGCCGCAACCAATGTGCTGGATGCCATGCCACAGACCATACTGCAGGTGATATCCAACCGATTGGGATCAAAGCCCGCCACCTGAATCGTGTAGATCCAATCCATGGTATCAATCAGCTCACCGCGTGGCAGGCAAGGGGTAATCTGGAGGGCATGCCGTCCTTAGATGCGGTGTTTGCCAATGCTGATATGAACTCGCAGCAGGCAGATCTGGATCACCGCGCGCGAAGTTACCTGGACATCAACTGCGGACATTGTCACAACGCATCAGGTGCAGCAGACACCTCCGGGTTGCTACTCGACTACGCAGATCACGATTTGAAGACTATGGGACAGTGCAAACCTCCAATAGCTGCGGGTCGAGGCTCTGGCGGACACCTTTACAGTATTGTGCCGGGCGCGGCTGACGCATCCATTCTGACTTATCGGATGAACACCACAGACCCAGGCACAATGATGCCGGAATTAGGGCGCACACTGGTTCACGCTGAAGGCCACGCATTAATTGCGCAATGGATAGATGCTATGGACGGGGTCTGCCTGTAGGGCTGGCAAACACAAACCGACGCATCATCAGAAAATTATGCGCCGAGCCCAGAAAAGATCCGACCACCAGCGCCCATAAAGGGCCCAACATGCCCGCCAACACCAGCCCGGAGTAAACCCCGAAGTTTATTGCAGAGCCTGCACACTGAATCAGAATATAGCGACTCTTGGAAGACTCTTTTATCGATGCTGTAAATGTATAACGCGCGTTAAGGATAAACGATACCGCTATGGTCACGATGAATGAACAAACCCGGGCAAGAATCGGCGGCACTCCGGCACCATAGACAAGCAACCAGAGCAACCCGGCATCAACGACAAATGCCACACCGCCAACCTGCAGAAAGCGAAACAGATGTTGGACCATAGGCGTTACGCAGACGGCTCTCAGGCAGCTTGTGCCCGACGCCTTTCAAGTTCAGCCACAATCTCTGCATGGCGTTTGCGATCAAGATCATATTTGGAGTAGCAATACGCAGAGACCAGCGCAAAACCGGAGACAATGGGCCCAAACACCAGGCCAAGCCAGATCAGGGTTTCTGGCGCCACATCCGCTGCGCTTTTAATCTCCGGACCTGTCGGCCAGGCAATCAGCGTCAAAGCCAGCCCGGCCACTGCCGAACCTAAACCGGTGGTCACTTTGTTTGAGAACGACACCGCCGCAAAAAACATGCCTTCCTGACGCTGTCCTGTGACCAGTTCCTGTTCGTCAACGATATCTGCAACCATTGATGAAAACGCAACCAATGCCTGTACAACGCCTACACCCTGCAGAAACTTGACCAGAATCAGGGTCCACAATAAAGATTCGCTGCCGTTCTCCGGAAACAAGCCCAACAATCGCAGCACAACGGGAATAACCTGACATGCGGCCCACCACAAGGTGCCAAACAGGATAAGGGGTTTCTTATCGAACCACTCAGTTAAACGCCGGGCAAAGAAAGTACCCAGCAACGCACCGATGGGCGTCGCCATAAAAAACAGCAGGTTGCCGCTACTCTGCAACTCCCAGAAATAGGTATTCATGTGCAGGTTCAGCGCCTGATCCACACCGACCATCATGAATACGACCAGCACACCGGTGAACAGCCAGCGAAACGATACATTCTTCAGTGCCTGTATCAATTCTGCAAAAGTCTGTTGCAGGGTATGCCAGACGCCCAGATAGGGACGTTGAACCGCTGGCTGCACCAGATAAGGAATACGGTTCTGGGTGCCTGCTGCTGAGTAAAGAGCCACCAGACCTATCAGTACCGCCAGGGTGACACCAAAAGGCAGGTAAGCATCCACATTGAACTGCCCATGGGGAAATTCTGCGCTGTCAGCAAAAAACAGGGTAAAACCGATAGCGTATGTGACCAGATGACCGATGTAACTGAAGAAGAAGCGATAGGCAACAATGGTTGTACGCTCATCGAAGTCCGACGACAGCTCTGCCCCAAGCGCCACATGCGGCACGTAAAACAAGGTGATCGACGCGCGCGTCAGCATGGCAAAAATAGTCAGCCACAGAAACAAGCCAAACTCGGGCAAATCCGGTGGGCTGAACAGAGCTATAAGACTCAGACCCAACGGCAGCACAGCGGCATAAAGAAAAGGATGCCGGCGGCCGTATTTGCTTTTCCAGTTATCCGACACTGATCCAATCAGAGGATCTGTCACTGCATCCAGAACCAGCGCCAGGAATACCGCTAGACCGGTATAGCTTGTCGATAACCCCAACACCTGGGCGTAATAGAAAAAGATAAAAACGTTAAAGGCACCATTCTTAATGCCTTCGGTAGCTTGACCTAAACCATAGCTTATTTTGGTCGAAAATTTCAGCGGAGGAATAACACTCATGACCGCAGTTTATAACGCATCACGGCCCGGGTAACATGCTTAATCACGCCAAATTGATGAAAAATTGGAGCACGTTGTGACTGAGCTAGCAGGCCTCGATGCAGCCCCGGTGATCTGTCCGGAGCAAACCGTTATAGAAGACTGGATCGATTACAACGGCCATCTGAATATGGCTTTTTACAACGTGATTTTTGATCGCGGCGTTGATCACGTCTATGACCTTCTGGGTATCGGCGCGGAATACGCCCAGAACGGTCAGGGTTCCTGCTTTACCATGGAAGTTCACCTGCACTACCTCAGCGAACTGTCGTTGGGTGATAACGTATGTGTGCACTTTCAACTATTGGACTACGACAGCAAACGGCTGCACTTTTTCGAACAGCTCTATCATCAGAGTGAGGGTTATCTGGCTGCAACGTCAGAACAGATAGGTATGCACGTAGACATGCAGACACGTCGTTCAGCGCCCTTTCCGGAGTCTGTTATTAAACGGTTGGAAAGACTGAAGCAGGCTCACAGCCCATTGGCCGTGCCCCCACAGGTGGGGCACGTTATCCAGATACCGAGGCGGTCTGAGACTTAGGGGCTAGTACCCTTCCAGTTCGCCGTAACGATTACGGTGATAGTTCACGTCGCCGAAAGTCTGTTCGGTGACCGCCGCGCGCTTGATGAAAAAACCGATATCAAATTCGTCGGTCATACCGATACCGCCATGCATCTGAATGCCTTCGCGGGATACCAGGTTGTAGGTCTCACCTACTTTAGCCTTGGTGAGGCTGGCAAGCTTCGCGATCTCCTGTGCGTCACGACCTTCATCCAGAGCGGTTAATGCTTCCAGTACACAGGATTTAGACAGCTCAATTTCACAGAACATGTTGGCTGCTCTGTGCTTCAGCGCCTGGAAGGAACCAATCGCCACGCCGAACTGTTTGCGCTCTTTGAGATATTCAACGGTACGTTCGAAACATTCCTGCAGGGAGCCGAGCATTTCCGCAGACAATCCGATACGCGCGATATCCAACGCGGGGTCGAGAACATCAGCACCTTTGCCCAGTTCACCGATAAGGGCATCTGCACCCACTTTCACTTCGCTGAACTCGATATTCGCAGCATTTCGTGCATCAGCCATCTTTGTACGGGTAACCGCTACGCCATCTGCGTCTGCGTCCACCAGGAACAGAGAAATGCCGTCTCTTGCACCGGCATCACCACTGGAACGTGCGACAACGATGAGCTTGTTAGCAACATGACCATCAAGAACAAATGTCTTGTTGCCGCTGATCGTATAGCCGTCGCCAGCACTCTTTGCGGTGGTGGCAATCTGATAAGGGGCGTGTCGATGACCTTCTTCCAAGGCCAGCGCCAGCAACAGTTCGCCAGCAGCTACCTGAGGTAATAATTCGGCTTTCTGTGCCTCTGAGCCACCCAGATTAACAACCGTGCCACCCACCCATACAGAAGCGTAAAGTGGGCTCGCCGTTAATGTTCGGCCGGTTTCTTCAGTCACCACGCCGAGGCCTTTATAACCAAACGCCAGTCCGCCGTGATCTTCACCCCATGGAATAGCTGCCCAACCCAGTTCTACCATGGAATTCCAGGTGCCCGTATCGAAGCCCTCCTGGACGTCTGCATCACGCAGACTGCGCAATTGCGCTATGGGTGCATTATTAGTGCAAAAGTCTTTTGCACTGTCTTTGAGCATGTTCTGCTCTTCGTTCAGGATCATTGGCATATTGGCTCCCCCAATCGTGCTGAAACCGCAGAATATCGCGGGTCGGAAAACCGCTAATAAAAGCATAAGAGACGGCTCTCTGTCGAGGCCTCCGCGCTTTTAAAAAGCGATCCCAGGGACTTTTCACAATCGTTGAGTGCTCGCCCTTACTTTTTACTTACATTCCATACATGGCCAATGCAGCAGGTTGTGATCTGGATCTCTATTATGAATCTGTACTTACGAGTTTGGCTTGTTGTGAAAACTACTCCGTTACTGGTTATTTTCCTTTGCACCATTCTCAGCGCCCGCGTAAGCGCTGAGAGCGCCGAGTCCATGCATGCAAGTACCATTTCCATGAGTGCGGTCAATCAGAGCGTCACTCAGGAGTCCACGATTGGAGGGTCTGCAGCAGAATCACTTGATACTGCTGCAGGCACCTTCGACTACAGCTATTTTCTTGTTTTAGGCTTGGGTATCGCCGGTTTATTCTGGATTCGCCGACAGAGCCAGTCCCTCTAGCAGCCCTCGCCTCGACATGCCAGATCCTCAAATCGCGGATCTCGAACTCGCGCTTCAATCCACGCTACCGATGGCGCACATCGAAGTATGCACACTACCAGGGCTGCCGCAGCTTCAACTTGCTCTGATTAATTCTGATTTCCCCACCGGCCCTCTGCCACCGAACGTAATGCACGATGTAATTGCTACCCCGGCGTACTGGGCTTTCTGCTGGGGCAGCGGACTGGCAACGGCGCAGTGGCTCGCGCAACAGCCACAGATTGTGAAAGACAAAAACGTCGTCGACCTGGGTTGCGGATCTGGCGTCGTTGCGGTTATGGCCAAGTTGATGGGCGCAAGCAGCGTCTGGGCTTGTGATACTGACCCGAACGCCCTGCTTGCCACCCAGGTAAACGCACAACTCAATGAAGTCGAAGTCATTCTTTCCGACCATCTTAGTCAGGTGCCTAACAACCTGGACCTGCTGTTTATGGCAGATGTTCTGTACGACCGAAGCAACTTCGCCCTGTTGTCTGCGGCAAAAAACAAAGCCACCCGAATGCTGATCGCCGATTCACGCGTCGATGATGTCAACGATCCGGATTTTGCTGTTGTGCATCACATGCAGGCGCTGACCTTCCCTAACCTGGGTGAGTTCGACGAGTTCAAAAACGTCTGCTTTTTTGAGTATAAAACCGCTTAACGCTTATCCGCACGACTGTAAACGGCCACCATGGAACGACGGGCTTTAGCGCCTGCAATGACCCGAGCCGTGGAGACCTCCGGATCACGCATCCAAACAAGCGCGTCCTGCGCTGACGGAAAATCCACCACCAGCAGCCGATCCCAATCCTGCTCTCGATGATAGATGTGAGCAGCTTCGTCCCAAACAACCTGACCGGTTGTCCCGGCAAGAGTTGCCAGCACAGGTGCCAGATTGTCGACCGATACATGATCGCTGTTGCGTACCAACCAGATAATTAAACCAGCTCGCCAACGAACCGGTTGGGCAGAAAAATGTCCCAGACTGAAGTTGCTCACCGACCCATTGGTAGCGATGAGCCGATAAGGTGAAGAAGTCATCACCTGCGCTATGTCCTGCGCCCGAGACAGATGGAAGTTGTTGAGGTGGCTCCACTCATCCGCACGGGAACCCTCTAAAAGCTGAACCAGTGTGTACGAGCCCACAGCGACCCCGCCTTCACTGGCAATCAACCCGGTTAACGGCTCCTGGTAATGACTGATCAGATAATTGTCACCCCGATGGTCTGTGGTTTTGGCGAAGTCCAGCAACAGATAGGGTTGATCGCGCTGATCATCCAATAGTGCAATTTGCACCAGCTGAGGGCCTATCCACCATGCGGCAATAGACAACACCGCTGCAGCACCAATCAGTGCCGCTATCATTAAACCTAAACTTTTCACTTTCTCAGCTCTACGGCCTCGCTCTGTCAACAACCCAGGGTTGCTTACGCCCCTGCAAAAAGCCGCAATCATACGCTCTTTTTAAGCAAACTTTATCCGTCGCCTGTAGATCAGAAACACCTGAGCCGTTAGGCTAAAGCGGCTTTAAACGACTTTGGGAGAGGGTTATGGCGGCTGTGCAATACGAAGAAATTCTTTATGAGGTGAATGACCCGGTGGCGGTCATCACCATGAATCGTCCGCAGGCACTTAATGCATTCACGAATCGCATGCTGGCGGAAATCAAACACGCACTGGCAACAGCTGAAGCAGATGAGGCGGTTGTTGGCATCATTCTCACCGGTGCCGGACGGGGCTTCTGTCCTGGAATGGATATGAACGCACTGGATAACTTAAGTACCGGCGACGGCGGTGAGCAGGATTTATCACACCTGAAATCAGATCCAGGTGATGCCTCCTTAGGAGACAACTTCAAAATCACCTTCAGCTATCTGCAGGCCATCCGCAAACCCGTGATCGCTGCTATCAATGGCGCTTGCGCTGGCCTGGGCATGGCCATTGCCAGCCTGGTTGATCTGCGCATCGTTGAGCGACAGGCAAAATTCAGCACTGCATTTTCTCAGCGGGGTCTGATTGCCGAGCACGGCATGAGTTGGACGCTGCCGAGGCTGGTGGGCTCGGGCAACGCCCTCGACCTGCTCTGGAGTGCACGCAAATTTGATGGCGAAGAGGCACATCGATTGGGATTTGCCGAGCGCCTGGTTGAAACAGGCGCTTGCGTGGATACTGCACGGGAATATATCGCAAACCTTGCGGCTAACTGTTCCCCGACCTCACTACAGGTGATCAAAGCGCAGATTCATCGGCACATGAATATGCCCCTGGGTGAGGCAATGTCTGAAACAAATACGTGGATGGCACAAAGCCTGGTGCGCGAGGACTTCCGTGAAGGTGTCCGCTCATTTATCGAAAAGCGCCCGCCTGAGTTTAAACGTGTCACTACCTGAGCCGGATCGGGTTTACACCCTCACGGGCCATCACCTTGACCTATCCGTGCTGGAACTCGGACCACCGGACGCGCCTTGTGTTGTGATGCTGCACGGTTTACGTGACAGCGCCCGTTCGCTGCTGCCGGTGGCGCAGATCATCAGTCAAAGCGGCACCGGTTTGCGCGTCCTGTTACCCGACTTACGTGGTCATGGACAAAGTGGTGTGGCCCAGGCCTATGCCATGCCGAACTACCTGTTGGATGTACTTGCGGTTGTCGAGCACTGCAACGGACCGTCAACGGAAACGCCTGTCGGGCTATTCGGGCACAGCCTCGGCGGGCAGATCGCTGCGCGTTTCAGCGCCCTGTTTCCGGAGAAAGTGGCGGCGCTCATTATGGTAGAGGGTATGGGTCCACCCAGACGACCCAATGAAGGGGATCCGGTCCATGAGTTGGCCAGCTACCGGGCCGCCCTGCTGCAAAGATTGACTCTGCAGCGTGGCGGCGGCAGGCCACTGGCAGATTACTCTGACGGTGCTGCACGTCTGCTGCGCAACAATCCTCGCCTGGATCCAGCAATGGCAGAAGACATTGCCCGTCACCTGACAACCCTTATCGACGGTCAGTTACACTGGAATTTTGACCCCCAGGCGCGCAACGTTTTTATCGGCGTCAACACCCTCGACAACACAAAATACTGGCAGCAGATAAAAGCACCTGCCTGCATCATCAGCGGCACCCTGTCCTACCAGTATTGGGGAAAAGAGCTGGCTCAGGAAGGTTTCACCGGACACTTTGCCGAACGCGAGATGGAAAGCCGCGCTGCCCTCATCCCTCATCATGAACACCACTGGTTCGAACATTCAGGCCACATGGTCCACTACGACGAACCTACCCGACTGGGCAATCTCAGTTCACTTTTCCTGGCGCAATATCTCTTTAAGGAGCAAGACAATGGATGACAAGATAATCACAACAGACCTGAGCCATTTCGACGGCGCGGAAATTGTTGCTGGCCTGAACACATACCTGCGCCTGCGGACAACACCCATCGGCATGAAAATGTTCAACAGCAAAGCGGAAATGGAAGCTATCCCACGCATCCGCCGCCCCAACGACATCCACACCACCGACCAGATTGTTGGCCAGGCTTCACGCAATGGCTGGACAGTGGGTATCACCGCAGAAGATCTTGTGGGAGCCCAGTGCAGTACCGTGATCGGTCTACACCCACGCAGCGACGAGTGGCTATCCGGTGATCGAATGACCGGTGTGTGGTACGGCACTCAGGAAGATGCCGCTGCGCATCAGGCGGCCATGGACGTTGTGCCATTTGGTCAATATGCGGCCATGGCGGTCAGTCCGCTGGCCAGCGGCCGCCTGAACCCGCCGGACATCTGCCTTATTTATGCAACACCCGCACAAATGATTTTATTTATTAATGGCCTGCAATGGACCGGCTATAAAAAGCTCGAATGGGGATGTGTGGGCGAATCCGCCTGCGCAGATTCCTGGGGGCGCGCCCTGGCTACCGGCGAGCCGTCTTTATCTATACCCTGTTTCGCAGAACGTCGTTATGGCGGCGTGATGGAAGACGAATTGCTGATGGCCATACCACCCAGCTTTCTACCTAAGATCATTCAAGGCCTGGCCGCATTATCCAACAACGGTCTGCGTTACCCTATTGCCCAATATGGCGTGAATAACGATGTCCGCGCTGGCATGGGTGTCAGTTACTGAAGAGGTGCTCCTATGGAACTGTATGACGCGATGTCCACGCTGCGCGCTGTCAGGCGACTGCGACCAGACCCGATCCCGGCAGATGTACTTAACCGGGTGTTAACGGCAGCTACCTGGGCACCAACCGGTGGCAATCACCAATCCTGGCGCATCATCAGCGTCACGGCGCCTGAGTTAAAACAAGGGTTGCAGGACCTCTACCGTCCCCATTGGGATAGCTATGTACCGGCTTACGAAAAACACCTCAGTGACATGCCACCAGAGCAGGCCGGCCAATCTCGTCGCGCTTTAGAGTCCGGTACTTACCTGGCCCACCATATGTATGAAGCGCCGGTCATTTGTGTGTTCTGCTTCAATACCGAGCACATCACCATCACCGATGCTGAGCTGTCGCGCCCCAGCGTTGTGGGCGGCGGCTCAATCTATCCAGCCGTGCAGAATCTGTTACTGGCTGCGCGCAATGAACAGTTAGGGTGTGTCCTCACAACGTTATTGTGTATGGAAGAGCTGGCGGTGAAAAAACTGCTGCAGATACCCGCAGACTGGCACACCGCCGCATTTGTGCCGTTGGGGTATCCGGTTAAAGGCGGACATGGTTCTATCTCAAGAAAGCCTGTTGAAAAGATGGTCTACAGCAACCATTTTGGCGCGCCTTTGCAACCCTAGACGCTGCGACCACACTGCTGCAGCTGCTGGGCATAACGGTTGGCCTGGGTTGTGACTTTCTGCGCATAGCCCTGGATCGTCGAAGAATTTTTCCACACACCCTTTCGATATCCAGTGGGACCGGTGTAATACGCCAGATACAAACGATAGGGGTCATTCTTGGCTATCCCAAGCTGTTTGTGTGAACGATGGTTGTACCAGCCAATGAAGTCCATAGCGTCATGGAAGTTGTCCCGATCTACAAACCAGCGGTTAGTATCGTCCAGATAATCGCGCCACGCTTCATCCGTGGCCTGAGCATAGCCGTAGGCTGACGACAGACGCCGCCAGGGCACCAGACCCAGCAGGCGTTTGCGTGGCGGCTTGGCATCCGCTACATAAGATGATTCGCGGTGAACAAAAGCCATACCCACATTAACGGGCATTCCCCAGCGCTTCTTGGCCTTTCGCGCCGCTTTGTACCAACTGCCCTTTTCATCAAAAATATCGCAGACCTGATTAGGCTGACGCGGCGGATTTGATGAACAACTGCTCAGTGCAACCAGCAAAGCCAACAGCCAGGCCAGCCCGAGCGGTTTTAACCAGCGAAAATGAATATTAGATTTCGACGCCATGTTGTTGAAGATACTGCAAAAACTCCGCTTCATCCATAACCGGCACATTTAAATTCTGAGCTTTTTCCAGTTTGCTGCCTGCGCCCGGTCCGGCAACCACCTGATGGGTTTTGGCAGACACAGAACCCGCTACTTTGGCGCCCAGTGCCACCAGAATGGCTTTAGCATCATTACGAGGCATCGAAGTGAGTGTGCCCGTCAGTACCCATGTCTGCCCCTGCAGCAGGTCGCTGTTGGCCAGTTTTTCAATGGAGGGCCATCGCACCCCCGCCGCTACCAGCTTGGTCACGATGTTCCGGTTTTCGCTATCTGCAAAAAAGTCGACAATGCGACGCGCAACAATCGGGCCGACGTCTTCAACCTTCTCCAGTTCGACCGGATCTGCCTGGATCAGGGCGTCGAGTTCCGCAAAATGCTGCGCCAGGGCTGCTGCCGTGGCCTCGCCTACATCGCGAATACCTAAGGCGTAAATAAATTTGGCCAGAGTTGTCTCTTTGCTTGCCTCTATAGCCGCAACCAGATTGGCCGCAGATTTTTGTCCCATTCTTTCCAGGGACGCAATGTCATCGGCGCTCAGAGCAAACAAATCCGCGGAGGTTTGAATAAGGCCCTGGTCAACCATCTGCTCAACAAGCTTGTCACCCAAGCCATCAATATCCAGTGCCAGCCGCGAAGCAAAATGTTTGATGCCTTCTTTCCGCTGAGCCGGACATACCTGTGGCGACGCGCTACAGCGTGCTACGGCTTCCTCGTCACTTCGGATAATAGGGCTATCACACGCCGGGCAGCGCTCAGGCAGGCTGATGGCGGCAGCATCGTCGGGTCTGCGGCTGAGGATGACAGAAACTACCTGGGGGATGACATCACCGGCACGCCGAATCATGACCCAGTCGCCCGTATGCAGGTCCAGCCGTCTGATTTCATCCATGTTATGCAATGTTGCATTAGAGACGGTCACGCCGCCAACAAACACCGGCTGCAGGCGCGCCACTGGAGTGATCGAGCCGGTTCGACCCACCTGGAATTCAACTTTCTCAACCCTCGATACAGCTTCTTCAGCGGGGTACTTATAAGCAATCGCCCACCGCGGTTTACGCGTGACCGTACCTAACTCTACCTGCATCGCCAGAGCGTTTACTTTAATGACCACGCCGTCGATGTCATATCCCAGGGTGTGCCGCAATTCCTGGATTTCATTGATGTACTGCAATGCGCCCTCGAGGTCTGCGACAACCCGCACCAACGGATTGGTACGAAGCCCCCAGCGGCTGAAGGTATCAATGACCTCTTTGTGGGTTTCAGGCTGCCACCCCCCATCGGTTGCACCCATGCTGTAACAGAACATCGTCAGGGGGCGCTCCGCGGTAATTTTTGAATCAAGCTGACGCAGACTGCCCGCTGCACCGTTGCGCGGATTGATCATTGGCTTCACCCCCTGAGCTACCGCTTTTTTGTTGTACGCCTCAAAATCAGCCTGGGGTATATAGATTTCACCACGGACCTGGAGCCGGTCCGGCACGTCCGCAGCACTCAGCCGCAGCGGAATCGATTTTATAGTGCGTACGTTTGCGGTGATGTCTTCGCCAGTCTCTCCGTCACCCCGCGTCGCTGCGAGCACCAGAGCACCGCGTTCATAGTTCAGAGCCACCGCTACACCGTCAATCTTAGGTTCGCAGCTGAAGCGCAACTCTGAAGGCTGATCCAGTAAGCCCTTGCAGCGCTGTATCCACTCACCCAACTCTTCTGCCGTTGTACATTTTTCCAACGACAGCATGGGAACGTCGTGACGCACCTGATTGAATTCGGACAGAGGGACCCCGCCCACGCGCTGGCTGGGAGAATCGTCAGTGACCCATTCTGGATGGGCCGTTTCAAGGGCTACTAGTTCGTCGTACAGGGCATCATACTGGCCATCTGAGATTTCAGGCTCATCAAGCACATGATAGCGATGAATATGATGGTTAAGTTCATCGCGCAATTGTTGCAATCGCGCTTTGACCTCCTTTTTCGACGCCGCCATCTCAGGCCCGTTTAGATAACCTTCGACGTGAATAGTCAGCAATACGCTGACGCATATGTTCTACCGTCTGCCCGGTCAACCCGCTCATGGCTTCGTCACGCAACTCAGCACCCAGCTCAACAGCAATGCTACGGGCTGTTGCCAACATATCGTCAAACATGTCGGTGGCGTCCAATGGACCTGGCAGCTGAAGGAAAAACGTCATGCCCGGAGAGTGCAGCTCGTCCAGATCAGAAAGATCAAATGTACCCGGCTCAACCGCATTGGCAACACCATAAAGCTTGGCTTTTGTCGCCGCATCAACGCGATGGAAAATATTCATATCGCCGTAGCGCAGCCCCTGATTTCGCAAGGCGTTAACCAGCCGCTCACCATCAAAACTTTCACCACGCGGCGCGAGCACATTCACGATCAGCAATTCTTCGACCGCGCCAAGCTCCGCAGAGGACGCTGACGTGGTTGCACTTTCAGAACGCTTTCTCGACCGCTGCCGCTCCTCCGTATGCAGAGACACTTCGCGCACATGGGGTTTGACCGGCGCCTCGCTCGCGGTTATTTCCTGCCGCTCAGATCCACTGTGGCGGGTAGTGCTCAATTCCGGCTCCACTGGCCTGGATGCCTCGCGAGAGACCCGCGGTGGTGCCTGATGAACTCTGGGTCTGCTTCTGTTGACCTGAGGTTCTGAATCCTCAATAGGTTCGTTAGCTGCCACAACTGGTTTCGGCGCTGCCGATTTCTCAGCCGTCGGGGTAATCAACAAAGGCGGTGTTTCTTCAAATTCCAGCGGCAGGTTCACCTGCTCTTCCGCCATGGGCCTGCGCGGTACTATGCGCGCCCCGCCGTTGGGCAACTCCCCTCGCAGGCGCTCTATCTCATCGACGCTGTCCGGGATCAGGTCCGGCACAATATCTAAACGCAGGGGTTCGCGTTTGGCTCGCCAGGCAATCCAAAAGCCATGCCCGACAACCATGGCAATCAGTAAACCGCCACCTATGAGGATAAAATCTTTAATGTCCAATCTGGGCTCCTTGATTGCCAATCATAGCAATCGTTAGTTCCAAACCTTTTTCGCGGTCGGGACGCAACTCAAATGCATAAGCACAGGTTACACCGCCATGGCCGCGGCCTCGTCCACGTCTACCGAAACCAGGCGCGAAACACCTGGTTCCTGCATCGTGACACCCATCAAGTAGTCAGCCATTTCCATCGTAATTTTGTTATGTGTAATTACGAGGAATTGCACATCAGCTGACATTTCTTTAATGAGTGCTGCAAAGCGCGAGACATTTGCGTCGTCCAGAGGAGCATCCACCTCATCGAGCAGGCAAACCGGGCTCGGGTTCAGGTGGAAAATGGCGAAGATCAGAGCGACCGCCGTCATAGCTTTTTCGCCTCCAGAGAGCAGATGTACGCTGGCATTGCGTTTACCAGGTGGTCTTGCCATAAGCGAGACACCGGTATCGAGAAGGTCCTCCCCGGTCAGTTCTAAATAGGCGTGTCCTCCGCCAAAAACTTTCGGAAACAGCTCACCCAGACGGCTGTTTACCGCTTCAAATGTGTCCTTGAAACGTGTCCGGGTTTCCCGGTCTATTTTGCGGATGGCTTCCAGCAATGTTTCCATTGCCGAGTCCAGATCTTCCGCTTGCGAATCAAGGTATAACTTACGTTCAGATTCCTGTTCGTATTCTTCTATCGCAGCCAGGTTGATAGCACCGAGTCTGGCAATACGCCGACCCAAACGATCAAGCTGATCACTCCACACGTTTTCTTCTGCCTCTTCGGGCATTTCAGTACGTACCTGCTCTAAGCTATGGCCAGTGCTGCCCAGTTGCTCAAGCAGATTATTTTCCTGCACAGCCAGACCCTGACGTTCAACCCGCGCCTGTTCCAGGCCGCCACGCATTTTTTCTACGGTCTGCTCCTGTGCCTGGCGCTGTCCATCGAGGGTTCGAGTCAGTTGCTCAGCCTGTTCCAGCTGAGCACGTATCGTGGCAAGTTCATTTTCGATTGATACCCTGGCATCGAGTTTTTCCGCCAGTTCCCGCTGCAGATCCGGCAGCGGTGTCTGGCTGGTGGCGATACCCGAAGTTAGCTGCTCCTGTTGTTGGGCCAACTCCTGTTGCTGTTTTTCCAGGCGCTGGCGCGCTGTTTCGCTGGCGGACAGCCGCGACTGAAGGCCTTCTTTTTCGACATTCAGCGCGTAAAATTCATCTCTTTTAAGGCGTGCCTGTTCTCGCGCAGCGAGCAGATCTGCATCCGCCTGTTCACGCTCAGCTTGCAGTTGCTGCCGCATTTCGGCCTGGCCTTCGCGAAGCAGTTCAGCTTCACGCAAGCGCTCGCGCGCGGTGTTCAAGCTCGAAGTTTCCGCCTCAAGCTGTTCACTGATATCCGCAGCATCTTTCATCAGGCGTTCACGACGAGCGCCAGCTTCTTCCAGCTTCACACGTGTGACACCGTGGTCAGTACGACGCTGGCCGAGGCTCTGATTCAGCTGGTTCAATGTACGCTGCAACTCTTCGCGCTGCATTTCGATACGCTCAACCGCCTCGCGGCCGGCACTGACGTGTTGTTGCAGTTCAGCAAGATGCTGCTCAGCTTCTTCAACCTGTACGTTCAGGGTTTCAAGCTGTTGTCCGCGTTCGATAATGCCAGCTTCCTGATCATGATCGTGCAGTACCCGCATCCAATCCGCACCGATCCAGAATCCTTCACGGGTGATGATACTCTGCCCAGGCTGGAGCAGATGGCGTTTGGACAGGGCAACCGAAGCGGACTGCGCCGCATAAATGCCATGCAGAAGTGAAACCGCGCTGACCGCGTCTGCTCGCACCAGAGAGTGCAGACTGGGGAGCGCCAGTTCAGTATTTTCGGCTGCAGGCTGGCTTTGTTTGTTCAGCTCAACCAGAGCCAGATCGCCTTCGGACAATTCCGCCAGAGACGCAGCAAAGTCATCAAGATTATCAACTTGCAGAGCACTGAGGAAGTGCCCAAGCACCGTCTCAACTGCCCGCTCCCAACCAGGGACCACGGCGAGGGTTTCTCCCAGACGTGGCGTTGCGGTTAAGTTGTGCTGTGCAATCCAGGCTTCTGCCTCCTGCACAGTCTGACCCAGGGCAGCATCCTGAATCGCCTGCAGGCTGGCCAACTCGTGGCGCATTTCCTGTACCGCAGCCCGAGCCGCCTCCACTTCGCGCTCCCGCAGCAACGCCTCTTCGCGGGTCTGGCCCAGAGCTTTCAGGCATTCATCAATTTTTATATTCAAATCGCGGGATTGGGTTTCCAGACCAGATATCTCTTGCGCAAGTTGATGCACAACTTCGCCGCCGGGATGATCCTGCTGTGCTTCCTGCTGCAGGGACAATTCATCCTGCCGACCGCGCAGGCGCTGTAACAGCTGTTCCAGATGCTCAATACGCGAGGCCTGCACTTCGGCTTCCTGATCATTACGTGAAGCCTGGCTGTTAAACTGGTCCCAGCGCTGCTGCCAGTCACCCATATTACCTTCTGCATCACGGAGCGACTGCTGTAAGTCGGCGTCCTGCTCAGCCAGAGCGCTGACCAGAGGCAGCAGCTCGTTCAGGCGCGCCTGCAGATCGCCGATCTGATCTTTGTCCATGGTGATCTGGCGATCAGTTTCACTCTGGCGCTGCTGTACCGTCTGCAGGTCCAGCTCAAGCTGTTTGACCCGCGCCTGATTAAACGCAATCGCTTCTTCAATGCGGGCAATATCTGCCCCGAGCTGATAGAACTGCCCCTGAACAGCATTGAACTGCTCACTGGTATTTGCATGATTCTGGCGGGAGGCTTCTATCTGGGCTTCAAGCTGCCGCTGAGACGCGATGGCCTTCTCCTGCTCCAGCTCAAGCTCTTTGATATGGGTTTCGCGCTCAGCTAACTGCGCATGTAATGCAGTGTGTTTCAGAACATACAGCTGCGCGGTCACCAGGGATTCTTCCTGGCGTAGTTCGCGATATTTTTCTGCAGCCTGAGCCTGGCGCTCCAGACGATCAAGCTGTCTTGCAAGTTCCTCTCGTATGTCATTGATACGTTCGAGGTTTTCCTTCGTGTGTTTGATCCGGTTTTCTGTTTCCCGACGGCGCTCTTTGTATTTGGAAATACCGGCAGCTTCTTCCAGATAAACCCGCAACTCCTCTGGCTTGGCTTCCACCAGCTGAGAAATCATGCCCTGTTCAATGATTGAATAACTGCGCGGGCCAAAACCGGTGCCAAGGAAAACGTCCTGGATATCACGACGGCGGCATTTGTTACCGTTGAGGTAATAGTTGGATTGAGCATCCCGGGTGACCACCCGGCGTATCGCTATTTCCGCGTAGGCGGCATATTCGCCACCAATCCGACCGTCGGAATTATCGAAGAACAACTCGATAGAAGCGGTTGCTGTCGGTTTGCGCGTATTGGAACCGCTGAAGATGACATCTGTAATGCTTTCGCCGCGCAACTGCTTGGCAGAACTCTCACCCATAACCCAGCGCACGGCATCGATGATATTCGACTTACCGCATCCGTTAGGCCCAACAACCGCGCAGCGATTTCCGGGGAGGGTAACGGTTGTCGCGTCGACAAAAGATTTAAAACCTGCAAGCTTGATTTGCTTCAGATGCATAAGCGGATCGTTTGAACGGTTACTCTGGTCTATCGAGATCTGACTACAGGGAGACCACCCAACTTTTCGCACCGCGACAAGCCAGCATAGCCCTATGATTATCGGGCGTTTTCACAACCCGACGATCACACTTCCCACCCCTCGACGAACCAGGATTAAATTCAGACGAAGTTACCCTGTTCGTGAAGGCGACAGTCTACTGGAAGACTCCGGTGTTGGTAATACTTTTGTGATAAAAATCTACTGCAAAAGCAGTAATTTCCCACGCCGGAACGCTGCTATGCGATGGGTGCAGCTGAGGCCAGCGGCAGACCTGCCCAGGACAGATTGCCTGTACGCGCTTTGGCTGCTGGTTTAGCGCCAAATGTTTTTCCACACAGAAGATGCAGCCGTTTGTGGAACGCATTAAGCAGTTCATCCAGCCGCTCTGCGTCACCTTCCCGCAATGCTGTATGCAGCGCACGGTAGTAGCGTGCAATATCATGCAGGTCTACATCACTGCGCTCAATCAAAACACACATCAGACGCTGACTGGTGGGCAGCAGGCACTCGAACACGCCATTCATGTAACGTGTTGCCGGACTCAGTAACTCGGCATAAAACGCGCCGCGGGCCTGAATGATTTCATTCACGCCACCTGTCTTCGCCGCGCGATCCATCGTCGACAGTAAATTACCTGCCGCAGCCAGACTCTCGTCTGCGCCTGTCTCCAGCAAACTGTGGAACCAGCGGTGCTCTACAGAGGCCAGCATATCGACCAGATCCAGGGCTTCCTGGGCGTTGATCTCGTTGACCACAGCACCTTTACGCGGCACGATTTCAATCAGATGGCGTCTTTCGAGAATAAGCAGCGCCTCACGAACAGAGCCGCGAGAAACACCGAGCTCATTAGCAATTTTTAATTCCTGGATCCGAGCACCTCCCGGCAGGTCGCCAATGATGACGAGATCGGCAAGATGATCGGCAATCTGTTCAGTAATATTCAGCGTTGGTTTGAATACCATGTGTCTAACGTCTCAAGCCAGGTTATGGCTATAGACCCTGCGTGGTTATTTAAGTTCAGTTTACTCAGGCGGCGTGAGCGTAGCGTCAAGGGTTTGCGCCCCTGAGTCAGCCAAATTCATGGCCGGGGACACCCATTGCCAATCGCCAGGTTGCGGCATTGCGTTGCCGCTTTCACTGACTCGGACCAGGACCTCAAATTGATCTGCCTGGCTGAGCCTGCGCTCCGGACTCATACTGACAAGATCATCAAGCCGAACTTCGAAAGGTAATAAGAACGCCGGCTGTTTGACTGCGGCATAAGGCATGCCGCCACCCACTGGCCGCGCAACAACAAAGACACTGGCGCGGGGTGAAGGTGAGGTTGTGGCTGACACGGCAACAGAAACCCCTGGCTCAGAGGTCTGCATGCCCTCCCGCACCTGACGGATAGCCGTGGCAAAAGAGGCCTGGCGCTGCAGATCATTAGCGCTGGTCAACGCACGATTCAACAGCGTGATGGCCTGCTCTGGGTCACCCGTGCGAAACGCATCCAGTGCCAGAATTTCGAGCACCACACCCAGCGATGGTTCCTGCTCCAGAATGCGTTGCGCCAATTCGCGACTGAAATCATCCAGCACACCTGCTGCTGCAAGATAACGCGACTGAAGCCAGTAGACCTGCACATTCAGATCGTCTCCTGCGAGTTGCGCGGTTCTACCAAACGCCTCGGCAGCCTCTGCATATTCACCCTGTTTAAGGTAAACATGACCAAGCAGGTAGAAACTTTTGTCGTCGTCTGGTGAGTTTTGCGTATGTGCCGACAGGCGTTCCGCCCACCCCTGCAGAGCAGCATCATCTGCAGCCATAGTCAGCACTTCTTCTGCACCACGGATATTCTGCAGTTCAGGCTCAGCCACCGTGAAATAAATGCCTAGGGCGAACAGCGGCACAAGCAGCGCCAGCGACCATGACAGCGCCGTCTTCTGTGTGGAAATTTCCGTCTGATCGACATCACCCAACGATTCAGTCAGCAGAACGGCGCCTAGTTCATTTTCAATCTCACCGCGTAGCAGAGTGTCGTCCGTTTCACTCGGAAGTTCGTCATAACGCTGTCGGTAAACGTCTTTCACCACCTCATCATGGCTGACCTCCGCAACCACACCACGACGATTTAGGAGTGGCCAACACACGAATACAGCGGCCAGCAGCGCCAATAACAGACAAACAAAATAAAACACGAAATTACTCTTCTAACTCATTCTTTCAAGAGGGCGCGGACGCGTTGCCGCTGGGATTCATCCAAATCGACAACCTCTTGCTGCCGCGCGCGGCGCAATAAGCCGAACAAGACCAACGCCCCGACAATCGCCAGACCGAGTGGGACCAGCCAGATGAGCATGGTGCGGCTGTTAAATGGCGGGTTATACAGGACAAAGTCCCCGTATCGCGCCTGCAGGAAATCGCGCACTTCCTGGTCACTGTATCCTTCCTGCACCACCAGGCGATGCACGGTACGCCGCAGGTCCTGAGCGATGGGCGCATCGCTGCCTGCAATATTGGTGTTGAGGCATTTCGGACAGCGAAACTCAGCTATGAGGCCTTTATAACGCTGCTGCTGCTCGGCCGAATCGAAGCTATAGACATCAACAGGACTGACCGCCCAGGCTTGCAGGGCGATTAAAAAAACCGTCAACGAAAGGAGACGCAACATCATCGGCCCGCGCCGATGGTCAAACTTTCAGTCTCCTGTGCGGGCATCTGATATACCCCCATCTGCGCCAGTCGTGGGGCCAGCTCATCACGCCATATACGCTGATTTACTTCACCAACACGTTTGTAAACCACCTCTCCCTGGGCATTGAGCAGAAAGGTCTCCGGCGCGCCATAAACTCCCAGCTCTACACCAAGACCGCCGTCCTGATCCACGATGACAAATTCATAGGGATCACCGTAGTCAACCAGCCAACGTTTGGCTTTCACCGCGACATCCTTGTAGTTAACCCCGACCAGACGCACATCGGTCAACTCTGCAATACGCATCAGCTCAGCGTGCTCGGCTTTACAGGTCGGACACCAGGTGGCCCAGACATTCACCAGTGTTGGACGACCTAACAGATCCGCTTTGCTTACACGTCGATCCGGATCGTTGAGCACGCTGGCGGAAAACTCCGGAAAAGGCTGATGCAACAGCGCCGAGGGTAATTCGTTGCGGTTATCCAGGCTGAATCCGATGTAACCAACGGACATGATCAGCAGGAAAATGCCCAGCGGTATAAACAAGCTCGCCCTGCTCATCCGGCAGACCCCGACCCTAATGCTGCTTTAATCGGCACATCGCGCCGCGTTCGAAGTTTGCGATAGCGCTTATCCATCACGGCCAGCATCCCACCCAACGCGAATAACAATGCACCCAGCCAGACCCAACGAACCATCGGTTTGTAATGCAGCCGCACCGCCCAGGCACCGCCACCCAGGGGCTCACCCAGAGAGATATAGGTGTCTGCAAACAGGCCGGCATCAATGCCGGCCTCTGTCATGATGTTACCACCCGCCAGGTAGCGGCGTTTTTCCGGCCGCAATTCAAATGTTCTGCCGCCATTGGTGATCACAAAGACCCCCTGCTGCGCGACATAGTTAGGGCCCTGAACTTCGCGCACACCGAGGAAACGAACCTCTTCAACACCCAGCGTCGTCACATCATTGGGCGCCATGCGGACATCGTCTTCCACAGACTGGGTGGCGGTAATCGCAATTCCAAGCACCGACACTGCAAAACCAATGTGTGCCATGGACATACCAACATAGGCCAGCGGTAGACTGCGTGACGTGCGCAGGCGTTTCACCACGTCAATTAAATGCGTTGCCACAATCCAAAGCGCAATAATCAATGCCGCCAGCACGCCCGCAGATTTAGGATCTGTTGTATACCACCAGACACCACCCAGCAAAGCGGAGACCGGCAGCGCTGCAGTCAGGGTCCCTTTCAGGCTTTGCCAGGGGGTACGTTTCCAGTTAAGCACCGGTACGAGGGCAACAGCCACGCCGAGCAACAACATCAACGGTACAAAAAACATGTTAAAGAACGGCACGCCAATAGAAATACGGCCGCCGGAAATAGCTTCATAACCGATTGGCGCAAGGGTGCCCCACATGACAACGGCAAGCGAGACCACCAGGATCACGTTGTTGATCAGCATGAAAAATTCACGGCTGAGAATTTTAAAACCCACATCAGCGCGCTCTCCTGCCGCACGCAGACCGTAGAGGGTCAGCGACCCGCCAACCACTAATGCAAGGAAAATCAGGATGTACATACCTCGTTCCGGATCTACCGCAAACGCATGGACAGACGTCAATACACCGGATCGAACAATAAAGGCACCAAGCAGTGACAAAGAGAATCCGGCAATTGCCAGCAGCAGCGTCCAGCTCTTGAACGTGCCACGTTTCTCTGTCACGGCAAGAGAATGAATCAGCGCGGTTGCGGCCAGCCAGGGCATAAAGCTGGCATTCTCAACAGGGTCCCAGAACCACCAGCCACCCCAGCCCAGTTCGTAGTAAGCCCACCAGCTACCCAGGGCGATGCCGACACTTAAAAAAGCCCAGGCAAAATTTGTCCAGGGCCGTGACCAGCGGGCCCAGGCTGCATCCACACGTCTTTCCAGCAACGCCGCAACAGCAAAGGAGAACGGTACTGCCAGCCCCACGTAGCCGGCATACAGCAAGGGCGGATGTACTATCAGACCAAAATCCTGCAGCAGCGGGTTCAGATCTGCCCCATCCGCAGGTGTCATAGGTATCAGACGCTCAAAAGGATTTGATGTGAATAGCGCGAAACACAGGAAACCCAGATTCATCAGACTCATGGTGCCTAACACGCGACTGAAAAAGCGCACCGGATAATTGTCGCGACGCAGCGTCAGCAACAGCATCCATAGCGTCATAATCAGGATCCACAAGAGGAAGGATCCTTCATGCCCACCCCAGGTGGCGCTGATTTTATAAGGCAGTGGTAACAGGCTGTTTGAGTGAGTGGCGACATAGGACACCGAGAAATCGTCGGTGGCAAAGCTGTACACCAGGGCTGCAAAGGCCACTGCGGCAAAAACAAACTGCCCAACGACCATGGACACCGTTGACTGCCGTAACAGCTGGGTGCCTGGGCCATGCGCAAACAGTCCGGCAGCAGCGGCTGTAAGCGCCAGACAGGCGGCCAACGCCAGACTGAGTTGACCCAACTCAGCAATCATGGTGACGCCTGCGAATCTGCCTCAGCATCAGATTTGGCGCCAGATTCGGCAACCATGTCCATCAATTCCGGCGGCATATAATTTTCGTCATGTTTGGCCAGCACTTCTCGCGCCATGAATTTACGCTGCTGATCCAGCTCACCCTGCACAATGATGCCCTGCCCTTCACGAAACAGGTCCGGCAGGATTCCGGTGAACGCAACCACAAAGTCGGATCCCATATGATCGGTGATGGTGAACTCAACCTGCAGACTCTCGGGATCACGAGCAACCGACCCATCTTTCACCATGCCCCCTGCGCGAATGGTGCGTTCAAGCGGCGCGGTGCCGTCTACCACCTGATCCGGGGGATAGAACATATTGATGTTTTCTTCCATCGCCACCATCAGCGCCGCTGTGGTTCCAGACACGGCAACCAGCAGAAACAGAGCCAGATACAATCGACTTTTTCGTTTTGGGTTCATATTTTCTCCGCGGCGTATTCTACGCTGGCGTCTGTTTCACTTTCTGTTCGATTTGTTCGATGCATGCCATCGCGATCTGCTTGCGCTGACCAGCGCAACTGTGACAGCTGTCGCTTTTTCGCACGCGAAAGCGCGACGGTACTGCCGATCAGGATCGCCACGGTGGCACCATACGCGAGCCACACATATAGCGCATGACCGCCCATCGCGATAAATTCCGCAAAGCTGTCGAATTGCATTCAGCTGCTACCTTTTACTGTCGTTTCCGGAAGCACGAGATTACGCACCCAGCGAGTGCCACTTTCCCGGCGCAGGATCTCCAGGCGCATACGCGTAATGATGTTATGCCCGGCAAAACAATACATACCTAACACCATCACCAGTAGCGGCAACCACATCTCTGCCGGCATGGTAGGTTTTTCTGTGAGTGTGATAGAGGCCGGCTGATGCAGTGTGTTCCACCACTCAACGGAATATTTGATAATAGGAATGTTAATGGTACCCACCATGGCCACCAGCGCACTGGCTCTGGCGCGCATCTGTGAGTCTAAAATGGCTTCGCGCAGCGCAAATATGCCGATGTACAAAAACAGCAGCACCAGGGTTGATACGGTGCGGCCATCCCATTCCCACCAGGTGCCCCAGGTCGGTCGACCCCAGACACCACCGCTGAACAGCGCCAGGGAGGTCAACAGGATGCCAAATGGCAAACACGCAGCGATGGCAATATCAGCTACTTTCATGCGCCATACGAACAGCACCAGCCCCGCAACACCCATGCTGATGTAGACACTTTGCGCCACCATAGCCGCAGGCACGTGCACATACATGATGCGGAAGCTGTTGCCCTGCTGATAATCCGGTGGCGCAAAGGCCAACCCCCAGACTATGCCAACCCCAAGCAACAACAGCGCAAACACGCCGAAGCCTGTCACCCAGGGGCCGGACATCTGATAGAACCATCGAGGAGAACCGAGCTTATGCCACAGTTCTTTTAATGTCAGTTTCAGCGCCATAGACACTCTTTGTAAATTTGTTACAGCTGCAGGCTAATTTTTAGACCCGCTGTGGTCGCAAAAGGTCCAATCAGCAGTGCAACCATGCTAATAAATGCCAACCAGTACAACTGTGCGTCAGCACTGATACCGGCCACCTCTGAACTGACCGCACTGGCACCAAACACCAGCACCGGCAGGAATAAAGGCAGCACCAGGAGGCCTAACAGCACACCCCCTCTGGCAAATCCTACTGTCATGGCAGCGCCCACAGCACCGAGCAGACTCAGAGCCGGGGTTCCGGCCAGCAACAGCAGCGCGGTTTTAGCGATTGCGCTAGCAGGCAAACCGAGAAACAGGCACAACAGCGGCGACAGAAGAACGATCAGAAACCCTGTGCCAAGCCACTGCACAATAATTTTCACGAGCACCGCCAGCAGCGGTACGTCTGCGGTCACCATCATCTGTTCCAGGGTGCCGTTATCAAAATCGCGGCGAAAAAGAGAGTCCAGCGACAGCATATTGGTCAACAGTACAATCAGCCAGAGCACGGCGCCGCCATATAAGGCGCGCGTATTATCCTGCAGCGGGCTACCTACCGCAAACAACATTACCGCCAGAAACATAAATACTATCGGATTGATCATAGCTGCGCGGTTGCGGATCAATACCCGCCATTCGCGCAGAAACAGAGCCGTCATATTCATGCAGCCGCCGACACCGGCTGCAACACGAGTTCACCTTTATCGACGACCTGCAAAGGCAGGTGGGTCGCGGCCAGCACGGCACCACCCTTATCACAGTGACGACTCAACAGCTGATTGAGCAGGACCTGGCCGTCTTTATCCAGTGATGTATAAGGCTCATCAAGCAGCCAGAGCCTTGCGTTGCTGAGCAACCATCTTGACATGGTCACCCGGCGCTGCTGTCCTTGAGAAAGCTGCTGACAGGGGGTCATTGCAAAGTTAATCATGCCCACTTCCCGTAACAGCTCTGCGGCCAGATCTTCGGCCAAAGTGCGACCTTCCAGCCCGGCAAACCAGGCCAGGTTTTCCAGCGGCGTCATCAGCTCATCCAGCCCCATCGGGTGTCCCTGAAAAAGGAAATCCGTGCAGTCATAGGTGCCATGAAACTGACTGTACAATCCACCAAGGGTTCTCAGGAGTGTGGTCTTACCCGCACCGTTAGGGCCCAGCAGCTCGACACAGTCGCCCACATTAAGCTGTGCCGTCAGCGGCTCAAACAGCGGCAGCTCCTCGCGCGTGCATACAAGCTGATTGAGGGACAACAGCATAGATCAGACTCAGTTCAGAGCTTTCACGGTGTAACAAGGGGTGTATTCACCAATCAGGCGCATCCGCCCCTGCTCCGCAAAACTCTTCAACAAGGTATCCAACGCATCGGTCAGCTCGCTGTCCGCACGCAGCTCAAAAGGACCGTGCTTCTGAATAAGACGGATCCCCTGCTCCTTAACATTGCCGGTAACAATCGCAGAAAACGCTCGCCGAACTTCAACCGCAAGCTTCTCGATCGGCTGATCGCGAACCAGGTTAAGTGCCGCAACACTTTCGTGTGTGACATCAAATGGCTCCTGATGGGCGGAAGGAATATTCAACAACCAGCTGAAGTAGTAGGCATCACCGGACTTGCGTCGGGCACGATGCACATTCCTGATGGCATGGCTCATATACTGCCCCACCGCTTCACTGTCGCCGATGATGATTTTGTATTTTCCTTCAACAGCATCGCCGAATAAAAGGCGCAGAAACTTGTCCATCGCGGCAAAATAATCGGCACTTTCATCCGGTCCAGTGAAGACCACAGGCAATTGCAGATCGGCGTTGCTGGGATCCAGCAGAATCCCCATGAGATAGAGAATCTCTTCAGCGGTACCTGCACCACCAGGGAAAACAACAATGCCATGTCCCAGGCGCACAAAAGCTTCAAGTCGTTTTTCAATATCCGGCAGTACAACCAGGTGATTCACAATCGGATTAGGCGGTTCAGCTGCTATGATGCCGGGCTCCGACAGACCGACAAACCGTCCACCGCTGACCCGCTGTTTGGCATGACCAACAGAGGCTCCCTTCATAGGACCTTTCATCGCACCTGGTCCACACCCGGTGCAGATATCCAGACGTCGCAGACCAAGGTGATAGCCCACCTTTTTGGTGTAGTCGTATTCAGTCCGGCCAATCGAATGCCCGCCCCAGCAGACCACCAGATTCGGGCGCATACCCGCTTCCATGACCCTTGCCTGCTTGAGAATCTGGAACACCGCATCGGTTATGCCTGCCGTTGTCGACATGTCGTACTGCAGGGCATCACTGATCTCAGTACCTATATAAATCACGTCCCGCAGCACGGCAAAAAGGTGTTGTCGCACGCCTTCGATCATGCGCTTTTCCACTAGAGCGCTGGCGGGTGCATTTTCAATCTTCAGCTGGAGACCGCGGGTTCGCTTCACCACCTCAATGCTGAAATCAGCATAGGCATCAAAAATCGCTGCGGCGTCATCGGTTTCATTACCGGTATTCAGCACGGCCAGCGCGCAGCGTCGAAAAAGATCCTGGATCTCGTCGTGGCGGGCTCCGGTGGTCAACGCTTCAATCTCCCTCTGCGACAGCAATTCCATGCTGCCTCTGGGATTGATTTCGATATCCACTTTGGGAAGTGGCGCTGGCTGGTCAGGAGTGTTCATGTCTAACCCTTAGTTGAGCCCCATTGAGCATTAGTTAAGCTTAATTTCAAACCTACAAGACTTAAGTGTAGTGGCCTTAACGCATTGCATAATCGAGGGTAAAGCCCGCATATACATTACGGCCCGGGGCAGGTTCAAACAGTCGGCCGCCAAACCCGTTTATGCGCACATTGGCGTTGTAGTCTTCGTCGGCCAGATTATTAACCCCTATAAACGGCGACCACGACCAGCGATTACGCGTGCCGGTGTAGCCCATGCGAACATTCGCCACAACTGCGCTATCACTGGTCCCGGAATTGGCGTTATTGACAAATAATTCGTCCATGTACAACACGTCGCCTACCGCATAAAACCCATTACTGTGGCGATAACTGAGTTCTGCAAAGACCTGATGCTCGGGTAAACCTGGCAGGGCATTGCCCTCAAATTCAGGGCTGCCGTCAAAAGCTTCAAATTCGTAGTCCGCATAGGTGTACGCCAGGCTCAAACGCAGCGAATCACTGAAACTTGCGACCGCGCTGAGCTCAAAGCCCTGGCGGTCGGTATCTGCATTTTCAAAAAAAGCGCGGTTGCCTATGTCCTCGACGCTGGTGATTTCATCTTCAACGCTGATCTGATACGCCGCCAGTTCAAAGGCCAGACGTTGTTCAAACCCATCACCTTTTAAACCAATCTCAAAACTTTCTGCCTCTTGCGGGTTAACATCGTTAAAGCCGCCCAGGCTCACCGAAAGCGTGCGCGCTGGACTCGCCAGTTCGGTGAAGGTCGGCGTCTCAAATGACGTGGCGTAGTTTGCATAGAGTGTCATCTGATCACTCAGAGTCCAGGATAAACCGGCCATGGGACTCCACTGCTCAAAATTCAGCTCGCTGGACTGGTCCGCGTTGGCCAGAAATTTATCATCAACTGTCAGTTCAATATCGTCGTAGCGCAGACCCAGCACCAATGTGAGTTGATCACTCAAAGCAGTTTCGTTACGGACAAAAAAACCAACGGTGGTGGCCTCTTCCAGCTGATCAAAAGTCAGCGTGCCTTTAGCCCCTGCGTTATTCAGGAATCGCTGGCGATCATCTTCCTGGCGGTCTACATCAAGACCAAAGATTGCCGTATTGGCCAGGCCAAACAGCGTATTGGTGGCCGCCAGTTGAACCCCACCGCCATAAAAGAAACGGTCGAACTCAACAACACCATCATCCGCAACAAAGGGAATGTGCGTGCCTATCGGTAAAAAAGCTTCGAAGTCTCGCCAGACATAATAGTTACGCACCGACAAATCGAGGTTGTCGCTGAGCGGACGGGTATAGCGCAGGGCAAGCTTCTGTTGGTCCAGAGCTTCGCCAGCATTGGAACTCAGATTACGCGCCTGAGCAGACCTTGGGTCCGCAGCGGTCTGAGCCGCAGTGATACCCCCGGCATCGTCAGCCTGAGGTGAATCGACCAGGTTGGCGATCAGCGTCAGCTCGCCTTCATCCAGACTGTAAACAAACTTGCTGTTAAATTGACGAGATTCCACACGGGCATTGTCCCGGTAGCCGTCAAACTCCAGATCACTCAAGCTGACAAGATAATTTAACCGGTCGTACTGACCGCCGGCCTTGAGCTGATATTTTCGCTGTTGATCTTCACCAACCGTCACTGCGGTTTGCAGAAACGGCGTTTCCGGGCCATCTTCCGTATATAAGGCTATGACACCCCCTGCCGCGGAACCGTACAACGCCGCAGCCGGACCGCGCACAATCTCCATGCGCTGCAGTGAACCGATATCCACGTCGTCTATGCCACTCTGTCCATCAGCAGTGGTAGACGGGATACCGTCAGCGTAGATTTTCAAGCCACGAATACCGAAATTGGCACGCGCACCAAATCCCCGTACAGCGATGCGCAAATCCTGGGCATAGTTATAACGATTCTGCGCAAACACACCGGGAACCCGACCAAGCGATTCATCCAGCCCCAACTGCGCTCGGCCAAGCTGAATATCTTCGATCTCAATCACACTGATGGCACTTGGCACAGTGCGCACCGGCGCAGCGATTCTTGACGCCACAACGGAAATCTCCTCAATTTGAGAAGCCTGAGTGGCAGAGGTTTCTGCAGCATGAATCTGCACGGTTTGAAGAGCTGCCAGGAGCCAGAAGGCGCGGCGCGAAAAGCTTGTCATGATGGGAATCTGGCCTTGATTGAAGCGCGCGTATACTACGCAAAAAAGATGGGCGGGTACACGCCAGTCGCTAGCGACCGTTGGCAAACCCATCCACCTGGCGACGCTGTGCAAGGCCGGTGAATTCCAGGAAACGTTTCGCCAGATCCTGATCAAATTTCATACGCAGCTTCAGATAGGGACCTTTGGCGGTGTAATCCGCCGCTATGAAGTCATCATCTTCGAAACCTTCAACATTGTAGCCAACGCTCAACCACATATTCGGTCGAATGCTGTGACCCACAGCAGCGCCATAGGAATATCGCGCGGTGCCTGCTTGGTGAGATGTCAGGATCGATGAACGCAAAGAGACATCCCAGCGGGACGCAATATCGTAGCGATACTCCGCCCCAACAAGACTGGTGACGCCATCAAATTCATCAGCGTCGATGTTCTCAATCACGTATTTAAAGCCAAATTGCAGCGCCAGCTGATGCTTCAGGCCCGGTTTATAGTTAGCGTTGAAGTTGTTCACCCATTTGCGAGTCCGGGTATCAAAGGCGTTACCCTCGCGCCGCTCAAACACCAGATCTGTTCGATTCAGAAATGACCAGGCGCTGTCAAACGGGCGCCAGGCGGCTCCGACACGCAGGTCAAGATTATCCTGAACAACGCCAGTCGAAGATTCTTCGTTTAACCAGGACATACTCGCAGATACAACACGACCTTCTGCGAGCTGGTGGTTAGCACCCACCAGTACGTTCCATTTATCTTCTAAATCACCGGCATGCCATTCAAACCTGGATGAAACATCCCAGGCTTCATGGCGGTAGCCAAAACCTGTAAAAAATGCCGTAAAGTCATTATCGATACTGCCCGATGCCGGTGGCACGGTGGGGTTAAACAACAGATCCCGCGGCTGATCCGTCGAACCGCTTTCCGCCAGCGTCTGTACTCGATCAAAGCCAATGTCATACAGCCAGCGCTCGTTGATACGCCACTGCTGCAACAGACCTGTCGTGGCAAACAGGCGGTTGCCATTTTCACCCTGTGCCCGGGTTACAAAAGAGTTGACGTCGCCACCCGTCCAAGGCCGAGCACGCACGCCAAAACGCGTATCCTGAGTGTCTCTATCATCACCCCAGGTTAACTCCTGCTCTGCAATGAGATTGACCTCGTTGAACACTTCATACTCCGCCCCAAATATTGCTCTGGACGGATAATCTGTATTGCCTGAACCACTGGACACATCAAGTTCCGCATCCGCGCGCAGCATGAGCTTATTGTTGTAAACATTCTGCGCCACACCAAACAGCAGCTGAGTCGCGTCCGCTGATTCCCCACTGGCACCCTCCTCGGTCACTGACTGCACGCCGGCTGAGAATTTTGTTGCGTCTTTACGCCACTCACCCAGCGCATTTACAACCAGTCTTTTAGAACCTTCCGCCAGAGCGGTCTGCTGAAAGCTCTGGCCACGCAGCAACAAATCTTCACGCAGCCGATACTCACCTTCCAGGCCAATCTTCCGGGTACCCGCTTCCAGCGCCGACTGGTTACCCAGACCAAAAGCCTGTTCCTGCTCACGCGCGTAAATCCTGCCGGCCATTTTGCTGCCAGCGTGTTCTAACTGAAGCAGATAAGCGTTGCCTTCATCGTTTAGGTCCGTATCTGTTTGTGCCACTTCCAGTGTGAGGGTTGATGCCGTATTCATCTGCCAGGTGAGGTCAGCGGCAAGCAGGGTCCCACCCTGCCCTTCAGTATCATCATTGATATAAGTCACGGCCACTTCGCTGTCCTGGTCATCCAGGCGGTAAGCAACCCGACTACCCGCGACAATTTTTTTGTCCACGCCTGCAAACGCCACTTCATATTCAACTTCAATAAATATGGGATTAAAGTTTTCGTCCTGGCTGAAAATGGGTTGTTTGAAGATCAACGTACCGCGGGAAAAATCGATGGTGTAATCGAGAAAACGGGTCAGCTCGACGCTATCAATAATGTTCTGGGTTGCAAACCGATCTCGCGTCACGATGCGCACCGACTCGCTGTTCGCAACCAGCCGCTGGTTAGACAGACGATAGACGCCGGACGTGCCATCACCACGCAGTTCATCACGGACAAGGGCCTGGTCGGTTTCACTGGCAAACACCTGGGTTTCAATATGTTCACCAAAAAACCCAAGATTGACGCCATTCAGACGGCGGTCATAGCGCGCCAGCTCTGAGCGTTCAAAATTGGTATCAAAGTCGCCAAACAGTGCCGCGAAGCGAGCACGCTCCAGCTTTAAGTAAAGTTTGCGTTGGCTTTGCGCATCAAACAGCTGTTCGGTGCCGTCTCCGTAAAGGGTATAAAACTGGTTGGGATCAATCTGCTCACGCAGCTCACGTTCAAATTTCTTGTCGGTGTCATACGCCACCGTGAGCAACCAGTCGCCGCGCACCATACCCTTGCCGTAAAACGCCATGCGGCCATCGGTAAGAGATTCATCTTCGAGATTCTGTTTACCCAACGACTTCAGATTGCCGGACAGATCGTTTTGCGCATAGGTGCCTTCCAGCAGACCCACCATTATCCAGTCGCGGTTTCCCGGAATCATTCGTGCGCGGACTTTGTCACTGCGCACAGGGTCAAACTGAAACTTGATCTCTACCTCTCCGGTGGAGGTTGTCGGCTCCAGCTGAATATAGGCGATACCGTCACGCAAAACCTGGTAACGCTGGTTGTTGAATTTGTTATCCATCGCCTCCAGATGCTTGGCTTTATCCAGCGCCATAAAGGGTGCTGAAACGAAAAACTCGCCAGTGGTGCCCGGACGCAACGGGTAGCCTTCCCGGTCGAACAAACGCACCGCTATCACAGGCGGATACAAACCATCGGCAACCAGGTACGACTCTTCTTTGACCCACTCTGCGCGAGCGGGCGCACCGCTGAAATGGGTGCTGCGGGAATGGCGCTCGACGATGTCGCCTTCGCTGTTGAGCAACTGAGCTTCGATCACGCTATCGTGCTCAGAAATAGTAACGTTATCCCAGCGCGACAAACTCACGCCAGCAGCATGATCCGTCGCTGTACCTTCGTAGGTCACAGGATTAACAATTTTGCCATCCACCAGCAAAACCGCTTTTAACGATTTTGCGTGGGCTACGGCAACTTCTATAGCCGGCAACACCGGATTGTAGTTTTCTGGCGGCCAGACAATCCCCTGGGCTGTGGGATTCTGAGAAAGCCAGCTCAGGTTGAACGCAGGTGCTTCACCGCGATCCTGCTCGGGTAATTCGTACGGCGCACTTCGCACGCCATCATGGCGCACTGACACCTGCTTCTTAGCGACGTTACCACGGGTGTAATTGGACCCCCGTGAGGGCTCCATTACCTCAGAGGCTATGGCTACTACCGGTTCAATAGAATCGTTAGCCGGCGCGATTTCACGCAACCGTTTGGAGTTGCTCTGCCGGGCTACGCGCAATGCTCTGTCACTGGAGGCGGTTACAGATTCAGCAATCATCACCAGCGATGCAGGCCAATTCAGGCTCAGCTCATTCTGACTCACGTCAATGCGGTGCTGTCCCTGTCGGGTAGCAAATTGCGACACTGCTTTGGAGACGATATGACCCTTAGGTGTCTTCACAAAGGTTTCAAAGGTCAGTGCATAATTAAAATGGTCCGCTGTGTCCGGCAGCTTGAACGTCGGCGCACCCATACCCAGACCGCTGGGATCGCCTATCGGCTGACCATTCAGTTTTGCACTACCTTCTATATACGCCAACTGGTCTGCCAGCATGATAGTAGTGCGCAGATTCTGCAGCGGCACAGCGCCGCCTTTGATCCAATAGGTATATGTCACTTTGCCATCATCAGCCTGGGCATCCAGTCGGCTGACAATTTCACTGCTCTGATCTGGTTTAGGCGCTGTATAAAAATCTGCACGCCACAGGGTGCCACCCTGCACGTCGACAAACTGCGAACCTGGATTGCCGGCAAACCGGGTATTGTCTTCGCACAACACCAGTTCATGGCTACCGGGTAACGTTGCAGTGTCCAGCGCCACTACGTGGGTACCAGGCTCTATACCCTCAAGGTGATATTTACCGTCAATATCGGTGACAACGAAGGTGCCATCTTCCAGCCAGATCCGAACATCCGCCAAACCTTGCGCACCCACCTGATCTGAGGCCGCGGCGTCGCCAGCAGGACAGCCGTTTGCGTACACTTGACCAATAAGGATTGCTTTGCTCCGCAACAAATCTTCCTGCACCTCGACATCGGCAAACGCAACATTCGCCTGCCCTATACCGGTGCCTGTAACGCTTGCTCGGTTACGTGCAGGTCCCAGCTTGGCACCGGCGGTAATTTCAACCACATAACGCAGTGCAATGGTGCTGCCCGCTGCCAAATCGCCCAGGCGCAGGTCAAACTGTTCACCATCACTGGATAACTCGGGCTCAGATTCATCTATGCCAGTAACTTTCAGTGAACCCGGCACATAGCGAAAACCAAGGGGTAACTGGTCAGACAAGACCATATCCGACACCGTGCCGCTGGCGTCAGCGTTTTCAACCTGGATCTGATACTGCACAAAGTCGCCCACGGCTGCAGTCTGTTTGCTCGCTTGTTTGGTGACAAATACCTCTGCGGATATCGGATCCAACGGCAGGTCAAACCCTGCCGGCACACCGGCGGCAACGGTAAACGTCTCTCCCCGCGAACCCTGGTCGAGGTTAAATGGTCCACCAGGCAGGAGATTTAACGCCGCATTATCGAGCAGCGAGGGAAATGTAAAGGAAACCGGCGGGGTGACTTCCAGTCGGTATTCACCCGGCAGAATCACCGGAAAATAGAAAGTGCCTGGTGCAAAGTCAACGCGTTCACCGCTGGCGTCGGTAACCTCACCACCGACAACAACGGTGGCTGGAAAAGCACTGACGCCATCTGCACCAAAAATAGCATCTTCGGCCGCAAGCCCGGTGTTGACGTCTATTAAGGTGACGCTTGCACCCGAAACCACCTCACCGGTGGCACTGGAAATCATGCTGAAACCCGGATCGTAGGCAAGGTCGGCAGATGCGGTGTCGGTGTTGTCAGTTGCATCCTGGTAACTGACCAGGATCGATGCACCCGGCGCTGCCTCCAGCTGACAATTTGCAGGCGCAGTCGAGGTACCCGCAGTTTGCAGATACCCGACAAACACGCCGGTAGAATCATTCGTTTCAGACAGCTGCAGAGTTTCACGCTCAGACGTGCCCGCAATCTGCACCTCAACGATGATTTGATCAGGCGCAAAAGGATTCTGATCCTGGTCCGGATCAACCACTGAAATGAACAGTGCATCATTGCGCGCAAGCCGGTCTACGGGTGTCAGGGTAAGGTTCGCTGGAACCGACAATGCACCCTGGGCAAGTGTGATCGGATCCGCAAGACTCGAAAAACCACTGCCATCAAAACAGGCCGTTGGCGCAACCTGAACAGACTCACTATTGCCATTGGGCGTAAGTCCGGCGAATACAGCAATACTGCTGCTGGTCGGCGTAACCGGCTGCAGATCCAGTGGGATATCTACCTGCACGGCAGGACCCACAGGCACAATAAAGCTCTGGCCCCGCGAGCCGGAGCCTAAGGCATACGGCGCACCGGGTAGAACCTGTAGCTGTGCATCCGTAGAAGATGTTGGGAATGCAAAACGATTAGGCGGCACAACCTGCAGAAGATATTCTCCAGGCCGCACAAATGGAAAACGGTAGGCGCCGCGATCATTATCATAGAACTGATCTCCACTGACCTGTGTAGCAGGGAAACCAGTCACACCGTCGTCAGCAAAAACCTGCGCGGGTTGATTGGTGAGCGCGTCCAGAAGCGTAATAGTTGCACCATTAATCAGCGTACCGCTGGCACTATCGAATACACGACCAAATGGATCAACCAGGATATCAATGGTTGCCAGATCAACATCATCATCAACATAAGCCAACGATACAGTTGTACCTGACAAGACTTCCAGAACACAGTTTTCAACTATTGCGACGGATCGGCTGGTTTGCAGATAACCGACAAAAATGCCTGTATCCACCCCCGTCTCAGAAACAGTAATGATCTCCTCATCTAATGCCGGAGTGCGTAACCGCACCAGCACCTGATCCAAAGCCAGCGGGTCAGCATTAGCCTCCGGGTCTGCAACCTGCACAAACAGCACGTCTGCAGATTTCATGACACTTGTGGGGAGAAACTCTCCACTGCCTGGTACCTGCAGGCTACCGCCTGCCAGGCTTATGGGCGCGGGCAAGGGTGAAAGACCTCCGCCGGCGACACAACTGGTCGGGTTTACCGACTGGAGTTGTGCTGCGTCGGCGCCGGTGGCAAGTTGCAGTGCAGTGATCGAAGCATTTTCACCGCTGCCACCACCAGGCGGTGTCGCAGTGAGCGTGAAGGTCTGGGTATAGTTCAGGCCGCCACTGTCAGTTGCAGTGACCATAACCTCAACAGTTGTACCCAACGGTAAGCTGACATCATCACGTAGTTTTAAAGTACCGTCGATCACTTCAAATCGGGGATCGTCCACTGCAAATATATGGCTGTCGTTTGCATCCGGATCAGCGACCTGGAAGATGCCTACATCGGCTCCGGGCTGCCCGGCGACAAAGCTATTGGATGACAGGCTGATTGACTCAGGCGCTTCATTAACATCCAGCACCACGATGTCCAGCTGTTGGGTGTAGCTTGCACCTTCAGGATCGGTCACAGTGATCTCAACCGTTACCGTTGTGGTTGTTTCAAAATCCAGCGCCACGTCAGCAGCCAGTTGCAGCGAGGTGCCCACAACAATAAATCTTGGGTCATTCACCACAATCACGTGAATGTCATCTGGATCCGGATCAGCTACTGCAATTGTGCCGACCACAGCACCGGCGACATTCTCCGGCACAGCGGCCGGTTCCAAGGTCAATGCAAACGGCGGGCTGTTGCCTGCGGCGGGATCGGTGCGCACAGTAGCGCTGCCGCTTGCGGAAAAATCTGCACCACTCACCTGATAACCGGCTATCGCCGTGTTGGTGACTGGTGTATCGGGCGGAATCGCCCAGAGCGGAAGACAAGTTATGCTGAAAAACAGCATCGCCAACCACGCCTTTAGCGGGCGCAGAGAAAACAGGCACGCAAACAAAGAAAACAGGGCCGGTTTACACCGACCCTGCGTTTCTGGTTCGCTTATATGCGCCGTCCTGGGCATAACTTGCGTCGAGTTACCGTCGTCTGATTAAGACGCGGTGTCGTCTACAGTTGCAAAGTAGACTATGTACCCGGTTGCACCACCATCACAGCTTGCACCCATGGAGGCGTTAACCTCACTTGGATCAGCAGCGAATGCGACACCAGCGTTTACCGAGTCGGTAGCAACTAAAGAACACTCACGTACGTAAACAAGATCGTCTACGGCAACGCCTGTGTTATCAAGATCCAGCACAACCGGAATACCATCAATGTCGACGGTAACCGTGTCAGGCAGTTCAATGCCAGCTACGGCACCGGAGTTACCCAGTTGCAGTGGTTCGGCGGCACCTGCAGGTACGTTGTCTGTAATCACAACACCGGTTGCGGCCAGCGCAGACTGATTGCTGACACCGATGACATACATCAGAACAGCACCTGGAATCGACTTAGGCTCGTTGCCTGTCGTGGTGTTTCCAGCACCTAAGTACTGGTTGCCGGAAATTGGGTCCCACAAAACCTCAACGTATTTCACGATACCCAGAACACCCACGGTGCGGAAACCCGCAGCATTGGAAGACTGACCATCGTTCTCGCCATCGGATGCACCTGTGGCTGCGGGACCGGTCACAAAGTTGAAACCTTCGTCTTCAGCAAAAGTACTGCCGTCATCAGCAAATACAACTTCAACCGTAGCCAGATCGTTCAACGCAGCAGGTACGTCAGCCACACCGGGGCTTTCGTTGGAGCTGTCGTCGTTGGCTATGACTACGCCGGTGTCAGCCACTGCTGCAACCAGGGTATAGGTCTGGTATTGCTCGGCAACAGCTGCACCGTCGACATCAACGCTCACAGAGATTGTGCGTTCTTCATCTTCGGCAAAAGTGCCTGTCAGGGTGTAAACACCTGTGGCTGAACCTAAGACGTTTTCACCGCCATCAAGCACGCCATTAGCGTTGGTATCTTCCCAGACGGTTAAGCCGGTAAGTGTTATAGGAGATGCCGCGGCTGGATCATAGCCGTCGATATCCAAAGCGCCCTGATCGATCAGAGCGATGACAACGTCGACGCTGTCATTAGAGTTGTTGACCACTGAAAACTGTACAGAGGAAGCGGTTAAACCCGCCTGCCCTGGTACGGCGCTGACCCAGTTGCCGTTAGGCGTACCAACATCAAGCCGCAGCTTACGGTCCACAACAAAGGTCACATCGGATGATGCCGTCTGCGCGGTAGCGCCGACCGTGAAGGTCATCTGCACATCGTTAGTGACCGAAGTTCCTGAGTCAGTACCATCCGCCCACGCAGACAGACTGATTCCCAATCCTGTCACGGTGAGCAGTAGCTGACTTAGTCTTTTTAAGTACTGCATTACTTCTATCCTTAAGTTATTAACTCGACAATTTCCCCAAGACTTGGAAAATCGCCTCCATTGCTTGTTTGGAAACAAGCATGCAAACGTAAGTACCGGAGACAGCTAAAGCTGCTCCGGCTACACACATCGCAAAGAGGGTCATTTCAAGCGAACATTAAAAGAGACGTAGCCGCTATCACCTGGATCAAGCGCTGGCGCAAAGGTCCAGCGAATGGAGCGATAATCTTTTGCCGACGCCAGCATCTCGACGCCATCATTGACAACGGTGAGCTCGGTCGGTGGTGCATACATCTCGCCATCAACGGAGTACCAGATCTGTGTACCTGCCCCAAAGGCAGTGCCATCCAGATATTCAGTGTGAGCTGGCACCACGTCAGTTATGACTATGGAACCGGCGTCCACCGATTGGGATCCGTTGTTGGTGAAACGCACGGTGTACTGCAGCTCGTCTCCGGGCACGACACTATTCGCGTCGACCAGGCGGCGTTCCACATCACCGTCTGCGTTAACAAAGGTTTCAACCTTTTTTATTGTGTTGTCCAGCTGTACCTGGGCATGTGCAAATCCTGCTGCACTGGCCAGAAATACGGCGAACGTTACAGTCAGCATGCGCACGGCACGCCGAGACTGATTCAGACCACAACGCACTATCTTGTCCATATTAAGATGCGTCATATCAACCTCCTGTGAGTTGCTTTGTTAAGCCCATCATTTCGATGCGCTTGAGTGGGTGCTGCCTGCCTAACGGATGGCAGCATCAAATCTAATAACGATGTCAGCAGCGCCACCTGCGACATCACCGGTTTCGACCAGCAGCGTGCTGTTGGCAGCATCAAAGCCAGAGTTATCAACGCCCGTTGGCGCAAAATCATCGTCTTCCGCAACACCTGCCACGGTAAGGGTGTCCGGCTGGTATTCGAGTTCAGCAGGCAGCACATCGCTGACCTGCACCGCTTGCGCAATACCGCTACCGACAACGCGAAGGGTTAATTCATAAGTAATCACCGAACCCGGCACGATGGTGGTGCCGCCAAACGGATCCACTACGCTGACTGCGGTTTTGTCGATCGAGAGCACCGCTTCGCTTACCTGATAGCGACCTTGTGTGCGCAGCAGAAGCGCATTGATATCTGCAGAGGTACCTACCACCGCCGTGCCACCGCCGTCGCCAAGGGTGGCGTAACTGGTACCGGGAATCGGCCAGAGTGGATCGTCCGGGTTGTCTAAACCGCCTGTTGCATCAAGGATGGTCTGAGCAATCGCTCGAATCTGGATGTCGCCGTTGTCACCTTGAACCAGGCCAGCCGGCATGTCGGACTGCACGTACAGGATCAGCGTACTGTCTTCAGCAATCAGTGGGTCCGCGCTGCCAGGGACATAAGGGGTATCCCCACCAACTTGTAATCCGGGTATGCCATTACTTTCGATGTACAGCTGGTTGAGAAGCGGGTTGAACCCTCCTTCGTTCACATCAGCATCGGCGATGATTCGATACACCTCGTTACCGTTGCCATTATTGGTAACGGTAAACTGAAGAATCGCGCCCGTGGCGCCAGCGCCCACTGCAACGGCTCCACTGTTGTCATCAACAACAACTACGTCGAGCAATTCATCAACGATGGTCTGCACCGTGTTGCTGTTAACCTGGGTCTGGGCTGCACCATTGACTGAAAACGTGGCAGTTGCGGTGTTGGAGATATTGACACCAGCGTCGGTACCAATCGCATAACTGGGGGTAGCGCCAAACAAAACACCGCAAACCAGCATAAACATGCCAACTTGCTGTCGCGTAAATCTGAATTGTGTGTTGGCAATCACTGGCCTGTTCCACCATGTCCTTCGGTAAATCAGATACTTACCGTTGTCAGCCCAGTGATCCGGTAACTGGGTCATGAACGTCAATTTGTTGGCTGCATTGACGCGTTTGACGGCAGTCTCAAGACAGCGGGGCTATTTGACCGAGGCTGGCGGGGGAAAACCGATACACGGTTCACAAATGTGCTGGTGATCAGGGCTGGAAACGGCTTTTTACAAAATTAACAATTGAGAAACGTCAATTTCCCGGCACTTTGCAGGGTGGCGACTGAGTTGACAGGTGAAGAACTGGTTATTGGCAGAAGGCTTGTGAAGTGGCGTCAAAGATCTGCGCGCAGCTCCGTCAGCGGGTTGAAGCTGCCTGGTTAGCCGTCAACCCGCTGGATATCGATGTGGTCGTTTTCAGGATAAAAACAGATTTGCGCCTCGCCACTGGCAAGTTGCTTGCGCACGCTGTTACGTTTCTGCTCCAGCGAAAATTCTACGGCGCCATAGTCTGTTCCTTCACGCAGAATGAAGGCATCGATAATGCCCTGCAGTGCTTCAGCTGAAAGGCTTCCGGCAGGAATAACGATCATGTGTGCTGGATCTCGTTAAGCGGCAAAAAAAGGCCGAGGTGGTTGTGAACAGGTCCGCATCCTGGACCACAAAACGGCCCTTTGGCTTGAGTTTTGCGTGGCATAATGCGTTACTTGGCAGCTTACAAGACTGACCAAAAACGTTCCAATAGGACTGGGAACTATGAGCGAACCTGACCACATTCTAATCGTCGAAGACGAACCGATCACCCGCGAGCAACTGGTAGCTTACTTCGAAGACGAAGGCTACAGGGTTTCCTCCACCGGGTCCGGCGATGAAGTACAGAAAATTGTCGAAAACACTGACGTTATCCTTGTTTTGCTGGACATCAAATTGCCAGGTAAAGATGGTCTCACGCTGACCCGGGAGATCCGCGCACATTCAGATATCGGCATTATTTTAGTAACCAGCAAGCAGGAGCAGATTGATCGCATCCTCGGCCTGGAGAGTGGCGCCGATGACTACGTGACAAAACCCTTTGACCCGCGCGAGCTTTTATCGCGTGCACGGAATTTGATTCGTCGCGTGCAGATTCAGCAGAAACAACGCAAACGCAATCATATGCGTACCTTTGATGGCTGGAGCCTGGATCTGAACAAGCGCGAACTGACAACCCCGGAGGGTCAGCCCATACAGCTATCCGCGGGCGAATACCAACTGCTGCTGGCCTTTATGGAACAGGCTGGCGAAGTTATGAACCGCGACCAGCTGATGAATCGAATTCGTAATCGCGAGTGGTTCCCTGACGATCGATATATCGATGTGCTGGTTGGACAGTTGCGTAAGAAGCTCGGCGAGCGCGCCGCTAACGCCAAAATTATTGCCACCATTCACGGCACCGGCTATTTGTTCACGCCTGAAGTGGTATAGCGAACCTCGGATCAGGATGAAGGCCTGCAAAGACTGTCACGATAACGGGTGTGTTAAAAAATATGTCGGCGGATCAGACGATCTATGAAAGCAACAGCACACTCGTCAGTCGTGTCGTCTGGCAGGATCAGCCGGCGGTAGCCAAGCAGCTTAAACCTGGCAGTCTGTCACCCTCCGCCATAGCGCGCTACCAGCGCGAATTTGATATTAACCAGTCCCTGACCAGCCCCTACATCTGCCAGGCGCTGAGTTACGACGACCAGAACCACACATTGTATTTTGAAGATGACCAGGCAATGTCGCTGCGCGACTACCTGAACAGGCACGACATCACTTTCGAACAGCAGCTCTCACTTGCGCAGTCAATGGCCCTGGGCCTGCAGTCCATCCACGATGAAGGCGTCATCCATCGCGACCTGAATCCCGCTAATTTTGTCGTTTTCACTGGCCAGGACGAAAAGCATGAGCTGTGCGTAAAAATCATCGACTTCGGCTTGGCGACCCTGGCCACCCATGCCCAGCCGACCATGTTACAACCCGGGTCTTTGACAGGGACCCTACCCTATGTATCACCCGAGCAGACCGGACGCGTCAATCGAGTTGTCGACTATCGAACCGATCTGTATTCGCTGGGCTGCACTTACTACGAGTTGTTTTCCAAACAGCCACCGTTCGTGCAGACCGACCCACTTGAACTGATACATGCGCATATCGCCAGTACCCCCCAACGAATTACTGAAGTCATCAGCACCCTACCCACCTGGCTGGCAGATATCATTGCCAAACTGCTGGCAAAACAACCTGAAAGTCGTTACCAGAGTGCACAGGGGGTCTATGACGACCTGGCCAAAGCAGCACAGATGTCAAATGTTGTACCGTTTCGCCTGGGTCGCACCGACAGCAAAGAAAAACTCTCAAAACCGAAAAAACTCTACGGTCGCAAAGGCAGCCAGGAAAAAATCACAGACCTGCTGGAGCGTGTTAAACAGGGAGAAGTGCTCTTCGCCTGCATCAGCGGTGGTCCTGGCATGGGCAAATCCGCACTCACGGAGTCTGCGTTACAACAAGCAGCCAACCTCAACGCGCTGACCGCAAAAGTCAACGGCAGCAGCCTCGACGTGCAGGACACAGACACCCTTTGGCTTGCGCTGATCCGCCCCATCCTCAGGCAGCTACTGAGCATGCCCGAGCACGCCAGCGAAGCAATCCTGAAACGTCTATCGCGCAAACCATCTGCTGATCTATCAGTTTTGATCGAAGACTTGCCGGAACTGGCCAGCATCGTGCACGTCAATACCGATAAACCCGGCCTGCCTGGAAGAGGCATCAGCGAAATCCTGGCGGCGATTAAACCAATGACTCTGGTATTGAGCGTAACAAACGCACACACCTTACCCCCGGAGTGTATTACTGCAGTTATTGAGGAAAGCCTTTCGCATCGCAATATTCTGGTTATTTTCGGCTGGGAAAAGGTCGATGAGGCGTTGTTCCAGGACGCTCGAATAGCCACCAAAACCACCGCAATACCTATGCATCTGCTGGACCGCGCAGATATACGAGATATGTTGTCTGACATGTTGTCGCACAGCGAAGCCAGAGTGCGTGAGCTGGCCGCAGAGATACACAACAAGACAGATGGCGTACCTGCATTTGTTCACGACCTGGTCGCTGAACTGCACCAGCAGGAGCACATCTCATATGATCGGCGCGATGGGCAATGGATCTGGGATATCGATGAGGTGCGCCGATATTTTTTCAACAGCAACTCAAATGAGAGAATCAGCGCGTTGCTGGATCAGCTACCTCCCGAAACCCGCGCGCCCATCTGCGCAGGGGCCTGTATCGGCGAAATATTTGACTTGAAGCTACTCGCCCATGTGCTCGACGATAGCATGGGTGGCGTGGCCAAACACTTACGTGCGGCAATAAGCCTGGGTATCGTGGCTATGAGCGGTGATAGCCATTATCAGTTTTCACATCCGCGCATTCGTAATCTGGCTTATGAGCGCACACCCGCCGACCTGAAACACAAATTTCACTTTTCTATTGCCGCGACGCTGAAACAGAGCAGCGAGCGCCTCAGCACGCGGGGCGCAGGGCATCTGACTCTGGATATTGCCGATCATCTTAACGCGGCAACCAACCCGGTAGACACCCCGGACGATTTACGTCAACAGAGCGCTCATCAGAATCTGCTCGCCGCACAACATTCATTGCGAGAGGGCAACTTTCGCCTGGCCTTCAAATATGCGCGCAGTGGTCTGGCGTTGCAGAACAGCGGAATCGAAGACAGTTTGTCTGTTGAACTTGCGGAGAGCGCGGCTTTAGCTGCGTTTTTATGTGGAGACTTCGAACAACTGCAACGTGTCCAGACGAGCACAACCAGTCACGCGCTGCGCGAAACACAAATACGCGCCGCCATGGTTCAGAATCGCCTGGGCCAGGTTGTTGAACTTACACAGGAAGGTCTGCAGGTCCTCAACGTGAATCTTCCTGGCACAAATCGCCGCTGGAGCAGTTGGCCAAACCGGCTACGCACAAACCTGTCCGGCATGGCAGACTCTTTCGGATTGGGCCGCTACCTGCAGGGCGGAAAGCAACTTCCTGCAGCGCCACTTGCGCCCATCAACGACCCACAGTTCAAGCAGGTTGCGCGTCTGGTAGGTTATCTTGCCCATGCAAGATTTCACCTGGGAGATATTTCTCAACCGACACAGGCACTGGCGATAGCAAGAGCCGCCAGGGGAAAAGGATATTGTGGTGAAGTGGCCTTCGCCTTTGCCATCGCCGCCGCAGACGCGCATGCTAACGGATCAAAACAACGGGCTTTGTTGCTCGCAAAACAATCCCGGTTTATTGCCGAACAATTTCCAAACGACGCTTTTTCCCTGCGCGCCTTAATAACGCTGAGCGGCCTGGTTGACCCGTGGTTTGGTAGTTTTGATCAAACGGTGCGCGGTCTGGTTGACGCTTCGACTCGCTGTATGGCTTTGCAGGACTACGAGTTTGCTGCCAGCGCAGGCGCATTTTACGCCACCAATGGTTTTCTTCGCGGACTGGAACTGGGGTCTTTGAAACGGGCCATCAACGACCAGATAAATCACGTCAATCCACACGGTCACATCACCGGGGTCAATATCCAGTATTTTGTCCTGCAGATTGTTGCCAGTCTGCTTGCCCAGCCACTGGATGAGTCTCAGGTTCGCACCCCGGCACAACAGATAAACAATGGCGAAGATCGACTTGCCCAGGCGTGCGTTTACACGTTAAGACTGTATTACGCGGTCCTGTTTAACGATTTTCGCGGCGCCCAGAATGTGCTCGAACTGGCAGAGCAGCACAGCGACGTTGTACGCACATCACCACTTCATACCCTCTACGCACTGTGTTGTGGGCTGGTGGCGGTACGCAATCAACCCGAGCGTCGCGATGCATTGCACAAAGCCCTGAAATCCCTACGCCACGCAGCCAGACATGGGGCAACTTTTGCTGAGGCGAAAGTG